AATGCATGCATTGCCTATACATAAATTATTCTGAAAAACGTAATAATTGTGAAATTGATGTGTGCTCGATGAACAAATGAGCCAATAAAATCAATGAAGGAGTGCACCTCCGATCGATTCATTTCAAGTTGTTTATAAGTAATAGTTGTGTACAACGGCAAACGTACATGCGGCGGCATTAGTACAATAACAACACTTACATGATGCGTCCAGCTGCTCCCTTTCTCTCTTCAACAATTCGACTCATCAACAACTTTCACATCATTCATTGTTTTCTCCTTCAACTCTTCTAACATTGTCGATGCTGTTGATGCATATGACAATGAATCTGAGATATTTCCCTTATCAGATGATACTTCTTGTACTTTTCCAGAAGAATATGATTCATCGGTATTGCCATCTGAAGACTGATATACATAACGATCTTGATGATAGCACGGAAATTCAGAATTCATTTACGCTTATTTGGTACATATCATCTTTTTCTCTCTTTCAACTAATAGTAGCGGAGCAAAAGATACGTCATCATATTAAATGATCTGTAAGAATTCCAAACTTCCAGTTCAAAATGTGCTTCAAAACACTCTCACTGCGGGTTATCATCTAAATGCACTTACTCACCTCTAATATTTTACCTGTCTTCCTGCACGCGTGCAATTAGCCCATCTTATTTCTCTTGTCATATTCAATAAAAAAATCTCATCGTATTTCATTCTCCATTACATTACAGAAATCATAGATTGGTTGTGCGGGGCCCTGTGGCCCAATGGATAAGGCGTCGGACTTCGGATCCGAAGATTGCAGGTTCGAGTCCTGCCAGGGTCGTGACGTTTTCATTGTCTGTTGTTAAGATCGGACGAGCGAGTTTCGCATTTTTGCTCGCACACAACAATTGCGTTGCTCCGACAGTTAACTGAGAAATAATTTTTGATCAATTAAGATTCTCTGTACCTGCAGAGAACACATATTGGTGACAGTTATTCGCCCAGTGAGACTGAGACTCTGAATGATTTCCCAGTTGAGATGGGGCCAGTATAAATTAGTATTTTTAAATTTATGGATCAGATGAAGCTTAGCGATGATGGTAGATTAGTTGAGCGTTTTTGGCTCATGTATTGCATTAATAATTACTGATATTGCAATAAGATCATCATGGGAGAAGAGAGAATTATCATGATAACAGTGCAAAAAATAAAGCCATGTACAAGCAAGTTAGTTATCTTATACCGTATTGCTTATCACAGTAGTGATAACCATCGTCGTTATCGCTCTTCAATTTCCTCTATGGGCTAACAACAGGAAAAAAAAGAAATGAAAGAAATTTATGGAAAGAGAAGCAGAAAAAAAAGTTAAAACAGTGCTTTGACAAATGAAGCATTAAAGACGGATAACAATTAGTAATCATCTAAATGATAAAATTAGTATGAAGCGATTTGAATAAAGTTAATGAACAAACTTAGATGGGATTTTGATAAGGACTATTGCGACTTAAATTTTTATCACTAAATGGGTCCATCCTGTCCAATTCAGTTTAATTAAATTATCAAAATAAGTAAAAAATCATCAGCAAAAAACAAAAGCAATAATAGTTTAAACGAAAATTTAGCTGAAGTTAGAGATGATATCTAGGGATGATTAATGATATCAGCGCAGAACTAAATTAGAAAAATTGGAAAAATGTAAAATTATAAACAAAAACAGTAAGTTTAAAACTTTGTTATCAAAATGAATGAGTCATAAAATACACAAAGAAAATTCTCTAATTTGTTTCTTTAATTAATTACTCAAAAAATTCATACAAATTTAAAGTTTCGAAAAGATTTCAAATATTTCAGACGCAAAGTTGGATCGCAAAGTTTTTTTCCCCAAAAGTATTTCTATAGAACTAATCTTCAGTTACAACAAAATTTATGCACAAATTTATTTCTCGTTATAAAGTTGATAAAAATACCAGTTCCGACCCTGGCAGGACTCGAACCTGCAATCTTCGGATCCGAAGTCCGACGCCTTATCCATTAGGCCACAAGGCCGTATTGTCAACTTAATTACCAATAAAAATTGATTTCCAATCATTTGAAATTGTCGATCGACCAAAATTTGGAAGGAAAAATTAACAATTTTCATAAAAGTTGCAAAAAGAAGAATGGTCAAAGTGATGGACATCGATTAGCAGCAATGGCCAAAATGATATGAAGTGAATGGCAGGGGGTGCGATTGTGACCTCTCAAATCGATAATGAGCTTTAAAGAAGGAAAGTGGCCAATGCGATAAAAAGTCTTTCGAGTATTACTTGGCAAATGCTTCCTTTCCATACGATTTTTATGGTAATTAAGGTTCAATGAGATTGGATTCGTTGGATTTAGCGCTTTAATTTTTAAAATAAAATGAAATAGAACTTGACAAGGCAATTTTTCCCGCTCCGGTAAAAATCCTTGTTGGGTATTTCCCGGAATGTTTGGAAAACCAAAAATTAACTCATATGAAATTCAGTTTTAAAGTGGTAGAGGAAAAATGTTAACAAAAGCGCTATGTGATCCGGTAACTGCATAACAACTTCTAATGTTCCGAATAGGAACTATTTCAGTAAAGAGGGCCTACTACCAGAATTGAAGAAAACAATCGTATCCAAAATCAAGGAATTAGAAATTGTCGAAATATTAAAATATCATATTAAAATATTGCATGTGTTAGTGATCACATTCATCACATTCGCTGCATGACTCTAAGAAGTTCAGATTCATCAAAAAGAGAAACCAAAGTGAAGGAGAAGAAATGATTCCTCTTTATCTGCAGTTCGATCGGTTCCGGACAAATGATCTATCGTTTCGTTAATAGAACGTTCCGCTTTTTTACTGATTTTTTCAATTGCTCCAAGTACCGTTCCAGTGCTAAATATAATTATTTACTTATGTATTTTCTATTTCAGAAAAATTGTTGATGAATTTTATGGAACATTGGAGCAAAAAATTTAACACAAATTAATTTAGGTAATTATGGATGAAAAAAACAATGGTCACTCCAAGTGTACCTGAAGTGAACAAAGGAAAGGATCCCCTAGCACTTCTTTTGTTAGAAAGTTTCATTAGCCCGAGTAATCATAAAATAACTACAGAGTTTCATTTATGTAACCGTAACTGTTTCATCATAGTAATATAAATTTTTCACTGGAAACAAATAACGGGATATATTTAATATATTTTTATAATGGGATATATTTGCATCAGGAAAAACTAGAAAACTTTTATTACTGGTGGTTCACCAGGATTAAAATGAAACCAGAGATCAAATCTGAATAATTAAACTTAGAAATTTTTTCAGAAAACTGGACAATATACCTGGTTAAAAAACAAATAGCTCCTTTAATTACTCCACGCTCAAGGAAATTAGTAAAATTGCGGATTTGTGTAACAACTTTGCATCCAATATTATCATTATTCATGGAATCTAATCCAGAAAAGTATTCTCGAACTGACTGCAATATCGTATCCTCATCGTAGTCATCGGAAAATGCTTCTGCCCATATTGGCAACATACCGCCGGTCAAAGCAAATAGTTCAATATAAAATGATGAATCATTAAGATGTTATAGCATGTCATGATTGGGATACATTTACATATTGAATGTATTATGAAAGTTAAAGAAGACAAAAGAGCCAGAAAATATCAAATAAATAGTTTTACGGAGACGGTAATTATTGTTAGCCTCACATATATATATGTATATACAAGGGAATTTGCGGTACTAATGGACATTTCAAAATTATTGAAAGACAGAATGGACAATTTGAATTGTCCCAATCATAGATTGCTGTTAAGTATGACTATTGAATAAGAAATGCAAAATTTTAAGCAAATAGAAGTTGTTAAGAGAGAATGCTATACATGCAAATGAAAAATTCAAACAGTAAGATATGCAAAAATTTGAAAAGAGAAAGAAAAAGAAATTAGGGGAAGTGATTTATTGACCGCTGTTAGGTTAGTTTTTATGACAGCTCTTTTGTTTTTACCTTCATGAAATTACTTACTTTTTCTATGAATGCAAAAAGCAAACAAAGAACATTTTCAAACTTTTAACAGCTGTCTTCAACATCCTTCTTTGGACATTCATCCCATTTACATTGCAAATTCGAATGAAAAGTAAGTGAAGGAGAAGGATCAAATAGTCAACCAAACAGTATTATTGTATAGGTGGACGGAATAGCCGATCATATTCAGTAACAGCCTCAGGCAAGAAAAAGTTTTAGAGGAGAGATTGAAATAGTAAACAGCTTTTCGGGAGATTTCACAACGTATAATACGTTGTGAGCATAATGCTAGCATATATATTTAAATATAAGGGATAAGGCTTGGGAAGCATATTTGGATAAGAATATTTTTATTTAAATGAAATAAGAACTGAAATCTTTTTTCACAATTTATTTCAAACCACTGCGAGTATTGTGTCCTCGTTATTCGTAGAAAAATTAATGTAGTGGTTAAACTGTCTTAAATGAAATAATGAGAAGATAGAGTGAGATCTCGGATGAATCTTTTGATAATATATATTTGTTTTAGATTCATAAATAATAACTGTAACCAGTATATTCATTTATTTATTAATATATTAGATAAATATAACAACGGGAAATATTTTAAAAAAAGCTCGAATACAACAAGAGACATTTATCATTCTGATCTCTTCATATATAATTTTTTCTTGCAACATATTTAATAAAATATTTAATTTGAAAAAGAAGATCGAATGTCAAATAACGGAAGAAATGCCTTCCTCATTACGGTTGACACTTTTTTCTTCATCAATAAACTGGAAAATTTGAATATGCAACTGTTAGAAATGAATTGGATGGATCGATTTCCTTAATTATTTTTCAGCATTTTTTTGTTTTGCGCAGTTGTTTGTTATAATTTGTGAAGTTGTAGGAATTACTACCATTCCTTTTCTTACCTGTCGAAAATGTTTCCATATGATTTTAATGATAATAAAGAAACGTTTAATCTTTTTCATTTAAAATATAAATCCTGATATAAATTTTTAATATTATTTATGTTTTTACTTGATAAATATTTCACCAAATATTCTTCTGTATACTGGAGGATGTCGGAGAATGAGAAATGCACACCTTGCGCAAGTGGCTGTCATTCTGCCACAGATGCCCATGTCTTCATGAATATTAATAATGGGAAATCCTCCTCTGATACAGATTATGAACTTCCAGCAATGGTTAATCTTTGGAAATTCTTCGCTTCCACCATATTAAAAAAATCGATTCTTTTTTATCCTTTAACATCTATCCTTTCACTATCATATTATTTATTATTCATTACGGAATTCAAGAACCAGAAATAATACACACTGATTACTGAAATAATTACGATGAATAATAAAATGTCACGGCGTGAAATAACATGGCATAATGGTTAGATAAGTTAATCTGATTAATCTTATCATTATCATTATCATCTCTTACAATTTATTTTTGCAGCCAACGATGCAAGAATGTGATGGGATATGTGGTAACATTTATTCAGTTGATCAATTAACTAAATTTCCTTGTCTTCATGTTCTGTGTGGAATATGTCTTAATGAATGTTCACTTATAGGTTAGCTACATTTTAAAATTTATTCAATTCTTTTGTTGTCAATTCATTTAATTGTTTTTTTAAATCATCAAATCAAACTTTCATTTCTTAATTATTAAATTTCTGCTCAACTTGGCCTAAATTCTAGAAATTTCGATTTATTGTTTGCGTTTATTTTCAAAAATTTTTCTAAGCTAAGAATTACCCGAAAACTTACTCCACTTTATTCATTCTTATGAGTGTATTTGAAGTTAATAACATTATATTTAGAACGTGATGGTAAATTTTTATGTCCAATGCGGGAATGTAAATATTTGAGTTCGACCGCATTACGTATGCATCAATCTGCTGCAATTTTTTCGGATGGGAATAACAATGATGGAGCAAACAGTCCAGCTGAAACACTTTCTGTATAGCATATTCATTAATTGAAATTTCATGTAAAACATTAGAGGTACGAAGAAAGTCTCGAAAATTCACAAAAAAAAGTTTCCTTCATTAATTCAATTTAGAAAATGTCACGACTATGATGTTGTTGAAATGATCAGATCAGCGGTACATTGAAATCGGCGTAATCTATGAAAGAATTTCACCCTTCTATAATTCAAGTGCAATAAAACTATTTGTAATTTATAGGATTCTAATTCTTCCTCTGTGGCACCAATGACTAATATCAATACATCAAAACTCTCAGAATCAGAATCAGATGAAGATGGAATGAGCAATGATTGATTTTTATAAAATATCTGTAAAAATGAAGAGATAAAACATTTTATCTCAGTTAGTATATAATTTGCATCATTTATTTAGAGATATAATCATCAAAATGATTTTTTTAAAGGTTCTAAACGTTCGATTTGAAAATAATATAAAAATTTCTTCGGAAATATCTGAAATAGTTATTAATTGAGGATTGGAAAATATCTGTGCCAGCAATGTTTACTGATAATACAGGATATAATGATGTTAATGGAGTAGTACAAATCGTCATGCAATATCAACTTGTCAAAAATAATTTTGCTCAATTTTGTGATTTCATTTATGTTGCAATCTCGAAGTTTGCAAAGTGAACAAATTACTAATTATGATAAAATGAAATTAAAAGAATGGAAAAAATCGAATTGTTGCATCGAGCTGATTGTTTTAAAAAAAGTTATTTGACAGAATGATTATTTCTATCATTTCTTAAGCATCATTCAGAGAAAAGTTGAATCAGAGCAAAACAAACTTACGAGATGGAAATGTGGTTGGCAATAACTTCCTATATGCTTACCTTTTTCTTTGTGAACTTTCATATCCCAGAATATTTAAACTGCATGCAAATTGTTGAGAAATAATTGAGATTTCATAAAAATAAGATTAGAAGAAGAATCGTTTGATATCTCATATTGATGAAATAAACATCATATAATTTGTTATGAGACCAAAACCAAAAGATTACTTTACATCTGCACAACAAACTTTGGCCATAATGTATAATCTTTATCGTTAATTAAAGTACAAGTCTATTTACAGTCTTTATTAAACTGGTGGCACAATTTCAGGTACAATTATTATAAAATGAAATTTCACATTATAAATTGGAAATATTTGAGCAATAGATTTTTTATAATTTTTAAAACATGACAGATCTTTTTAAAATGAATTTCTAAAAAAACGTACAAATAAATTGAAACCAATTTCACAAAGTGCAGTTTATTGATTGAGTTATAACTTTTTAATAATAAATAAACAAACCATTGTAGATCGACTTACATCTTTAAATAAACAGAAATTAATTCAATAACATAATCATAGATGAATAAATAGATTGGAATTTGTTATTTGCACTGTCTACTAAATGATTAGAAATTAATTTTTTAGTTATATGTTCACTTCAAGAATTTGTCAAGAAAACGAGAACAGAGATTTAACCTTTTAAAGTAGTTTCTACAGCGGTTTTTCGTAATGAAAAATTATATATATATATATATATATATGATACTATCACGAATATAATATTTGCAATCAGAATGATATGTTTAAAGAGATTTAGTCTTAAATCTTTAAGATGTAGTAATCTAAGGAGAAAAATATGATATATAAAGCGACAAAATAAGTGGACACATAATAAATTAATGGTGATAGCATTAGAAGATGTTATGTTTATGATACTAAAGCGTACCGTCAACAACTTGTTCATTATTTCTCATAATCTGAATCTAACAGTTAATCGGCAAAAGGAACAAACAAGGAAAAATGAACGGTTGAACTCTTAGGTAAATTACAATGTTGACCTGAATTTTAATTAATATCAACTAAAGTTTTACTTAATTTTAACTAAAACCATTAAATTGAACTTTTTTTTTCATCCTAGCTATCTTCATTTAAATTGAACTGATTGCTAAATAACCAACTGTTTTTTCATTCCATAAATTTCGCTATGTGGCTTTTCCACTGCTGTAAATTCGATAAATAATTTTGGGAAACTTTAAAATTTGAGCATCTCTAAACTATTTATTTTCAATTAAGGATTAATTTTCAAAAGCAGATTGATATGACCGAAACTAAGTATTGAATATAATTTAAAATATCTCATATTAAAATCATTAACAATTTCATCTTTATTACATCATTTCCAGTGAAATAGTGAAAAGACTTGCCAGTTGTATAAAAAATTTGTAAACGAGCTATCAATTCGCTGATAAACAAAAAGAACGCAATTTGATAAACGAAACCTTTTAATTAAACTATTTCTTACCATTATTGTTTGGAATGTATTAATAAAGGAAATGTATAAATGTAATCTGCAGGTGTTATTCGATGATATGCAATGTTATATTCTAATCCTCGATAATAATATAAAAAGAATTTCTTTAGGCCACATTTCAAAATTCCCATAATAATTTCATATTGTAACGTACAATGAGATATGCGAACTAGTAATAGTATATACTTCTTCAAAGGAAGTTAATTTGTTTACCTTTGGAAATTTGTTTTAGCGAAACTTTTATTGTAAAAGTAAAACAACTTGCTGAGGAGCAAGAGGATGCAAGCATGCATGATTTGAATTGATATTACATATCACTTCTCTTTTGCAACGAATTTATCAAGTACTGCAAATGTGACGAACTATACGTTTGAAGTGAGAAATATTAAATTTGTACGTCCGGAGCTGGGTGAAAAATGTTACGTTTGTATATTTAGACGTACATGAACCACACTTGTTTTATATATTAGGCAAGAATTACTCACATTTCCAAGAATCAAACGAACACTTCATGATACAAAACAGTGCTGCAACAGTGCATGTTGGCGTGAATCCAGTAAACAATGGATGTTTGTGGCGCGAAATGCGTCGTGTCTCCTGGTTTCCAGTGGGTGTTGCACGGACGGGGTCATAGGGGATCAGTTAGGTTGGTTGGGATTATGCAAATACAGTTCTTATTCTTTGCTAGCATGTATTGTGCCTTGCTTATTAAAGAAAAATGGTTTAATCAATCAATACATCGGCAAACAAGTCTTGATGACCGGTTAGTCCTCAATCTTTTGACACCATTTTTGCTGAAAAATCAAGATTAGATGAAATAGATAGAAGAATAATCAATATGTACTGGCCAAAATGTATGTGCAAATCATGGCTTTTGTTTTGAACATATTTAGTGACGAGAGATGTGTGAATTTTCCCATTTTTGCTTCGATATTTGTTTGCTTTAATTTGAACTTTTTTTTGAGCAAAGTGATCTTTCAACGGGTCACAATAAACTTATATAAGGAATGTTTAATTGATATCATTCAGTTAAGATTTTACCTAGCTCGTTGTATTCGTGAAATCTTCCATTTAGTATAACATGATTTTTTCTTTTTATACGAAATATAATGCCGGATTAGACTTATACAGAAGAGTAATAATAAGTTGTTTGAAGCAAATCAAAGCTTCATAAATCTTGATGTATGAAGAAGAGGAAGGTAACAATAACAGAATGTCTTGACCTTGAATAGGAGAGAGATCAGAAGGACCGCAAATAATGTCGCGGGAAGAGGAATCGCAAGTAATATTGCTTGGTTAATTTTATGGATTATTGGCAGTGCATAACATCAACCGAATTATGTTAGCATTTTTTTGAGAAATTTAATAAGGCTTACTGCTGCATGAAGGATTCAATCAGGGTTTGGTATTCTGAAAGCGGTTGCTCGTGCTAGCTGTTAAATCATTCCTTGTAAATATTTCGCTAACCATCTGCACTTTTCTCGAACCAACATTTACTGGTGCCCTTTCTTTATGCACCCTTGTTGCCATTTCCACACTACAGCACGACACAGTGCTCTGGAAGAGAGCGGAAAAGAAGGTGCTACATTCTACAACTATTTGTTTTCATTGTTTAGTTACGCAGATAATGGTTTCTTTCATGCAAGATGTAAATTTGTTTTTGTCCCACTTGTAGAATATTAGTAATTTTGGAACTGATTGCATCTTCTTCAATTTTCATATGACTGGACGGAATTGTGTGCTCGATCGGTTCCGAAGCTTTTCACTTCTTCAGAGTGATTGCTATTATTTCCCCAATTGTGAGTGTCTCCTATCTTCCTCGCTTTTGTTCATACGTCTTTAAAGTGACAACTAGAAATTTTTTTGTTCTCCATATTCTGACCAAATTTCATTAAATTTGTGGTACAGCAACCTTAAATGAAGTTAATCAAGTATTGACTAATATGGTTTAATGATTAATAATGAAAGTATTTTAGTGATTAGAATTAATGCATGTGTTCCAGTGATTGAAATGCGTGGATTACACATTCCAACAATGATGCACCTATTGTGGTACACACATATCAAACTCAGGTAGCCACTGAAAAAATATCCTAAAGTTAGACCGCTTGCATTTAGTTATTGAATCATATTTGGAAAAAAGTAACTGAGTTTGCAACTGATCAGATATAATTCAATAAATCAAAAACTATTGTTCCAAAATCTCAAAACGATCACTGAAGTTCTTCATGGTGAACTTATCTCGCTAAAATATGAAAAAATAGAGATTTTTTCGAAAGAGATGTTAACTTGGCTTTTCTCACATTTTGTGAAAAACAGTCTGGTCTATAAATTTTTTTTCGATTTGAAGTCATTCGATTTATCTACTGGAAGTTTTAATTCATTATCAGTTCAATTTTGCTGTGAAACTGCAATTCGGTAATTTATGCTGCTAAATTCATACCGTTTAAACCATTATGAAACATAATGAGATCTATTTATCTTTTATCTAAGGCTAGAATAGAATAGATGTTTAAGGATTATTTAGCTAAGTTATCAATTAAGTGTTAAAACAGATCATGTTGCACATATAATAGAATTAATCTAATTCTCAAATGCGAAATTTCTTTTGTATTTGTTCTGGTAAGCAAATACTTCGGAGATTTTCTTACACAAACGTCGCTATGTATATATATATAAATATATATAAAGAACTGGTGATGTTTCAGGTATTAAGCAATGACATCGTATACACCAACAGCACATCAAGGCCATAATGAGGACGGTCATCATCACAATATCTATATACGACGCGGATCCGGAGATGTTGAATTCGGCGTGCCGATTTCATCTTTCAGACGGTGACTTTTTACCATACATTAACTGTCTGTTAGATTTGTTGCAAGGTGAGATTGCAGAAACAAAGGTATTTTTTTAAAGCATTGTTATATATATATATATTGTCTGTGTATTTTTTCCAGGACTGAACACACTCTAATGAATACTTTTCGAGAACGTTTAAATTTACGCACATGTTGTGAATCATCATTGAATACATCCACTTGTGATAATGAAATGCTTGATGAAGGTGATTTCCATATCGTTTTTCAGGGTTTCATCAATATAAATTTGGTTAACTAGTCGAAAATTTGTAATTTTTTACTTTTTTACTTCATTTTGGCCTATACAAATTGCATAATAAAAAGCTAATCCAAATATAAAGACCATAACCTGTTGGTCCTGCTTTATTATTGTAAATTGCAGATCTTGGACATCCGCCAGCTACACATGACACACCACCCGGAGCTCATATGGGTTCATTGCAATCAGATTCACTACTCAGTTCAGCGTTTCGATCAAGATCTCGTTCAGATGCGGCAAACGCTCCACTATTTTGCCGTCAGAATGTGGGGACAATAGTACTATTTCCAAATAGATTAGAAAAACAATCAAAAAGTGGGTTTTTTAAAAAGATGGGTTCGCTTATTGTTATTATTGTTAGTAGCATCAAAGACGGACTAAGAGCAATTGTTGCAATGAAATGTTTCGAAATAGTGTCTAGTTTCCCTCATTTTTAACTGAAAAAAATATTGTCATTATGTGGTGGATATTTCAGGGCATAATCTTCGTGTTCGCGCTGAGAGACATAGCGTATGTGTAACAGATTTACCAGAATTGAAAAACTGCGGTTCGCCAATGCCATCGAATCATCTGTTTGTTGATGCGAAACTTGCAAATGCTGCAATCGCAAGTGCTCACTGTCATCGACCACCAACTGCAGTCGAAATGAGGTCAAGCATGTGGAATCTACCGGTAGTATTTGCAGAATTTGCCATTACTTTGGTTTTTCTAAGATGTCATCATTGCCAGTGATTGCACTGACACTGAAATTGGCATTGTAAAAAACCTTCCATAAGCTAATTCTTGAATCTTATTACAAGATTAAAATAAACTGATTGTGGATTTTGGATAAGACAGTTTTGTTTGCTTTTCTATTATTAAATTCTAATGTTACATTAAACGTCAAGGTTGATTAAAAAAGCATTTTAAAGAGAGTAGTTCCAGTCTTTATATCTTTGAAGAATAGGCATGAAATGAGTAGCAATGAAGGAAATTTAAAATTTTTGTTGCTGTTATATCTTGCATTTTAGTGTCAGTTCAGTCCTCTTCAACTAGAGGTCGATAGAAATGACACATTTGAAAGGCATCAATCTTCTCCCAGTAAGTTCCGCTAACATTTTTGCAGAAAGCCTTCGTTGGAATCGCTACTGAAATCTTTGCTATATGTAGTATTGTATAAAGCTTGGATTTCCAATTTTCGTTGAAGAAATTAAATTGAATGGCTTCAAATGATACCTTTATGGATTTTATATTCATTCAGTTATCCTTACATGGTAAATATGTGACTTAGTTAATTCAATGATTTCGTTAATACCAATTTTTTCCAGTATATACTGACCAGGAACATGGAATTTTTAATACCAACACATTACAAACTGCTCGGCGTGTCGGTTCGGAACCAACATCACCATTCAGTAACTATGCAATTCTTATTAAAGAGGTTTACCCTTTTTACTGAAAATTTTAATTTTGTTGCCTTTCATGATGTGAATGCAATTTATTTTTTGCCTTACGGTTGTTTAGACTGTTCAAAGTTTGTAAAAATTAAAAAATATGGATGATGATGTTGAAACGAGGATAACAAACCAATTTATGATTTAAACCAAGCTCATCTAATTCTTACGTTATAGTTCGAAACTTTGGGATAAGCAATTTAATTCATATATTATCAAAATTAAAAGTGATGCCAAATTTTTAAATACAATTCACGGTGCTTTAGTTATTAAAAAATTAGGATTGGTGGCAGTAAGGATGATAATGTATGCAATGATCAAATATGTTAATTCTGAGAATTCGTGTTTTACTGTATTCATAACCATATAACCATAAGGTTCACTTTTTTAAGTTCTTTAAGGAATGGTTTTCTACATCTCTCAGGTATGCAAAGGCAAGAATTAAAATTTTTGATTCTGGTAAAACTCTTTCCAAAGTGGGAAAAATTGAACTTTGATTTTAAAGAAGTAATAATGATTCTAATCGTTCTGAGATTTTTAATGATCCATTATTTTTTAACAAATTTAGGATTATACGTGATGATTCATCTTTCATCATAATTTTTCTTGCTCACTTACTAAAGATAATTTCTTTGAGTTTATATTTGATAAGTGAACTAATTTTGTCTTCTGTATGCTTAGTTGATTAGATGAAGCTGAAATTTATTAGATTTCGGGAATTACAAGCGAAAGCAGTTCACCTCAAATTTGGGTTAATTATAAATAGATAATTTTATATTTTCTTTAGTTTATCCATGTTCTATGGATATTTTGAGCAACGTTGCTAAAGAGTTTGATATTTCATAAATTGTGAAGGACTAGTTCAAGTTTCATCAAAATTTATAGTTTAGGAAAACGAACATGAGGTACTGTAATAATCTTTTTTGATCATTTTTTTTCTGTGGAACTAAACGTATGTCTTCCTCTGAATGGTTTGAAATCTAGTGCAGGCTAGTAAACCGCAAATCTAACAGCGATATAATTTAACTCCTTAGCTTTCACACACACTTCATTCTTGTTTCCACAATCACTTAGTCCTCGGTGAATTTCTCATAGTACGGCTTATGCACTGACATATAATGTCAAAATTTGGAAATTAAGAAATAGTTATCTCAATTTTATTTTGCAGCTCGGGAAGTGCTTGATTATATTTTTTCGTAGTTTTTAATTTATGCGGTGAATGATATATCGTAAGTTGAGTATTTTTGTTTTTTTGAATTTGTTTTTGCTATGATACAGTCATCAGTGACAGTCTAAACGGTCAGTAAATTTATTGCAGTGATTTGTCTGTTGACACTGTATTCAGGAATCTCATTTACAGTCCATTTGCAATTGCTCGAACCAGCTCTGAATATTTCTGTAGCATGATCGCTTTGTTGCATTAGATAATTTTTTTCCAAAAAGACCTCACTAGCAAGTGACAACATAGCTACAATCCATTCTCGTAGTGATGAGTTTCTACTTTTTTCATAATGTCCTCTACACCTCTTTTTCGGAAAGGTCTTCTCTGATGTAAAATTAAATTCATTTAGCATACGTTCAAATTAATTTTGCGATAGACATATGTATCAGATATTTCAACTATGATGTCTTGCGGTCTTCATGAAATCGACAGGAATATGTCTCTAAGGACATAGTGTGTGCCCTTGTGGAACCTGTTACAATGTTTCAAGAGACATGCTTAAGTCTTCACAATTTTATCTGAGAAGTTTAAAATTCATTTTTTGCAAGTTAATAAATTCGGCATACAGCTTAGAAAAGTCAAACCAATCATATTTGTGCCTTATAATAGACTCGAAGTTTTGAAAACTCGAAATTGTTTGTCAGTAAATGAGTTGCGTAGATTTACTAGTTCATCTTCAATTTATTTTTGAATGTACCATGATAAACTAAAGACAAAACAGAACAATGAATTTTCGGCATACACTTTTTGCGACAATAAGTCATAATAGTGATCAGAATATATGAAATAGTTCTCAGATGTCTTTAAAGCTTTCAACTGTATAGATCATCTGCTTATCATAAGATGGTACTTCATTTCCAAACCTTTTCTGTTTCTTATATTTTCTCTTATGAAGTGTGTGTCTTGAAAGCGGTTGGAAAGTTTGGGAAAGCTTTTTCGAACTATTATGCAGAAAGAATTGTTGAAGTTTACCTTCCTTTAGAGTATAGATTCTTTCTTCTGAAAAGTGACTTAGAGAAATATAGATTATTTTAAAGAATTCTTTCATTTTTCTGCGACTCATTAATTTCGCGCTTCGTCTGTATTCATGTACTAAAATAGCTACTGAAACGCTGTTTGTTGCAAAACAGCCGTTAACTATTGTTACAAAGTTTTTCCAACTCTTTATAACTAGGAATGGACATTTGTCCTTTATTCAACATGAATCGACGATTTTAATGACCTTAATTATCGATGAGTAATTCATCTTTCCTAAGTATTGACCATTCGATTACTTTTTTATCGCTTCCCAGTATTAATACGAAAACTTATAGAAAACATAAGAATTTTTACTTTAATCGTTTGATTTGCTTCCATTAACTAAAAAATATAAAAAATCTGCAACGAATTTCAAACCATACGGAAATCTGTAGTAAATTTTTGATTTCGCTTCTGAATCTTTTGTGATTTAAAGTTTTGAAAGCATTCTGAAGAGTCCCTTTGTGGGGGGGATGAAAGTCTATTATTATTTGACATTAGAAATTGTCCATTTTAACTCTGCATCGCAATGAAAGAATTGCACATATTGCAGATTTCCGAAGATTTTATTTTTTTTTTTTTGGCTAAATTGAAACTGCTGCTGAGCTCTTGTGTAGCTTTGAGAAGTCGGTCGACAATACTTCACAAATCGACAAAGTGCGACAAAGTATGTAGTCAGGAGAACTAAACGATATTGACCATATCGTATAGCTTTCTGCTTTCAAAATTTGTTGCACATATATTCACTTTATTGGACATTCATTTTTCTCCTTATGGTGCATGCTTCGATTCCCCAGTCAATTGTTTGGCCTTACTCACTATTTTTGGCTTTTATGGCTCAGACATTAACACATCGTTTAGTTGTTATAAACTACTGAAGAAACTCATTTTATATTTGGATATTATGAGGCGGAAATTTGCTTTTTCTATCCATTTATTTTGCTATGACAAGCATTAAAATTATTGGCAGTTGTGCAAATAAGAGAACTTGTAACTGTTTTTTATGGGAAAACAGCAAAATAGAAAAGGACTTATGAAATAAACTTCGTTATTTGCTAATATTGTAGGACTGTTCATGTTTGCAAGAAGTTATTTTAAGTAGGAGAAATTTTAAGAAAATATTAAGACATTTATTAATTATGTGAAAGTTCATAATGTTTATGTAAAATGCTTTTGGTCTTAGTAACTACCAACAGTCTGTTTTTATTTAGTCACTTTTCAGCATTCTTAATGTCGTCGATAATAGCAGGTTACTTCCTCTTTATATACTTGGTTTTCATGCTAAATAGCTTCTAAAAAGAATATAAGTAAAAATTGCGAAAAGAATTTTGTAGCCGTCAGCTGTGTGAAAGTGCAGTCAAAATTCTGCCAGTAGTTTATTGTATTATCATCTTTAAAAATTTGTTGCGAAATATTCATGTTACCTCATCTTGTAATACGGATACAGAGTTACATGTCTAGGTTATAATAAAAATTTAGATACTTTCTGTAGGATATTTATAAAGCACCAAGGAAAAGAATAAAGCAGATTTTTTCAAAATCTTGCCAGTAGTTTAGTGGATTGTCATTTTAGAGGAAGGCAGTTTTGTGTATTCTTCCTCTACGTACCGCACCAAATTATAGAGTAGAATTATTCAATCTAAAAATTAAATGAATTCAAGCTATCCTATGTGGACTGTTCCACCTTTTCTTCTCAGGTATTTATTCTTAAAGCAGAGTTGGCCTTAGTTTGTCTCAATATTTATAGCATTATTTTACACGCCGATCATTTTTAGTATTTTTCTACTTTACGAATAAATTTGCTTGTACAATGAATGTTCATCTCATTTATTCTTATAACACATAACAGATTTTCCGTTTCTGAATTTAGTACTAAGTTCGTAATCCGCTTGAAATCGCATCTTTCAGATTTTCCTGCACCAGTCGTTTTGGTTGCTTTTTCGTAATATTCAGTGTTCCTTAAAGTTCTTTCTTTTTTTGCATTGAGGCTTTCGGATAATTTTGTTTGCTATATGTTTTCTGCAAGTGCAGCTCTGCGGAAGGTACTCTGCAGACAAGGTTATGATACCAGCAAAAACGAAAAGGATTCGGCCCGCGAAAAAGGATCTGTTTTTTTGTCATCATTAAGTCTGCGCAATAACTCTGTTCAAGCTAATGCACAGCAACTGCGTTTTGGCCAATTTAAATCTCGATTCCTGAAAAGTACCACAAAAAACCCTTCATTGGAATGTGACCGATCACTTTCAATTTCGAATAATTCAAATACTATTGGAAAATTGAGTGTTTCCTCGAATATATCAGAACATAGTTGTAGCGCTTCCCTTATTTCTGCTTGTACATTGTCAACGATCTCAGCCCACCTTTCACTTCGACAATTTCGGAAAACTTCTGCTCCGGTCGTTCGTTTGTCCTCCGATCTCTTCACTGCTAGTAGATATGTACATCCGACTGTGTACGATTTTGAAGGATGGCATTCAGATGCAAGAGAAAGTAAGTTCTTATAACCTTGTAGTTAAAGTTATGAATTTCAGAGTCCATTTAACTTGTCGTCCGAGCAGTTACCACTACACCCTCCTTACGATGGAGCTACTCCCGAATTCTTCAAAGTTATATTCGGTTCGCTTTTCTTGCTTGTAGTCATTTTTTTAATATTTTTAGTAGACTGATGGATTTACTTCCCTATATTTTATGCTTACTATTTTGAAACTAACTAGCCTTCGAGAAATATGAAATAAAGTTGCAGAAAGTCAGGATGCTGTTTATTCATCGTTCATGCGCGCACACAAATGCTACGACCTAATTCCTACAAGTACGAAATTGGTGGTTTTTGATACTGAACTGCTGGTTAGATTATTTTTTAATTTCAAAATCGTTTACTGATTTCAGTTATACGTCTTGAGTAATTTAAAGTATTTGTTTTTCAGAGTTATATTCCTTAACAAGGGGTTTGAATAAGTGTTTATAAGATACAGATAGATGCATCAAGCAAATTCTAAGGTGGAATTAGGAATCGTTATTATCTGGTGTAGGAGTATTTAACTTTCTTAGATATTGTTAATTATACTAAGCTTTCCGATGAATTTCGATATTTTATTTCATTTTAATTTGATAGCATTGTTTTTTCATTAGGAGATTTCCTTCATAAATAAGCTACACCTATCGACTTACTCAATGGAGATCTCACTATTAACTGTTAATTGGAAGAACTTTATTCCCCTTGTCTTATTGATTCATTTTTTAATGTTTTAGTCATTATTAGAAATAATAAGAATAGTTCTCTATTTTCACAACCGCTTTATAGGTGAAGAAGGCCTTTTTTGCTCTTATCTACAATGGAGTTCGGGCAGCCCCTCTATGGGATAGTAAGAGGCAGGAATTTATTGGCATGCTCACTATTACTGATTTTATTCGAATACTTCAAAAGTACGAATATTTTCATTTATTATGGATAAGACAACACAATCCTGAAGTGAGATTGTGTACAGCAGTATACTGAAATCATGTAAAACAATGCATTGTAATGAATCATTTTCCTCCCACGAAAAGTTTGCAGAAGAATGAGAAGTTGCCGAAGATTCAGATTAGATAGCTATTTCATATCGAAAGCGATACATGCCAACCCATTTTTTTACGTTTAGCTTTATTAAATTATATCTTATAGGTATTGTACAAAGAATGGTTCAAAAAATGAAGATATAGAAGACCTTGAGAAACACAAAATAGCAACCTGGCGTGAAGAACTGGAACAGGATGGTCATTTGAAGCCACTAGCTTCCATAAGTCCTTGTGAAAGGTTTTTAAACATTCTTTGTCTAAAATTTTAATTTTGCTCTGTGTTTTAAATTTTATTTTTAAAAGAAATTTATTCAGTCTTTTCCAAGCAGTTCAAGTTCTCTGTAAAGAAAAAGTGCATCGTTTGCCAGTGATGGAGGAGTGTACTGGCAATATCGCTTTCATTCTTACTCACAAGCGATTGATGAAATTCCTTTATCTCTATGTTGGTTTTTCACTGTTTGTTTTCATTTCCGAAAAATTTTCTTCATGAGAAATTGAAATTTTTTTTAATAATTTTGATTTGGCGATTTGGCGAGTAGACTATTGAACTCAACTATTTTTGCTATAAGAAATTTGTTCCGCTTTATGCTCAAGCTGTTTTTTCGTACTTTTGGTAAGTTCATTAGGAATAATTTGTGTTAAAATTTGAATTAGTTTTAGAAAATAAAAATCATCGCAATAATCTTATGTGATATTATTTTCGTGCCATCTTAAGTTTCTCTCAAATTATGGCTAGATTTAGATGATTGATCTGCCTCGTCCATCCTTCATGGAGAAAACACCTCTTGAACTAGGTATTGGTACATGGAATAATGTCTCAACGATTACTCAGAATACTCCATTGATAGATATTATGAATATATTTCTTTCTAAACGAGTGTCTGCTTTACCTGTACTGGACGAGAATGAGAAAGTACGTTTTGCTTTTTGAAAATTTGACTTAATTAGAAGTTTCAGGATCCTTTATATACTACCGTTTTTATTTTAATTGAATTATCATCACAGCTATGCTTATGTAGTTATTTTAGGGATGTTGGTGCATTATATCATGAGCTTGATAAAAATTCATGGGGAATAATCTATGTTTAAAAATTTAGTTCAAACATTTTACAGGTTGTCGACATCTATGCTAAATTTGATGCTATAAATTTGGCAGCTAATAAATCATATACTGATTTGGATATTACAGCACAGGAAGCTTTACGGTATCGTGTTGATGTAAGCTCCAACTTTATCATTTGTAATTAAAATTTATCACGATAGAAATCCAACAAATTTCTTGAGAATGTTCAATTTTCAGTGGTTCGAGGGAGTGCGGTGTTGTTCACCTGATGATTCACTAATGATGATTGTAGAAATGATAGTTCGTGCCGAAGTACATCGATTGGTGGTCGTTGACCACAATAACAAAGTAACAGGAATCATTTCACTTTCAGATATATTGCGCTTTTTGGTTCTAGAACCACCAGTTACACCACCTGGAAGTAAGTTGTTTTGTTATGCATCTGATCAGTTGAGCGGATGATTTCAGCTAATAATTTATGGATTTAAACCATTATTCGAATTTACTGAATGAGATAGTTTGACGCATTGAATTTCAGAAAGAACCGTAACATTCAACAGAATAACAATTAAAAAATTGGAAGTTAAAGTAGATAGATAATTATGTAATGAAATAATATTTACATTAAAATGGAATGATATGAGGTATCATACATTAGCTGTTTGAAATTAGAATTTCAAAATTAAAAGTAGTCTTCATGTGCTAACAGCGTTTTCGAAGCCAGTTGTTATAGTATATGAGAGCTCTCATTTTATCGTTCTTTCATACAGTTAGTTGCTTCCCTTTTAAAATAAAAAATATCTTTGCTACTTATTGGTTGTTTAATGTTTAACAGTAAAAATTTAGATTGTAGTCCTGACTTTGCAATGGATGATGTGATTGGAAGTAATGATGATGAAATATATTGTTCGTGAAATAAGATTACCTCCAACTTATTCAATGACAAAGAGGAGGTCGCCTTTTTCTCCTAAATTCTGCATATCTAAGCACTTTTCTCTTAACCTCTTGTAAATATTGTGTTTTCCGTTATAGTTTTTATAGCAGATTCAATATATATTGCTGTTGCATTTTATTTTATGGCACCCTTGATGATTCATTTGTATTGTGGTGCATTTTCATAATTCTAGTCTCTTTACCGTCGCTTCATTGTAGAGGTAGGAGATTTAATTATTAGTTAAGAATTGAGAAGCTCAATCGTAGGCGCCTACTAAATTGCGTTCTTTGTTGATAAATTTGTGGTGAATGTTTTTCAATAAATATTTTGACTGCTTCACATTCTTTGTGTTCTTTTGGAATGTTTCCATTTTAGGTTTCTTTTACTCTGAATATGTGTCTTCTACTAATGCGTTTTCAATAAAATTTCCAGCTATATTCGATGCATTTTCACCATTTGATGTAGGACAACGTAAATTGGATTGTTTAAGATGAGTTTATCTCTTATCATACTTTTGCACATTTTTTACACTTATTAAGTTAAGTACTTGATTTGATTTCTGTGCGATTTGTGCTTCTATTTTTGAGAACTGAAGTTGTCCGGAAGTCCGACGTCGGGAAGTAGTGATTGTATTTTTTAAGGATTATTTAATAACTTAGCATTATATACATATATGCATGTTTGTTTTGTGAAAGATAATCTATGAAGTTCGGGTCCCTTTCATTTAATGATAAGAATCAAGTGATGGTGCTACTATTGTCAGGAAAGATTCAAGACATGAAATTACAGGGCTACCGGGTCTCGTTCACAAATGTAATTCGGGTCCTTTGTGCTATTTTTATTGTTTATTTGAAATAAATTTATCATGTTGTTGCATTATGTGTCATATAAAAAAAGAAGGTTCTTTTTTTCAAATTGCTTAGAACGAAGCATTTAATAAGCGAGAATAATATAAATGGAAAACCGAGTATGCAATTAGCGAGGAGGAAAATGTACTGGTTTTGCACCAGTCTGCTGTTGGAGTGTTTTCTACTTATATTTGGAATTAACGAAGCTGCAACGATTATTTTCAACGATTATTTTCATTAATCGTGCAGAAGCTCCGTTAGTTTCAACAAATTTCTCTAGTTTTCGATAACTTAAATACCGGCGTTCCTAAAAAAAGAATTTAAGGTGATAAAACTCTCATAAAAGGATTTGCGATTGGAACCGTAGATCATTTTACGAGAAGACACATTTTAAGGGTGTGTTTTTGTGGGAAGCCATCGAGCTGCGAATTGAGATGCCGACAGTGAAGTTCGAATGACACATAACTTTCCCACTTTTAATTAATTGACACATCCTCACTGACACGGCTCTGGTCAAAAAGTAAGAAGAAAAATATAGAGCTGCAAACTTCCGCAGTTTTTTTGGACTATTTTCTGGAAACGACGCGATAGTAAGTGTTATTGTGGTTCTTATGAGCTGGAAGGGATGAAATTGGGACGGAGTGATGAGGTTTTAGCTTTGTTTGCGTTTGACTAAGATTAGTAGATATGAGATAGCGATAAGAATCCTAGTGGAAGAACACGTCATTCTTTCATAGCTAGACAACGCAAAATAAAGTATGCAAATTACAGAGGAGAATGCTACCTTTCGGTGGGCCTCCAGCATTCTCTCCTTTAATGAATATACCACCAAATGCAGCTGCAGCATCACAGGCAACTTATCTGCAGCAGCAAGTTATCATGCCACCATTGCAGAGAAGTAAGTTTTTTATCACGCAGAAATTTTTGCAACATCACGAGTTTATATTAAGTCGTTTGTTAGGATCATATTTCGCAATTTATAAGGAATTATATATGTTACAAAAGCGTAACATTCTCTTGCATTCACGTAATCTCTATTTTCAGTACCGATGATGGCCGTGAGTACAGCACCAGCGCCACTCCAACTTCCCCAAGTATCAGTGGCTTCACCCGCGACTACACCCCGACCAATGCTTGTTCCACCTCAGATGCAGATGGAAATAGCCGCTGCAGCACAATCTCCTCGCACATCTTCCATTGGTTCTAGTCTGATAACCAGTGATGTACGTCTATAACATTTATGATATTCTTATATGGAGGATATGTTCAAGAAAGAATTCAAATATAGTCATATATTGGCATGATTATATTTGTATATAAATTGTAAAAAGTATACAAGTTAAAAAAATTTCTATTTCAAACGAATCTTTTTTCAATTAAAACATTACAGATTTGGTCAGAGCACACAGCATCTGATGGACGTGTATATTACTATAATAAAGTAACAAAACAATCTTCATGGCAAAAACCGGACGAGTTAAAAACTCCTGAGGAGGTATGGGATGGGTAACTTTTCTGAATACCGTGCATTTTCTGCGAGTGCTTTATTAATTAACCACTGTACTTTTTCACTACCTTTCAGAAGAAATTGGCTGCTGCAAAACTGTGGCGTGAATATAAAACACCTGAAGGGCGACCTTATTACTATAATATCGAGACTAAAGAGACCACTTGGATTTGTCCAAAAGATTTCGATCCCGCAGTTGTAACAAAGGGTGCTTTTTTTGTAAATTGCTATCAAGATGCCGGAAAAGATAATGTAAATTTGATCAATGTATCGTGCCTCCAGATTAGTCGAAAAAACTACATCTAGTTGAGTATTAATTGACTTACTGCGATTTGGTCGACATATATATTGTATGTTGCCAAAGATTTTTTCTTCACAATGAAAGAATAGAACTATTTTTCAGTAAAAAATGGTGTGGAATCAAAAGGGAGTGATACATCGAAAGTAGAATCACAAAATGGCGGGGAATCTGAGCTGGAAAAAGCAATGCTGGCCACACTTAAATCGCTTGAACAACCTAATGTAAGCAAAAAATTCCATTAAGTAGAATTCACTGTCATATAATCTGCGTATGAATTCTCAAACATCTTAATCATACTTTCAAAGTTTTAGGAACAAGCAGGAAGTATGAAAGAAGCAGATGCAGCAGATGGTGAAGAAGAGAAAGATTTGAAACAGAAACAAAGTGACAAATTCCGAGATCTCCTAAAAGATAAGGTAAATTACTGCTTTTAATAAAAATAAAGCAGTTAATTATATCGAAAAAAAGACCTTATTTTCATCCTAAACATTCATTATTGTTTTTCAGTACAATGAGGGGAAGATATCATCTACTAGTTCATGGGAACAAGCAATGAGATACATTCAGCATGATCCTAGATTTCGAATTTTAAATAAAGTGAGCGAGAAAAAACAGTTGTTCAATGCATGGAAAGTGCAGAGGCAAAAGGAAGAGAGGGTATGTCTCCATTTTTCTTCCAGTGTTGAATTTCAAGGACTCGTGGTTTTTAAGGGGAGACAGTGGGACTTTTTTATTAGAATGTGAAATACAAAAGTTATTTATTACCAAGAAATAAATTTACGCAATAGAATACACAGTATGCAATGGAAAGTTATTATCAGTGTTTTTTTTTTCGTTACGAGATAGGCTTCTCTTCGCTTATTTCCCGCTTTTTTAAATTGAGTTTTTCGTTCAGCATCATCAAGGTTTTCTGGTAGTGCTCATTTTCACTTAGTTCAGGCCACGTTTTTTCGACCGTCTTGTAGAGGTCGGTGAATTTTTTACACAGTGATTGCGACCCTTCATTACTGATATTAATGGCTCCCAGTGAACGAAATTGCTTATAAAATCGCCTGAAACAAGTATAAAATTGTCTATGGAAGAGTTAAGATGGCACTATCGGATTTTACATTGCCATCTTCATCTTCAGTTGTGATTTGAACATTTTTCGTATATATAATATTGGAAGAGTATTCACAGAAATTTAGAAAACTGATGACTCACGCCATAGCAATATCTTCCTTGTAATATAACTTCCTGATCGGGAAGGATGCACCTACGGAAGGTTCAATATATGGCGGATTAGCTACATACACGTCGTACCACAATGGTCTCTCTTTCCATTTCAACTGTCCGGAACGTAACAGCCCCGTAACTCTGAAATGGTGCTAAGAGATTACGATACTTCTATCTCACTGGTTTTCTCTACGCTTCTCTAATAAATTTGTAAATTTACACTGAATTTGTATTGAAGTAATGATTGTTTTGCTGCATGCTTCAATCATCAAATTTATATATAATATTAAATTTATATAATAAAATGATGCAATGCATCATATCTAAATTGTTATAAGTAGAGTTAAATAATATCATAACCTGTAAAAAATCGATCCAGCAGTTTCCTTCCGAACAAAGTATTGCGCCATTGTGCCGTCTTTGTTGTAATTCTTTAATTCTTTTCTAATGAAAGAATAAAACAATTCGTAATGGATATGTTATGCGCATTATGTTGAAATGCGTGCAACTCTTTGCAACTTCTATTTGGAAATATGAAATTAAAGTGGACCAGTGATTGTTAGGAGTAGCAAATAGCGTAAAATATTGAAAAGATGTAGATCTGTTAAAGCATTACCTGAGATGGAAATTCCTATCTTGGCAAAAGTTGCCTAACTGTCCAGTTAGTAGGAATCAGTGTATATTGGATATATGGAAAGACGAAACACTCGACACATAGCTTGTAGTACTTTCGGATGTTCATTTTGTCAATGGAAGGTTGCCAATACGCAGATTTCATCGCGTGAGCAAATTCGTTTATTGCAGCGAAGTGGACATTTGAAATGTTCAGTTGTATTGGTTTTGTTTGATATTTAAGGATGAAAAACGTCTTGCTATCAAAAAAGCGAAGGAGGATCTGGAGGAATGGTTACAGAACAATCCAAAAATACGACCAACTATGCGTTACTCCAAAGCAGAAATCCTTTTTGCTGATGAACCTATTTGGAAGGCCGTTCATGAAGGCGAGCGAAAAGAGATTTTTGCAGGTGCACTGGTAAGTGTAATCGGCTACTGTCATAGGAAATATGATTCTACCTCCACACACTTTATGCTCATTTTCTGAGAAATTTGATACTTTTATAGATGATTTGAGAGTTCATTAGGTCAGATGATGACTGGGGTGTGTATGTGTTAAACCACTGAATTTAGACTGCTTCAAGAGTTGATGTGTTCTTCTTATAGTCGTGTTTTTACTAAAGGATCTGAGCGGGTACGCGGTAGCTTTGATTCTGCTGCACCTAGTTTTAGAAATATTTATGCACCAGATATACGTTATTAAATAATTTAATATTAATGCGCATGTTCCGAACGCTTTCACTTTTTAATCAATTTGATTATCTCTCTCAAGTTTTTTTATCTTTGGATAGTAAGGAATAATTTGCAAAAAACTGCTACATATGGTGTGGAAGAATATTTGTTCTGAAATACATCGTTTTACATACAACTAACTCTTTGTAGGAGTTCATAGACAAACGTGAAAAAGAAAATGCAAAAGCTGTCCGCCGAAGAAATGTACAAGCTCTAGCTGATATTTTAGAAGGGATGGAAGAAATAACTTATCGGACAACGTGGGCACAAGCTCAGCGCCTCCTTATTGAAAATCCTTCATTTGCTAATGATAGCACGTTGCAAAGTAAGTCATATTTAGTTAAAATTTCATTATTTTTTGAAAATTGAATTCATTTGCTTCTGTGGAAATGCCGATGCTGGTCAGCGGAATATTTTAGATATGGATAAAGAAGATGCACTCATTGTTTTTGAAGAGCATATACGTACGGCAGAAAAGCATTATTTAAAAGAAAAGGACATGGAAGAGCGTCGAAGACGCCGACAAGAGAGGAAAATACGTGAAGCTTTCCAAGTTTATTTAGTGGAACTGCATAAACGAGGTTGGTCTTTTTCTGTATTTATACCAATATTATTTTTTTAGTTTATCCATTCTGCTTCTTTTTGAACAGGTAAAGAAAGATAAGAAATCATTAGTAACCCACAAAGTGGGTTGCGAACGGTTTTTTAATGCTTTTATTTGTTAAGAACCGCTTTTTGAAAAATTTTTATTCCGATTCGAATTGCAGGAGAATTGACTTCAATATCATTATGGAGTGAACTGTACCCTGTCATTTCTGCAGATTCGCGTTTTGATAATATGTTGAAGCAGTCAGGAAGCACACCGCTAGATTTATTCAAATTTTATGTGGAAGATTTAAAAAGTCAGTTTGGTCAAGATCGACGAATGATAAAAGAAATTCTAAAGGTAGTCTGACATCTCCACTTTTAAAATAAGAGGAATTTTTTTATGAAGTTGGGTTATCAGTTGAAATTTGAAGGACTTGAACGTGACAGTCGAAGTGGGTACAACTTTTGATCAACTCTGCAAGTGGGTATCATCTGATGAAAGAGGTAAAACCGTTGATCCGGGTAACATGAAACTGTGTTACAATTCCCTTGTAGAAAAAGCAGAAGCTAAAGAAAAAGAGCAGGAACGTGAAGAAGCAAGAAAGGTTAGATATGAACACTTTTGAAGAAATTAATTAAGTGGATAACCAGCAGGGAAGTTGCTTCTTTCATTTTATAAAAAAATAGGGGCACTGCATATTTAGTATTAAGAAAAATAAAAAAAAATTGTAGAATTTATAGTTGGATTATAGTTAGAATGATGAGCAGAATATAATAAGTAGAGAACTCCATAAACAGTGGATTTGCAGAGAAGGCGGCATGAAACAGCATTTCGAAATATTCTACGAACTTTGGTCCCTCCAGTTGAACCAAACTCACAGTGGGAAGTTATACGACCGAAAATTGAAAACGAAGAGGCGTTTATTACAGTTGAAACTGAGCAGCTTCGCGAGAAATTTTTTAATGTGAGATTTTTTTAATAAATGTAATATTTTATATTACATTTTTTTTATATTACATTTTATATTACATTTTTTTTATATTACATTTTTTAATAAATGTAATATTTTATATTACAAAAAATATCAAATCATAAAGAAAGCTTTGTATATTACAGCAAAGAGAATATATTTCTCTTTTTAAACCAAATATTCGGCAACCAAATTTATTGCAGGATTATCTGCAGAATCTAGCGGAAGCTTGTGGTCATCATCATGGTTCATCAAAGAAAAAAAAGAAGGATAAGAAAAAACGTCGAAAGGAAGAAGTAAGTTTTCTGTTAATTGTTTTTTGCTTGTTATATTGATTTTGATGAGGAATTGTAAATCACTGCAAACTTTAGAGGGAGAGCGAAACAGAAGGCGAAGCAAGGCCAAAGAAAAAGAAAAAGCACCACAAATCAGATGTAAGCGATGAAGAAAAAGGTGAGTATTTTCTCTTTATTTATGTAGGCTGTACTTTCATCTTTTCATCTAATTTTTTAAAGTTTGACGCGTTTTGATGTCTCTTTTGAAAACATTGTAGATATCTAAACCAAACTCTTCAATGGAATGATATTTTTTGTGAATTTTTTAGAATTGTTCCTTATTAGGTGGTTTACTTTATTTTAAAATTCTTTTTTGCAAAAGACGATCAATATATGACGAATTGCAGGAACAGAGCGAAGACGTAAAAAGAAGAAAAAACGATTGCACTCAAAATCTTGCTCAAGGTCGCAATCTGTAGTAAGTACTGATCTTGTGTTTTGTTCTACTTATCATGGGGAATGTAACGTTTTTATGAGCCTTAATCTTGATTACGACATCAGTATCCAACTACAAACATATCATCAACCTATTGTATGAGTTAATAAGATGTCGAAAGTGTAAGTAATGTATCTGAAAGGACAGCTTATCCGGTTGTCAATGTAATGAAGAATTGTCACTTTGCCAAAACCAAGTAAAAAATTTGCAGTAATAGTGTTTAGTAGTCTGTGAGAATGGAGTAAGTAGCTACTTATTTAAATGAATAGATCATCACAATTACGCACTTGCTTATTATGCATATATACATATATATACATATGATTTATAGGAACCTGTTGAAAAACAATGCAAAGAGGAGGAAGATTCTCCATTGCAGAAGGTATGTTGTTAGTTGTAGAGTTTGATAGCTGTATTGCCCTCTGATATTCAGATTCTGTCAGCTGATATCTACATGGAAGAGGAACCTGAGCGTTACAAAGTGCACATTGGACGAATGCAGATAATATTTGAAAAAGAATATCGTGTTTGAATCTAAAATTAATTTTTTAGGATGAAAGTAACGAATCGGAATTAAGTGAAGGCGAATTGGAGCGGAAGAGAAAAATTTTACTGAATAAATTGGACGTATCTCCCCAGTCATCCTAATTGTATTTATTATGTGCTTTGAGGGTAAGAGATACTAAAGGAAGGAGTGACAAATAAGATTTCTATGATGATAAAGTAAAAAAAATAAAAGGAGAGCAAAATTTTTCAAAATAAATGCGCATTTGAGTTAAAATCGAGTATTAATGAACAAAAATTGGTTTACTGTATTTGATTTTTTTTTCATTTTGATTGGAGATGAGGTTTTATGTCTTAATTCAAAAAACTTTAAGTGGTGTTCTATTATTTGTTATTATTAATTTTATAACAGCGGTTGAAAGACTTGTTTTTACTCTTTACAACTCGTATAAATATTGCTGCAGTAGCGGTAACCTGCTCTGTGTTTTGTGTGCTTGGTTTCCAGGTTTGATTTTGTCGATTTCAATAAATATTCAGGATTTAAGTTTGGCGTTTGTAGCGTTCATAGTGTTATAAATTGACTGTATCTGTATGTAAGTACTGAACTCACTATTTTTTGGGAAAAAGGGGTGATAACTACAGGTAGATAGGTTGCAGTCTGCTTTTCAGAATTGAAGTTTTTTCTTGCTTCCATAATTATCTTTTTATCTTTTTGAAAATCTGTATTGAAGACTTTAAAGTTTGACACAGAAACTGAGTAAGTTTCGGAGCAATAATGAATAACGCTGATGAATCAAAAGACGGAATAAAATTTAAAAAAAATTTAAATCGGAGCATTCCGCAGTAATACCGCTCAATAGAATAATTGAAGAATGTGATATTTACAATTCCACTAATTGATAATTTGCTGTTTAGTGGTTTCACTTTCCTTGTTATTCTCTAATATTGAGCTAAATATGTCGAAACAAACCAAATTTCCGATGGGGATCGACTCGAAGAAGGTATTCTTTTTTTAACACCAAAGGCTAATCAAAGAATGGGAGAGGAAATCCGCAAGGTAAATCAGATAAAGGTGATGTTAAGCTACGGCGATGTAGCTGAAAGGATATATGTTATTGAGCATTATATTTTTTTTATTTGAGAGCATTAAGTTGTCAGTTCAGTATATGGTCATATTGTTGTCTTTGATTGGATATACTAAGGGTTGAATGCTTAATTTGTGTTCGGAGTGGTATTGTTAACTTATGCATTTTGTTTATGGGAACTACGGAGAGGAAGAACAACTTTATGTTTGCTGTTAAAATCACGTTTTCTAAATCGTTTTTAGATTAGCGGTGAGCTGTTCACCCTAACATACGGCGCTTTGGTGGCAGAATTACTTCGGGATTTGGAAAGTCCTTTGGCAGTTAGTTTTTTTGTTGGCAATATTAACGTTTTCTTGTGTTTTCCTCTGCTTTATTTTTTCTTTTTTTCGTTTCGACTTATAATTTAAATAGTTGCAGGTTAATCGACAGCTGGATAAAATGGGTTACAATATAGGATTACGATTAGCCGATGATTTGTTGGCGAAGAATTCTCAAATCCACCGTTGTACAGACATGCATCAAGTTGCTGATGTGCTGGCAAAAGTTGCTCTCCGCAGTTATCTCGGTTAGTTCTGGAAATCTTCATTTTATTGCCATTACTCGAGATGTCATCATTACGGATTTTCATTCCATTTAATTTTGTATGGAAGAAATTATTTGTCAGAGCTGTTACTGTTTTCATTAACTTCCATATCGGGCTCAATATGTAAGAATTTTTTTCGTTGAACTTCTGCTTTAAATGATGTCTTAAAATAGTTTTGATGTTTTAGGAGTAACTGCACAAGTGTCAAACTGGAATGCTCGTAATGATGAGTTTTCTCTCATCCTTGAATCAAATCCTTTAGCAGAATTTGTTGAAGTCCCACCTGAATTAGCGCAGGACCTTAGGCAAGTATTAATTTATGTGACACTTATTTCCTTTCTTCCGGGCAGTATGGGAAACCCTTTAATGGAAGAGAGACAATGAATACTTAGCTGACAGTTTAATAGATAATTGCACTGATCTTTGAAAATGGCCAAATATCATATGCATAAAACCAAAATGAATAAAAATTCATATTAGGAGCCCTGTGCAATGATAGTCAATGATAGTCCTGGGCGCGATGATAGTCATTATCATAAGTTCGGCAAAGCCCATAAAGCAAGAGATCTATCTAGGAGAGGGAGGGACTGGTGTATGGGCTAAATTTCTCCATTTTATCTTCATGTGAAAAATAAATTTCAAGGTATTCGCAAATACTTTGTGGCGCAATACGAGGAGCTTTGGAAATGATGCACATGGAAGTGCAAACATTCATTGTACAAGAACACAGTCAGAGTGTTGAGATCAGAGTAAAATTCATTCGAATATTGCAAGAATCAGTTCCGCCTGGAGATGATTAATTTCGTTACTGTAATTGTTTCTTATGTTACTTTTTCTCCAGCTATTTCACTGTACTTCTCAAAATATTGGAAATCTTGCCTCATGAATTTCGCACTGTGTCGTGCACCGTTTTTGTCAATAGTCATTTCATTTGAAAACTTTAAAAAATCGCCACATGAAGTCGATGTCCTCTGAATCCATAAAGCTTAGTTTAAAGCAGTGTTGCGCTTACCTAGTCTATGCTTATCCAACTACTAGTCTACTTAGTTTAAATTGTTTAAATTAGTATAGATGAATGTTTACAGTCCTTTAACTGTTTAATTATTATGTTTAATCTTTCTTGAAAATTTGTCAGTAACTTTGGAAAACTGGTTTTTTCGACCATTGATTCTGTTTGAGAGGGAAAACATTTGAGACTATGAAGAGCTGGCCAGAAAAGTTTTGAAACGATCCTCTTACCCTATTGTAATTATAACAGTCAAGATCTTCGTTTCTTAATTATGTTGCGATAAAAGTATATTCATGAGACAAAAGGAATTATATCTACACATGGCAAAACTTCTGCATGATAATTATAGAAGGTCTCAGTTCTGGTATTATCCTCACTTATCTATTTCCATGATCTTTTGGAAGATTTCCTAGAACTGTTAGATGCTTCTCTGCTGCAGAATATTTCTTGTCTAACCACATGGGACGGAATCTGTCGACTGTAGAAATTCATACTAAGAGAGGAGCGGACGCTAAATTGATTTACGCCATTTAATGGATAAATGTATTTATATTAATTCTCAGTAGTGAATTGATCCAACTTAAGTAAAATAAAAATAAAGGGGATTAAGAGATATCCCAATCTCTTCATACATGTAGCCGGGTAACTGGTGTTAATTGTGAACTACTTATTTTCCACATAAAAAAGCATGCAACAGCTTTTTATAATGAGATGAGGAAACGCAAAATAATGTTAAGTAAAGTCAAGGTCCGGAGATGTGGAACTTGCAGGAGGAAGATGCTCATTCTCATTTCCTGTGAAACATTTTTTACTCCATCGCTAAAATCCATCTCTAAAAACAAGACACAGTCGATGATCTCATGGTAGCAGAAAGACCACTTCCACACTTGATCCTCAGATTGTGATTCATACATATAGACAGAGTGGTACCATCAGTAACATCCACATGATTCAACGCTATCTCAGCTTCTTTTCATCTGCTAAATGACCCCCAAACGCCACCCCACGACCATCTTCGGTGCAAATTGAAATTATAACATTCTTAGCTGCAATAAATTGAAAAGGTCCTGAGATGTTACTGCTCCTTCAACGTACGGTAGATTGTGCATGTCATCGTTTTGATCAAGTGGTGTTGGCTATGATAGGCGGTTGGTGTGGTGCAACATTTTGTTGTGACGTCCGGATAAGTAGCTAACCATCCAAGATTACGAGTAAAGCATCAATGTATCTTGGAAGATGGCAGCTATATCTTGTTGCATCTTTTCTTTCTCTAATCGATCTTTCAAAGTGGACTATACGAAATATATCACCAATTTACGTCTTTTTTAGTTCCTCCAGTGTAGCAAAGTGCACGGACTGATAGGAGCGTGCAACACACAAACTCCCTTAGCATACGCCTCGTATAATCTCACTTAACTTTCGAAGAGGAAAAGATGAGAGGATAACGTAAATTTCTCTACCTTCAATGGACACGGCATCTCTGAATTTTTGAGATGCATTTGTTAATAAATCAACGCGACTCTCAGATTTCGTCAGATTCACTAACCCTTTTTTCCTGCTTTTTGTACCTCTTTTAGGTGGAAAAAGAAGATTTTGTTAATAATGGCACATTTTATGATGATAGTGAGTTCACTCATGGTAGTAACTACTTTTAGGTAGTAATATCGTTTAAGACTAGTTAATCACTTGACTATGTTAAAAATTGTCTTCAGTTATGTTCTTGGGGATCAACTTTCAGCATCTAAAAACTTTTAAAAGCTTTCTAATTTCTGATTTGTCATGGATTTTCTTTCCCATTTTAGATTGAGCTCAGATTAGAGATATATTTTTCCATGTATTTTAGAAGCACATTTTTTGTACGAGAAAACAAATCCAGAATTGCTGCAGGAGAAATGTCCGGCGGGACTGCCATGGATACGATGTCGTCTGCACCACACATGAATGAAGATAACGCTATACGTTATCTCACCAGCTTCGGTAAAGCTTGGTCTTTAAGATGCTTTTTCTTCAATTTACCATAGGTCTTTTAGCAGTTGTGTTAGTGGATACATTCTTCTACGCAATAATACACACGATTAGATTTTGATGAATCACCTGACCTTTTTTCTGTGTTTCAGAATCATACTTGATTCCCGGTGGAAAAGACTGCTTTCTTTGCTTGACTAAATAATAGAACAACCATCGAAATTGATTTGAAAGATATTATAGTTATTTCTGGAAAACCGACAAAATTTAGATTTTCTGGAAAGGTATAAGAACTTTTGCAGTGAAATCGCCGGTGAATGATGAGGCAGATATCAAGAAGAAGGAAGAATCGATTATGAAGCTGGGTAATATGCTGGCAAAAAATAAACGTACTCAAGAGTTGCGCAAAATGATCGAAAATACTCGTCCTTTTCTAGTATCATTAGGAAAGGCGAAAGCGGCCAAACTTGTTCGAAATTTGGTGGATCTCTGTCTAATGATTGACAATCAAGATGGAGATATCAAGGTAATCTTACTTATTTCGAATAATTAGTGAAGAGTTATTGGGTTTTCTTTCGTAACTTGTACTGCTTTCCGCTCCCGATCCATTAACGTTGTGAGACAATCGAGAATTTCTAGTACCTGAAGAAACAAGTGGAACATTCAAAAGAGAAATCATACATAAAAACAAGAGCTCTTTTTTTGATGTTCTTTGGTCATCTTGGTCATTTATAAAAATATTTCGTTCTTTAATAAGTTTTTTTTTTCACTTCTGCTTATCGGTATATTTTCAAGGTTGACTTGTGCAAGGAATGCATACAGTGGGCAACCGAACAAAATCGAACGTTCTTGCGACAGACATTGCAGGCTCGTCTTGTCCGTCTTTATAACGATCTTCGCAGATTCACTCAAGCACAGCAGTTAGGTACATAAATTTCCTAGTTCTTGAATTTTAGCGGTTTTTTGTGGTTGGTTGCGTAATCAGTAACCACACATTTTAGCAAATCAATTGGTTCGCGAACTAAAGAAAGTCGATGACAAAGATGTGATTGTTGAGGTGCAACTGGAAGAAAGCAAAGCTTGCTACCATTTAGGAAATCTGTCAAAGGTTGCTATATGATATTTCCAATTTAATTTTCAATGTTAAATCTTATTTGCTTGTTTATTTATACTAACATGCATAATTCCATCGGCAACTGCCTAATGTGATCGTACGCTCTTATACTTTTCAAATTACAGCGATGCTTCATCAAAAACACCTAGAGACATATTTACTGCAATCTCGCTATATATGTCACTATTTAAACTTGTGAGAGGTAGAAACATCTAAAAAATTTTCGGTTTTCGCTGTTCATGAATTTCTTTCAGGCCAGAGCTGCTCTGACATCAGCAAGGACAACAGCAAATTCAATTTACATGCCTCCTCGCATGCAAGCTGCGCTTGATATGCAATCTGGGATTTTGCACGCTGCAAGCGAACGCGATTTTAAAACAGCTTTTTCATATTTTTATGAAGCTTTCGAAGGATACGATACCGTTAACGATAAGCAAGACGCTATACGAGCCCTTAAATATATGCTTCTGAGCAAGGTTGGATTTTACAGGCTTCGATTTTTGGATGTTTTGCACATGCTGATTATTTATTTGTTTTCTCTTAGCTACGTTTTTTCATGATACTTTTTAAAATTTAGCATTACTGCAATGAAATTCTTAGATAATGCTTGATTCGCCTGAGGAAGTGTCAACAATTTTATCGGCGAAGCTAGCACTAAAATATAGTGGATCGGATTTGGATGCTATGCGTGCAGTTGCAGATGCTGCCAAAAAACGGTCATTGGCTGACTTTAATGCCGTATGTTTGGTCTTTGATAGTTCTAGATTCATTCCATGAATTGCTGCAGTATTCAAATCAGCTTCCTTCTCCAGGCATTTGGAAGTTTTCGTGACGAGCTTCAGTGCGATGCTGTTGTGAAGAAGCACTTCAATTCTTTAAGTGATAGTATGCTCGAAAAAGATTTGTGTCGTATAATTGAACCGTACTCCTATGTCCAGCTTGAACACATTGCTTCAAAAATTGGGCTTACTAGGGATAAAGTGGAGAAAAAATTGTCACAAATGATACTGGATAGGAAGTTCTCAGGTAACCGTTCAACCACACTTTATAATCAAATTTTTCTGCTAGCACTATTTAATTTGTGCTTAAACTGGATAGGTGTTAAAGCTAGCATTCTTTACAGGAAGCTTACGTCAAGGGGAAGGGATGCTGATTGTGTATGATCTTGCTCCTATGGACAAAACATACGAAGCAGCAGTGGAAGCCATTCATGCTATGAGTGAGGTAGGATTTTGTCGAAATGCGTTTGATTGTATCTGAAATCTAATACGAGATGAATAATTTATATAACTAGAAACATGTTATAGGTCGTTGATGCATTATACCAACGGGTGAAGAAATTAAGATGATATTGTTCTATAATTGGTGATATCTCCGAAGAAGAGTTTACGGTTTTTAGTTAAAGATTCCACAATATTGATGTAGCTTTTAAATTGTACAGTTCAAAGCTGTTTGCATACACCTCACAAAAGAGGGTAAGATAAAGATATTAGAAGTGAATGTACTTTATATCTGCTGGTGTTATCATTTGGACTTCATCATTTTTTTCCTTCTGAGTTTTATGTAGCTTGTATTGTTGCTGGTATTGTGTTTAATCCAGTATCCAATGAAGTATTAGATTATTGTTTTGTCGTCAATGTTTCAGAACAATCTGATATGTATAACATTATAAGAATTCAAAATAATCATACATTTATGATATTAGCTCAGATTAACTTACCATCTGCCTGCATTTCGATAGCATTTTAATGAATAGACGTACATCATTGAAATAAAGCAAGCTTGTATGGTATATGTATAACAGCTATTTATGACCTCTTCAGCATATTTTTTTGTTGTTTTTCATTTGTCATTGTTTTGCGTGACATTTTAAAATCCCAACTAATGGGACGCTTCATACTCTCTATGTGTAGGGATTATTAATCTTGGCGTTATTTGAAACATTTGATGCTTTTTTTAAATAAAACATGGACTGACTATGCTTGCTTGATGAAGTTATCGGTCGTAACCATTAATAATACGTAGATCATAGGTGTTTGTCTTTCATTGCTCAAGCATTATTTTGGAATCTAAGGGCCTTGCCCAATAAAAATATTTTTTTGTGTCCTGCTAATCTCAGTTATGCTAGAAAATGTAATGCGAATATTGGATGAATTCTTTCAGAATTTTAGTTCCTGTTTATTTCGCTTGAATTAAGGAAATACTAATCATCTGATTCGGAGTGCTCTTCTGCATGTCGATAGTCGGCCTCCGTCCATGGTGCGTTCATTTGATTTTTTGTGATTATTTTTTCCTTTGTAGTGGGTGGTTGCATTAGGGAAAGTTTGAAAGAAAGCTCGAGACCATAATCGTGCAGCAAACTCACGCATAATTAGTAAAATACATTCAGTTACACTGAGGAAGTCAGGAATTTATGATTCCATTACTGCTCGAGTGCGATCGTTATACTAAACATACATGCGATGGTAACAGTAGAATAATTGCAGTGATATGCGGATTTTATATTCTAAAAGATAGGCAGTATGAAAATAAATACCACTCTTCATATCGATATTTCCAGTATTTCGGCTACTGATGTCTATAAGTGTGACGCCAACTTCGATAGCGCTAGCCTCAGTTGATCGTTTACTGGTGATTGCGGCAAAAAAGTTTGATTCCAATAGCCCGAACTCTTTATTTGACAAGGTTTTTGTTTTTGATTTGTTAAATTCTAGTTGGTATTTTATAAACTGAAAGGGGAAATTGGATTGAGTTTTTTTGTCCTATGTGTACTGGACTGCATGAAATATTTAAATGTTCTGCTATGGACCAGTAGCTTTATTGTAGCTTTATTGCAATGCCAGTCTAAAGAAGACTAAGCGAAACTTGCACGGAAGCTGCTGTAGCGGGATTTGGCTGCTTATTACAGACATGAAGTTAGGAATTAATCTATGTGTTTGTCAATAGAGGGAACGTGAGGACAGTGTTCTTAATTACTCATAAAGGGAACTTCCAATTTCTGTTTTGAAAATTGTAATCGTATTTTTATTCATTTTTGGTCCAAAGAGACATCGTGTTTCATCGCTTCAATATATGATTTGACGATCTACATACATCTATCACACTTTGATCATTTCAAATAATTTTTAGGAATTCTTAAATCGCATATTTGTGGCACCTTGTTCTACTGAGATTGGCATTGTTGATCAGCACGTTTTTCGCGTGTTGCTTGATAACATTATAACATCAAATACGTTTTTATCTGATTGTCTACCTGCTTCAAGTTCAACAAACACAACAGCTCCATCTGTATCTGTTAATACTGATACATTTCAAAAACAGCAAGGATTTGACAATCAACAACTGTCAGGGTCTTTATCAGCTCGGAAGTACGACCTCCAACTGAAAGGCGATTTCTGCGCGTACGTAATTCGACAGGTTGGTGTTGTGTTGTGAAACCAGTGAGCCGGTCAGTTTGTCACATATATATGTATGCATGGGCTTTCTAATAGTTCTTAATTTACCTTCCTAGCAGTGGTATTTTCAATCTAATTCTCGCGTTTGCTGTATGTGAGAGGTGATATCATTATGTGGATTTTGTATTTTGTATTGGGAATATCTTCACGATCTTTTGTTCTTTATTTGAGCGTTAGTGAGTGAATCTCTTATGGTTTAAAGTAGTGTGTTACGGGGTCTGTTAAAGAATCACAGTTATTCAGATTAAGTAGCGTTTGTAAATTTTTTGTATGGGGTTTACAATTCTACTTTCAAGCTATTTTATGTAGTTTACTCTTTCAGTCATTTTTTCAAGTTACTGTCTTATAGTCTCTTTGTTCTTCTAGCCTTTATTATTGTTTCGACGCTGCGTATCATTTTCTCATTATGATGACTAATGACTCGCATATGTTGATTTGTGACATTACATAGCATGGGAGTCTTTGCATGTTTCGCTTTTATGAATACTTTGTATGATGTATGCCAGAATACTTTTCTTCATAATGACCCCAGCAATAATAATAGCGAATGTTTCATTTCAGCAACTGAAAAACTGTGTCAGAGACCCAACAGCAACTTCTATACGTCTTTTTTATCGTTTTGTTGAAGTGTTAGAAGAAAGATTAGTGGAAATACGGTACAATCTACTCGGGCGTTTTCTTGAAACTATCCTTGTTTCGTTGCTATCCGTTGATCTTTCTATTCAAGTGCTTGTTGGCCTTATTCTTTTTTCCTCCTCACTTACGCCACAAATTGCCAAAGGACTTGGCCAGTATCTTCGTGACATTCTTGCAGCAATATTTGAAGCTACCAGAAAAGGTAATTTTTTTCCAAAGAGGGTAGAATGCTGTCTCTTTTCTGTGGTTTTCTTGCGTTATCTGTATATTGCAAACAAATGTTCTCAGAAAATCTTTTATTCACTTCAGACAATTCAACAGTCTTTGATTGTGCTTTATCGACCGAATTTATTCATCAGCTTTTTACGTCCCTTTTTTCAACGCAGGTTATTGAATTTGTTGCGATTGATCGACAATCTGTCATTAGCTTTCTGAAAATTTTTGAAAAAGGTCTGTTTGCTTTATCCAACGTGATGTTTGTAAGAAGAAAGCATCTTGAAGTGATTTGTTGCTGAAATAATTCATTTTCATGGAGGCTATTGATTATTGTATTGCAGAGCTTACTTTACGTGGTGTTGCTTTAATAGGAACTCTCTCGCCACTCCAACTTATTTTGACAGCTACATCCGAAGGAGGTTCTAAGGTACCATTATCATTAGTTGGAAGTGAACATCTTTCACCCTTTGATTACGTTGATCTGGAAGATAAAGATCTCGATGATATAATGGATAGCCTGGCTTATCAAAATCCGAATTTACTGGCGCAACAGATTCAGGTATGTAGTTAAAATTGACAACTTTTAGCGACCATATTTAAAAATGTAGGTGTGATCTTCTGTAGCCGAGTACCTAATATTCGCAAATGTTTTTGTGTTTTTTTTTTCACCCGAAAAGAAATTCGTTTAACAGGAAATTGGTACAACATTTACATCAAGTGTAAAATCGTGTCGGCAGCATTTGATCTCACTAAATTCTGGGGACGGAACAAGTTTAAATGCTGTTAATCTTTCTCGAGTTATTGTGATGATGATAAACACATGTTCCGGCTCCAGTATACAACAGCCGGTACAACCAAGTGTTTTATGGGATCATCGTTCTGGGAGTGTTGCAGGTAATCGTCTTCTATATCTTCTACCTTTGTGCTTTGCCTTGAAGAGATTTCCGACTATTTTGCAGTCAGAAGTTGTTAAAAAACTTTATACAAGAAATATTTTAGCAATTGGGACAAGTTCTTCTGCAGAAAGTTTGTCAACAACCACTAGTGTTCTGTCTGAAAATTCTGCGAGTGCAACCATAAGCTCAACATCACAATCGATGCAACAGATTGCTTGGAATGCCAAAAATTTTGCAAACGCGGTTCGGGAACTGGTAAGAAATCCCTAATTTCGGTTCAGTTTATTTTTTTTCATAACGCTTTTTCTCGACTGAAAGTCTGAACTGTTTTGCAGGCACCAAACTTAAATTGGTCGGAAATAGTAATGCACCTTGATCAAACAAATTTTATTGTACGAACAAAAGCTCAGCTGCAGTTACTAACTACAATTTTGTTAGAGGGCCTTGGTTCTAATCCTTTTCCGATAGGATTGTTGTATCGTGAATGGAATTTCCACAAATACGGCCAGGTATACTACTTGACTTTTGCATAATGCAGTTACTGTGAAATGGATATTTCATTTTGTCAGATTAGCAATGGTAACACTAAAATATCCAAAGCGGCATTAGGATTTCGTATTGTCTAGCTGATATATTGTGTTAATATGCTGAAATTGTATTATGCGAACTCATTTTTGGTATATTTCAAGAACTTCTTCGTCATAACTTTTCTATCATATTAAACTTGTCAGATGTTTTATGATTGTGGAACTAATTAGTTTCTTCTTTGCAGTTATCATGGATTGAACAAATATTACAAAATCCTGATGTATTTTGCTTTTCTGACTATCCTCACAAAGCGGTGAATTTGACTCCATTGAAAGTACAGCCGGAGGAAACGCGGGAATTAAGTAACTGGTAAATTTTTGTGATCTTTTTTTAATAATAATTTCCTTAACAATATTTGCGATTTATCTAATTTTAGGCGCTGTTTGGATTTGGTGGATACGTTAATACGATTAGGTGAAGTGAGAAAATTGGTGAATGGTGTGATGAATATTTTGCATAAACCAACTAGTGCTTGCCCGGATGTTTTATTGCTAGCTTTATTGCAAATGCAGGCATGTTATTTTGTGAAATCGGATCATCTTAGACGGTTGAAAATTTTCAGGAGTTTTAATGTTTGAAATATTGAGTGATCAGTTTTATAGTCATTTTTAGTTGCCTACGTCAAATTTGCGCATTCACCTAATGCAAATGCTCATACCAACGTTGATTGGAAACAATCCGAATGCTGTTCCAGTATTGAATGTAGTTTGGAATTGCGAAGACAAAGTACAACTGCGGACAACGATTTTAACTGCTCTTTGCAGTTATTATATGAAAAATCCAGATGATCAGACAAAATTATCCCGAATCTTGGAAGTAGCTCATGAACTTAAACCGGACGTTAGTATTTCAGCCTTCTGAAAACTTTTCTTTATTAATATTTTAGGCGCTATGACTGTTGTGATTTTTTATGCATTTTGAGTGTTGCGGAGATATAAGTTTCTGCTTTTCAGTCCAGTAACTTTTCCAATTTCCTATTTACAGTGTTGGGAGATTTTGAAGAGAGAGGTACCAAACTTTATGGATCTTCTTTAGAACTCATTCTAGCCTTTATCACTTCAATATTTAGCATTTCTTACTGTCACAACAAATTAGTATATTTTGTATTAAACGAAATCAGTGGAGCTGGTTTATCAAATAACTATAAATAGGAAATTGGAAAAAAGAGAATCTTCAGTTAATATGAATTACCATTTCTTATATGTAATCAGACTCATTTACCGAAGCATGAGGTTATTATCCTATATGAATTATAAAATTATCCTATATGAATTATTTGCGTCATTTTTGGATTTCAGGGCTTAGCTGAACTATTCAATGTTCCACAATTTCCTTTTACAATTGATTTGGCTTGTTTGGCTTCGAGAAGAGATTTCTTGAAGTTAGATAAATGGATTGATGATAAATTAGCAGTATATGGAGTAAGATCTATTCTTCCTTTTAATTTAACTTTAGTTTTAAGTAAAATGAACTGACTTTAGTGTTACAGCATAAGGGGTGATGAATGTGGTAAATTCAGAGTTTTTCAAATTTCATTAAATTTGTCGATTGCAGGATGCGTTTGCTTCACAGCTTATATGTTACATACGTCGTCGGTTACCAGCAGGCATGGTAAACAGTAGTGTATTACCGCAAGAGACAATGAGAGTGTTATTGAACGCCCTTTCAAGGACGACCTGTATGTCCAGTACATCAGTCAACGATTTATCCTCGCTTTGCTGTCAGATACCCGGGGTTAGTTGACACTTTTAAATTGATCTGAGAAGTAGATGTTCATATGAGGAATTGGTTCAAGTAATGAATGCACTTTCTTATCACTTTTCACATAGAAAGCATTTCTTTAGTCTTTGATAGTAGAAATATCCAGTTTCTTTATCAAGTTGAATCACCGTTCTTTTGATTCATAAAAAAGACTGAATTAGAAAAGACTGACATAACGTTTTTTTATCTCAACTTTATTTCAATATCAATTGCTTGTTGATCGCGAGGATGTAGATCAATACTTATTCTCATTAAATAGTAATGAATTCGCAGGAAATTTATCCTAACCACTGGAATCTTTGTGAAAAATTAATTCCATACTCTGTAAACAGCTGAAAAATGGAGAAGGACGTTTGTCAGCTATATCAACCTCTCGAACACAATTAAACGTAGCTGGAACTGCACATTCATCAACTTCGAATGTGTTTGGCAGTGGTATGGGAGGGCCATCGGTGCCAGTACAACAACCTTCGGGCAATTTTGGTAATTTTCCTTTCGGAACAACAGGATTTGGTGCATCAAATAGAGATATGCTTGGTAATGATTTTTAGAAATTCATAAAACTGAGTTTTGTTAAGTATCACTTAATATAATCATGCTTAACAAATATAACATTTTAAGCAGCTGCACAGCAAATGCAAAATCGACAACAGCAACAAGGAAATTTGCCTGGATCAGTGCAAATTTTTGGAAGCGGCACAGGAACAAATCTTTGCGTACCAGGCTCTACTACGGCGCCGTTTCCGCAAGCAAATGAATTGCTTAAAGTGAGTATCACTTTTTTTGTCCAAGTGGTGCATTCGTAAAATATCTATCACATTTTCAGGCGACGAATGCAGCTAACATTTTGCAACCGAATTTTAATGGAAGTCATGCTTTGTCAATGTCGCCATCCGGGCAGATGATGAGGACAGGTTTTATGAGCAGTGGAATATCAACCACACAAGCGCGGCCAGTACCTGGAGCTGGAGGACCTGGATGGAGCATGCCAGTGGGTATACCAGGTCTGAATTGTAGCAAAATTTTTTGTCTATATTAATTTTACTTCTGAACAGTTAATTTTCTTAAATCACCTCAGTTCTAAACTAATGTGATATACATCGTGTAGTAGCATAAGGCTTTTGTCTGACAGCTTTTGCAGTACAGAATATCTGCTATTATCATCATGTGATAGTCAAAAGTTTAGCATGCCGATGCTATTGAGGTGCAAAATTGCATCACAGAATTAAGCGGCACATCTGACCCACTAGCATTGTGTTTTCTTTCCAAAGGGGATGCATTAGTCTCTATTATACAGAGCAGTGATGAGTAACCGAAAAGTCTTGGTAAAAATATTTGCTTTCAAATGTGATTCTTCGCCTAGCGGAACCATTTTCGTGTCATTTATTTCATTTCTGTTTAGCCTAGAATGCATTTTTTGTTTTCCTGTCTAAGTTTAATGGATGAATGTGAAGTATAAATTATTTGCTATTTTATTAATGAAATTACTCATTGTATTATAAAAATTCTTCGACATGTTATTTAAATTCTACACTTATAATTTGTAGGAACTGGTGGTGTGCGAGCAACACCAGGGTCTGGTACTGGACCTTCATCAACTCTTGATTTCCGCATGCCTCCTGGTGCCCCTGGTTCAGCAGGTTAGTCATTGTCACTTTTGTTGTTGTGAAATCAGTTGCACTGATTTTTTCCATATAGCCATTTGGTGAGAAATATCCACAGCAGTCTAACCCAGATCGAGAGCACTGTGTCATTTTTTCACATATTAATCTTAAAAAATAAATCAGTCACTAGCATCGGAACTGGACTGTTGATGTAATATTAGTATCATGAGCTTCCATTGTTGCACACCTATAGGCAGTTTTAATGACCCCATAATTAATTTCAAATTCCAATATCATGGATAGTTAATGATTAATGGAATTAACTACAGTTATGAAAAATGTCACTTGTTTTATGTTTTCAGGAAGTGTGTTAAATGGAAACAATTCGTTTGTGCATAACGCATCCGGACAACAACCGCAGCAAAATGGTAGTTCGCCAGGTCGTATTGCTGTACCCCCTGCACCTATGGACGATCTTACATCTGTACAATTCAGTGAAGAAATTCAGAATGAGGCAAATATGTACTTTCAGCAAGTAATGTGCTTTTATTTCTTCTGAAACATAAGTAGTCAAGGGAAAAATCTGATCTTTTTTTATATAGATAATAAAATGATCCATCATGATCGAATGCCAAACTGCTTTCACGTTTTAGTTATCGTTGTAAAACACAGGTTTTCAAATAAACTGTCAAACTCAGATAGATCTTTGTACTCTTCATATTTCATGAAATTTTAGTCTAAATTATGGAATTTTTTTTTGTAGATATACTCTCAACATATGCAAATGCCGGTTGCTGATTTTGTTGAACGCTTGAAGCAGTTTAAAGCATCAAATGTGCAACGGGACAAGGTTCTGCTTTTCATATTATTTTCGTATTTGTGCGCTTGTATTCTGAGTATTAATAAGACGGTCCTATTTATAGGATATTTTGGCATGTGTGGTTAAAAATTTATTCGAAGAATATCGATTTTTTCACGAGTATCCTGAACGGGAGTTAAGAACAACCGCAGAAGTTTATGGCAGCATTATTCGTGAGAGTGTCATCTCGTATGTTTTCTTTTATTTTAATTTACTTTTCATCAGCATTATCTTTGTCATTTTACGGAACTGTTTTTATGAAATAGAGTTTAAGTCATAATAGGAAATTGGAACAACTATGAGTTATCATATTGCTAACGTAATCCATTTCACTATCACTCGCGGGACTGAAAAATCGTAAATTTTGCAAAATCGGCAAAATTTTTGAAATACTATTTCAGGAACTTGCAATTTGCTACCGCAGTGAGGAAGGTAATAGAATCATTGCAAGCAGAACCGGGTAGTATGCTTTGGACATTTGGAATCGTAGCACTGAATGCATGTCGAACAAAATTGAGTTTGTATCCTAAAGTATGTGTCATGATTGCTAACCAACGGAATTTCCAGCATTTTCCACAGAATTTAAAGGTATAATGTTTGGTTCGATAAAATAATGAAAAATTTTCTAACAGAACAAATTCTCTGATTATCCGGATCTCGAAGTTTTATGTGTGAAAAGCATTTGATTCGTTTTCAAAGATTCTTTTTCTAAAATCCTGCTCACATATCCATATTGTAAATCCTGTATAAGAGAGGCAAACGGTGTACTTTTGTATAAAGAGATCTTCGTGTATAAATATCTTTAATGTGAAGAACACATTCTGCTTAAATAAATATGACATTGTTGATTTAGTGACATGTATGGGTTTAGGATTACGTTAGCAGCGGCATACAGGGACAACAGCCTCATGTTCCTGGTCGCGAAACACCGAATTGGCAGCCGCAGCAACGAACAACAAGTGATATAAACCGAGCCTTAGCAGCACGTTCCGTATGACTTCTAAATTCATACTGTTTAATTAATGAGTTTGAAGCACGAATCAAATCACTAAGTTGTTCAGTGTTTTTTTTTTTGTAATACTTTATTTTTTCAGGGTTCATCAGTACTTTCTGTTACTAGCGTTGATACATTGGTTAATGCAACTGAAAAAGAAGGTAATCAGATAAAGCAGCCATCAGAAACTGTAATGGAAAAAGTTGCATTTTTGTTCAATAATTTAAGCCAAATCAATCTTCCAAAAAAGGTGGGTTTTAATGGTTATGTTATACTTATAATGGAATAAGTTGTCAAATGGGTTTTCATTTCTGAAATGGAATTTAAAATTCATCTATATTTTTTCGCACCTTTTGAGGTCGAAGAAATAAAAAGTATGATCGATGAGTTGGATGATGACTTCATTCGATGGTTAGCACAATATCTGGTAATGAAACGTGTTAGCATTGAACAGAATTTTCAACCTCTCTACAATCTCTTTCTTTTGGCAATCGAAAATAGGAAGCTAGAAGAATTCGTGAAGCTGGAAACTTTTCGAAACATAAAAGTATTATTGTTTTTGATTAACGCAATTAAAAACCATATAGGGCTTTTCTTGATCTCTGGCAGATGTATTGAAGGCTTTTTTTACACATGGCATTGATTCATTTGATTTCATGTAATGCGTTATAGGGATCAGGCATCCCTAAAGCCAATATTAAAGTGCATTTATGCCAAGAGCACATGTTATATAAATAACAGCTGCTTGACCAAGAGTATGCGACAGATTCAAATTCTGGATACGTTGGTGTAAAATGGATTGTTTAGGAAGCTATTTCCTGTACCGAAGATGTAGTTTGTGGTAATACCAAATTGTGGAGAAGGGCTTTCTTATCAGTAGAAGTGAAGTTTGTTCAAATCATTTGAACAAGAATTTTTTTTTTAGATCATGTTTCATTTTTTTGAGATTCTTTTGCGGAGTGACAAACGACAAGCAGCGACGAACTTTGGCGATAGACAGTTACTAAAAAATCTCGGCTTATGGCTGGGTGCGATTACAATCGCCCGTGATCATCCTATTGTTACATCGGTATTTCTTAGTCTTTCTGGCTCAATTTGAAATTTTCCTTTTGAAAATGCATTTACGTTAGCTGTTATCGGTTTCAATTTAAGGATTTGGATATGAAATCCCTTCTTATGGAGGCTTATTACAAAGGACAGCAAGAACTTCTGTTTGTCGTGCCCTTTATCGCGAAAATTCTTGTTTCTTGTAGCAAAAGTCAGGTAAGCCGTTCCTATCATTCGAATTTGACCAAGAAAATTCCGAATTCTTCTCTATTTCTACCATAACTTTCCGTTTACAGATCTTTGGTCCAAACTGTGCCTGGATAAAAGCGATCTTCAAAATTTTGGCCGAGCTTCACAACCAACCAGACTTGAAATTAAACTTGAAATTCGAAATAGAAGTACTCTGTAAAGAATTGGGTGTTGACCTAAGCAAGCTTACAATAGAAGATGTGTTGAAAGATACCGAGCGTTTAATAAGGCTTCCACAACAATTAGGCGATCTGAAGATGTTAAAACCACCCGAGTTGCAGGTCTCTGTTGTCTTCTGAAAAGTTTTATTTGTCTTATTGAAGCTGATTACGTTTTGAAAGTAGCAAGTTTTCCCTAACTTACTGAAATTACGAGTTATAGTTTAGTGGGTTACTAAGCATAATATTATTTATATTATTGTAAATTGCACTTTCAGATGGCGGCCTCACCTGTCCCAGCAGTACGTACCAATTCTGAAGCTTCTGGAGAAATTGTTGTAGCAGGTATACCACAAACAGCAACTGCTGATGTTGATCATTTGATTGGCAATTTGTCAAACATCACTATGCCGAGTAAAACTTCTTGCATTATAACTCTAGATTTATTTAACTTTAACTACGATAGGGATATGCATAGTTTATCAATCAATTTTTTTAAGTTCCCTGTGTTGCAATTGGTAGGATTTTGTTGACTAAGGTTGAATTTATACATCCCCTGTAAGCATATAGTTTGATTCTTCCCACATCTACTCATGTTTGATGGTGGTAGATTCAACAGTCTTTATTCATCGATGACTTTCACCGTTGTAACATAGTTCTGATATTCTCTGCTTCAAATGTTTCTTTAATGTTAGAAGTAGGAATAAGGTATCAACTACTGGGATCAGCTTTCCGATTCTCCTTAGTCCAGTTGTTGTTGTCCTTTTTTTTAGTGGAATTTTTGAGCATATTCTATTTTTCGCAGAAAGACAAAAAGCGGAATGTATCTTTTCTCTATTTTCCAAGCAATGTTGCTTTATAGTCCAGAAAATATCTTAATGCACCATTTTCCTTTCTCGTTTGAGTTTCGTCAGGTTCTGAGCTTTGTTCTTTAAACTTTGCACTGAACTGAACTGTGCATTTTACTGGCTTTTCAAATATCACACTATTTTTTTGACATTTAGGAAGTCAATCTCCAAGTGGTACACAAGTACAAACACCAGCTCATTTTCACTATCACGATATAAACATTGTTTCCTTTGATGGTCTAACACCTCATTTAAAGCTATCAGCTTCACTGCCTTTGTTTCAGGTTAACTTTAACCATTTATTTGGTTTTCTAATTTGAAATATAAAACATACATTCAATATTATTTTTGTCACTTCAACAGACATAGCTAATTTATTTTTCTGCATCAAGTTTTAGCTGAATCCACAGTTGAAGCATGTTGTCCGGCCAGCAATTAGTCATGCGATTAAAGAATTGATTGGACCAGTTACTGAACGGGCGATCCGGATTGCTATGCATGTTACAGAACATATTTGCAAGAAGGTGATCTTAAATTTTGAATTGTTACGGTGCTGCTTTGTCTTGTTCATCTTTAATTTCTCCCTGTATAATTTGAATTATTTCTTTGTGATGATTATAAATTTTTATGAACCATAACATTTAGGATTTTGCACTAGAGCCCGACGAGCAAAAGATGCGTCGTGCTTCACAGCACATGATTCGAGCAATGACAGCGGGGATGGCATCCATAACATGCAGAGAGCCACTATCTTCAACTATCCTGGGATTCCTCAAAACGGCGTTCACAAATTCTTTACGGTGCAGTATTACACCTGAACAGGTGAATGATTTTTTAGTAAAGGTGAAGTGTGTTGAATATTTTTGAATTCCTCCAATATGCTCCAATTTCATTTCTCCAATATGTTTCTTACAGCAAAAATTAATCGATGAAGCTGCAACAACGATTGCGGAAGATAACGTGGAACTGGCAACAAATTTTATAGTCAAGACAGCATGCGAAAAAGCTACGCCGGAAATGGATAAACGTCTTGAATCCGAATTTACTACTAGAAAGCAATATCGTCTTGAAAATCGACAGTATGCTGACCCTGTTGCCCTTGCTCGCGCTCAGCAGATGCCAGATAAAATACGTCTTCGTGCTGGATCGGTTACAAATCAACAGATGGTTGTTTATGATGAATTTTCCAGGTATTCAAAATTTTCTAAGTTAAAGCAGTAAGACAAAAATAATTGATTTAATTTTCAGCCGGATTTGTGGTTTCAAACCAACGACAGCCGAAGATATGATAGTCGATTTCAGTGTTATGAAATCATCTACTCCAACCGGCATGCAGCCAGTGATTCAGCAGGTATGATATTTAATTTCATATTATTGACCTTCTCTAATCTAATCTAAATCTAAGAATTTATGCGGATCCTTATTTGTATTTCAGCAAAAAGTAATAATTTTTGCAATTACTTCTGTTTGACATTTTAGTGATTTTTATAGCCTGGAATGGATAAAGAAGTGGAGCAATTTGTGACGGCTTTACAAGTGCTTGTGCACGATATTGATTCAATATTATCCGCTTATGGTGTACCAAACTATCGAGCAAGTGCTGCAATTGCTAATATTCGTGACGCAATATCGCAATTGGCATCTAATCCACGTGAACCAATCCAAATGCATAATTGTATACAGCGTATTGTTGAGCAAGTTTTGTGTTCCTACAGAAATGCAGAATTCCAACAACATCAGTTGTGTATGTTTTGCAGTTCCTTTGTTTTTCTCATGTGAAATATGTCTTTATTGTGTTTCTATATTAACTTATAAGTAAGAATTTTGGATAGGAGTAGGGATAGCAGTAGCAGTCAGCAATGACGACCGGGCTGAATTATATGCCTAAAGCATTTATTATTGTAGTTCCAAGCGCCATATTAAAATTTTGTCGTCTGCGCTTTAAAAATCTAGCTTTGAAGGACTAGCTAAACCACTTAGAACGATGTAATCGGAAGTGTATTAATCTGTGTTGTGGATTGTCAGTGTGGTGGATGAGTGCTGCACTCCTGGTCTCATTGCTGTACTTGAACTACACTAGTCTCTGAAGTTTGTGATATGCTCCGTCGTTGATTTTGTGGCTATGTAGTTTACTACAGTATAATAGAACATTCCACAGCTGTGTTTGAAAAATAACTGTGGAAAATCACTTCATCATTTCAGCGCCTCCAGAAATGGATTGGAATCGCAGGTTGAAGGACGTATTTCTTCAACTTTGTCGTGTTCTTCTAACACAGATTCCGTTGGGTGACTTAGCTCGTCGTGTGACTCGAGTGATCGTGGATTGCAGATTAGATTATCGATTCAATGTTGATGCTATGGATTTGCTTGCGAAACACATGCTTATCCAAATGAATGTTTATGACCAAAATTTGGCGATGTTGATCGATAGCGGCAGCAATTTTGAAGTCATTTTTTCTTTGTCCAACGGTAGTTTGGGGTTATGTTCTCGGCTGTTATTATTTTGTTCTCACATTACTTTAGAATGTCGTGTTGAATTACCACACCGTTTCCAATTCAATTTCAAATCAAGGTTCATAAGTTTTATGAAGGTTTTCATAGCCGATTTCACATTTCTTCGTGAATTAGAATGATGCCGTTTAAAAGCAAAAGTAAAATGTGTGAGCATAGTTCAAGCTTCTTAGAGGTTGGCAAGATTCGTCTGTCTTTTTATAATCTTGAATCACTAACAGGGATATTAATTTGAGAAACATCGATGTTTAGTTTTTACTTGTGAGGGTATTAATTTTCTTTCACTTGATAAGATAACTCTTTTCCGCAGGCTTTAATATTTGCTCAGCGATTTTTAAAACTATTAACAATGAATAATCCAACGCATTCGCGACAAGCAGTTTCTGAATCAATGCCTCTCACGATGGAACAATTAGCTAAGGCACAACAGTTCGGACAGAACAGGCCAACTCCTGAAAGGTATGTGGAAGATATGTATTTTTTGGAATGGTGCAATCTATAGTCATGTGACTTATGCACAAAGCAATTCTTGACAGCTCAAATTTGTAAATGATGTTTCAGCTTTGCAACGGCAGCGATACCGCTTAGTAACGAAGTGACACTTATTGGTTCACGGGGCGTTACATCACTTCCACCACCTTCCACCATGGCTGATCGCGTGCATAACAGCCTACCAGTAGCGCTTGCTGCATCAGTGCCACCGTCTGGTCCAATTGGAAGCGGTGCGCATCTTCGAGGTGATAATATGGAAGATGGTGCCGAGTTACAGAGCAAGGTAGAAATGATATTGCGAGAATGGATACAGCTTTGTTATACACCGCAAGCACAAAAAGAACCTCAGCAAGCTCTTGCGCAAATTGTTCATGTGGTAAGACAATTTTTCATTTTCCTACAGTATTAAATTATAAAGAAGAAAATACGTTCAAAATTCTGCGGTCAGCATGTACTAGTGCTTGATCCACAAGAATTGTGAATAGCAGAATTCTAAAGCAGTGTTATTGCTAAATTTCTATGACGTATACAAAGTGTAGGTTGTCATCTCCACAATACGGAGATCAAAATTCACGAAAGACAGGAAGCCTCGGATATTTTCTTCAACCATGGATTTTTTTCGAATTGAATTAATTGACACTGTTGCACATTTTCAGATGCATGAACAAGGTGTTATATCAACAGATGAGATGATCACACGATTCTTTCGTTTATGTACCGAAATGTGCGTCGATGTATCTTATAGGTTAATAAAGAACGATGTAAGCGGCCATCCGACGACCGTTGTACGACAGCGGTGCTATTATACACTTGATGCTTTCGTCAAACTCACATGGTTAGAAATTATTTTCAAGCTGCTAGATGCATCTCTTGAACTTTCATTTTCTTTGCGTTCTTTTGCGTCTTTACTGGGGTGAAATTCGATTTTTTTTTGCAGTTTAATGATCAAACACAGTGATGGGAGTCAATATCAAACGAAAATTAATTTGTTGAAGAAAGTTTTGAATATCATCACCAACGTATTACATTTGGATCATGAGGTTATTTTTTAAACTTATGCATGCTGAGAACTCTTACAGTTTTGTTATCACAGCAAAATTTATGAAAGAGAAAGAAACTATATCACTAACTTGACTTCACTTCTACTCTGAAAGCTTATGTTAAAGATATCAAATTCATGTTTGAGAAATCTGATGCATCATACAGGCCGCAAGTTGTTTGCCGGGACTGTTACAATTAACTTTCAGTAGGATTTCAGAAAATTTAAATGGTTTCTGAAAAAAATCTCGTTATTCGTTTTTTCTTCTATTATTGGCTTCTATACTTGTCTATAACAGTTCACTGGTTTTTTTAAATCATTGTATGATAAAAGTTTTTCTTTTTTGGTACAAGTGTTGCCTTGAAAACAGTTTCCAATTTAGGTCCGCGGTACTGATTTCCATGCGATGCCGTATCAGCGTATACTAATCATCATGTTCAATGAACTTACCGCTCTAGACCCTGCCTTGGATGTCATTTCATGGCATATTTTAGAGGCTTTTGGGTAATATTTCAAAAAATTACTGCTCATTTTCGTTGTTATAGTCGTTTCCTCAGCAAGTTGCAGTGTTACTCAGTATTGCAGGCAGGCTTTATTTATCCTACAGCCTCGACGAGTTCCGGGTTTTGCTTATGCCTGGTTAGATATTATTGGGCACAGAAATTTCATTGGTCGGCTATTAAAAGACAGTACAGAACCGATGAAAACAGCTGCCATGTATACTCAATTGATCATATGCCATTTGAAATTTTTGGCTCCATTCCTGCGTAATATTCAACTTCCTAAATCAATTGCCATGATGTACAAGGTATGATTCTTTGCCTGAGTTGTGTTCCCTTTATTGTCAAAACTGTTTTTTAAACTCACTATGTGGTGTATTTTACTGATCTTCTATGGCTTCGTTCAAGTCTCCGAGCAATTTGGACATTTCAAAATACGACAGTCTTGTACTGGGGAATTTCGGTGTATTGGATATTAAGCATTTCAAACTGCTCAGTTTTCAATTTTTAAACTATAATAATTATATTTGAATGATTAGATTGTGTCACGCAAACTATTATATATTGTGTCATGATCCAGGCCATATTTTGATAACTTAAAATTTAGGGTACTCTTCGCGTTTTGTTAGTGATTCTGCATGATTTCCCGGAATTGCTTTGCGAGTATCATATTGTTATCTGCGATACTATACCACCAAACTGCGTTCAATTGCGTAATCTTGTACTTAGTGCATATCCAAAAAATATGCGACTACCTGATCCGTTTGGTTCAAATTTGAAAGTAATTTTTTTCCCATGTTTTGAAAATTTCTGCTCTTTTCAAAATTGAAATTATAGCATAAAATTGATGTTCGCTTTTTATAGGTTGACAGCTTGCTAGAAATGACTCAAGAACCAAAAATGAATATCAATATGGCTGCGATTATTCCGCCTGATTTAAGAACGCAACTGGATGACTACTTAAATACTCGCTCCTCAGTTGATTTTCATGCTAATTTGCCAAGTTTATTGCAGGTAGTCATCCATTTAGATATTTTTGGACTCGTAATAGTATCTTTTCATTCTTATTTTTCGATGAATAAATTCAATTTAGGTTAGTAACATTGCTGGTTCGAAGTATAATACAACGGTCATGAATGCAGTTGTTATATATGTGGGAATGCGTGCAATTCAAGCAATTCATGAGAAGCAACAATGCATCACAATGACTACAATCGCGCACACTGCATATATGGATATTTTTCAGAATCTGGCAGTAAGCTTGTGCACTGAAGGTTCATTTTCCAAAAATTCGTTGTTCACAAATTGTATAGAAAATTTTTAAAAAATATGAAGGGATATCAATATATCCTTTTTTAAAAATTAACCTGCTTTTTTAGTATCTTTAAACCAAATTCAAACACAAAGCAACTTCACTTCAGGACGGTATTTGCTGTTCAATGCTATAGCAAATCAATTGCGTTATCCGAACAGTCATACGCATTATTTCAGCTGCACCTTATTATACCTGTTTTTAGAAGCGAATACTGAAGTAATACAGGAACAGATTACGCGGTATGCATTTTCTTAAAATATATGAATGCTGACCTCTCCACATTTTTCATAATGACGAGTCTTGTTTCAGATCTTTAATGTTTTTGTGGAGAATACAGATGTTTTTTTTTTCAGAATTTTGTTCGAACGTCTTGTTGCTTTACGTCCTCATCCGTGGGGTTTACTGATTACATTCATTGAGCTGATCAAAAATCCAAGCTACAGTTTTTGGAAACATGATTTTGTGCGATGTGCTCCGGAGATTGAAAGGTACTTATCTGATACATTTAAAGCAAGAAGGTGAAAGTAAAGAATGAAAGTGCTAGGTAAGGAAAAATTCTTCTAAATGTATAGCTTTATTTTATTTATTTGCTTTCTTCGCTGTTGTTTTATTTCCAAACACTGTTTCATTAATTTCTTAGACAAAGATTAGCAGCATTTGTTGAGAGGTACTTACCATTATTTTTTTGAGATATCGTTTTAAATTCTCTAAATGTATTAAGAATAGTATCATTCATCAATATGTTGTAGTATATGCTTCAGAACACCGAAAATTATTGTTTCCTTGTTGCATATACAAAAATTTACAAGAAAAAAAGGCAATTTTGTAATAAGATCCAGCTGATAACAATAGTTGTTGCAATAAAGAGGCATGCAAGGGTTTAAAACAAAGTTTTGATTGATTTGTAGTCCGGAATCTTTCCGCATTTCCCTCACTGAGGCACGATCTAAAGTTTTGTTTCAGGCTTTTCCAAAGTGTGGCAAATTCTTGCATGGGTTCAAATGCACGCCACATAAATACAAATGCATCACATGCATCGCAATTACCAGCAGGCAGCAGCCCGCAAACTATACAAAATGTTCAGTGAGAAAGATCTCCGCATTTGTTTCAAGACGAACTATTGCTTTTTTGTATGCCACGTTTATAATTTTATCGTAATCTTCTTTGGGATTAAAATCCGAAGAAGATTCACATTATTGAAAGTAATTTTATTTTTTCCATTATTCGAAAATTGTTTCGGAAGTTTGACTGTACTTTGGCGTAAGTTTAAAAAGAAAAGCATCTCTCTTGCCTATTTCAGAATGTTTTCGTTGTGTGTTTCGTTGTATTGCATTTATTGTGTATTCAGTGCTTGACGGTCATCTTTTGCATATAGGTTTTGTCTTTTCAGCAAAGCCTTTTTGTTTATCATTCCATGTAAATTTGTGGCTAACTGTTTTATATGCCTGGGCAAAAATATTCCCTGAATTCTGGATTGCTTGGAAGCAGTGGAAACTCTTTTTTCGGAAATTAATAGTTCTTTCGGGCAAACTGCATTGTTTTGAGATTTCGAAATGCATATTTTCAACCGAAGCTCTAATGCGCAAGATGGTAAATGTTGAGCTAAATTATTTTTATGGAGCTTTGTATTATTAATGATTATAGAGGTAGTACGGGTCGTTCAATTCAATCATTGTATTAGCCGCTGTTATTTGCAATCTCCAATTGAATTGTGTTTAGCCCTTTCCTTGGTTGAATTTATTTGTAACAGTTACTGTGCTCTTCTGTTTACAAATTTTCTTACTTTATATGTTTTGGTTTTTTTATTTCTTTATCGTTTTAAAGATATAAAAGTGTGAGACAATAAAGGGACTGTTTTATTCGTGATGTTGGAATGCTTTTTTAATTCTCCTTGTCTTCTTTTCTCTTTGCCTGAAATGTTTATAAGATGTTTGTTTTATCTTGCATATATTTTCTTTCTATTCATCCTTTTGTTTCTTCGTCTTTTATCTTTTGTAACTAGCAGATTTTACATATTTTTCAAAACCAATATGAGATTTATATGTGTAAAGTTGGAGTAGTATGTTTTATTTTTGTGTTTTTTGCTAAAAATTACTCTTTTCAATGTGTATCATTTATTATAAATAAAATACAAATTTTTAAATTAATTCTTATGCAAGCAATATGAGATTGGATGAGGAAAGATTGGGATTTAATCATTGATAAGGTTTGAATTAGAAATGAAGATTAGATAAAGTAAGTTGATAGAGCAGTGTAAATTATGCGAAAGTTCTCATAATACTCCGTCTCAGTGATACATAGAAAAATTTAATTATAAATTTAAAGAGGAGCAATGAGATTTCTTAGTCCATCCACTTTCTTCCTCCAATTGAAATCGTAACAGTGGGTGTTCGATACAATGACGTTTCATATTTCGTACAATAGTCTAGAATACACTGCTACTGATGACTACTGGACTACAAAGTTGCTTTCCATGACTTCCTTCGTTCATAGCTTTTCATTGATTTTTTCAAGATATTGTAAGATGCGGAGAAGAAATACAAATTAGTATTGTTGTTGTATACCTTGATACTTATTATAAATGAAAGCATTTTTTATGAACTTGGCTCTGAAACTTTCTCATCATTACCTCTCATTTCTGCTGTAGGCCATGAAAAATTCTGGTTACTAATGATGACATTTACTAATGATGACATGACATTCTTATCTATCACCGTTACATCCTTTTTAAACTAAGCTCAATTATTGAAGAATTTCCAACAAGATTCTTCTTATCATATGAAATAAGTTGAGGTAGCGGATTAATATAGCAATGCTAGAATGACTAATCTGAATGATGATGTCTCCTACAAGTCACTCTCATTAATAAGATTTACTCACCAGCTTCTAATCTTCTTACTTATATCTCTGATGAACTATCTACCTATTGGTTGGTTATAGAAATTAGCGATAAACCATTTAGTGGATTGGTAGGCGCTGACACGGCGATCTTCTCCGTTGTTATTGGTGTGTTCATCACCGATAATTTCGCTTCCTCTTTTCCATCATCTGTTGTGATTCTAAAATTAAAGAACGCTTCACTGCATTATATCAACCAATATAGCACATATGCAATATTGTATGAGATGAAATTCACTTGATGGCATGCAAAACGAGCGAATCTAACTAGTAATTGCGCAAAAATATAGAAACTGACATCCTTCTAAATGAGTATATATTCATAATTTAACCATAATTAAATGCGATCTGAAGTGATACTTTATTTGAAATATATTAGAGAGATGGATGTTAGGACAAATTACTATTTTTAATTATTCAACAATAGTTAAAGTTAATATTATTTCATCGCAATATACGATGAATAATTGATTGATTTAAGGGCAATAAAATATACCTGTATAGGTATTGTTGAGCAACTGTAGCAAACGTCAAAAATATCACACAACATTGGAAAATTTTTTGACGTGATAGGTTCTGTAACAAAATAATAATAACGATAGCATTTAGTGGAATACGACAAAAATTCATAAGTGTTGCTCGAGTAGATTCAGCAATATAAACTCCACGCATGAAACCCGTTGAAGGCCAAAAGATTCCAACACAAATCTCAAAAAATACAAACGCTGCGAATATGGCCATCGCATGATTTGGCCATATAATTGGTGTAGCTAAGCATAAAACTGATACTGCCAATACAAATCTGAAATGATATCGAGTGGAAATGAAATGAAATATATTAGAACTGATATGATGTATTAGATAACAAAATGTTGAAGTACAAAAATTATTTCAATCAACTGTTTTCGCTAATACGGACTAAAATTAAATTTGTCAGAAAATAATAAATAAAAACTGAAAGACTGCATAGCTCAAACAATATCGATAATGATATTACAGAAAATAAATTATATTAATTTTAAGTGTAATGAAAAGCTTTTAAGTGCGCATGAAAACTATAAAAGCAACCAGTAATTGAGTTTGAAGTAAGTTTTAATTGTTATGAGTAAAAGGGAAACCTCATGAATGATTCTGGTCGATGATATTTGCTAAATAATTTGAACGTCATTGAACCGATCATTATTGCTACCATAAACGATGCAAAGATATATCCGTGTTTTATCACACCATTATTTGCATCTGATAATGTTGGTGTCCATTGAAGAATAAATAAACACAGCGTGCCTTCAAATAAACTTTGAATCAATGCCAAACATATCGTTCGCCAATCTGAAATAATTTTTATATCAATAAAATTATAGCTAACTTTTAGCAAAAGTAAGTAGAAATTACACACAACTTATTAACGCTGCAAATATTATCTAATTCTATTGGTAAAGAATTGATGAAATTTTGTGGAAGAATTTTTAAACGAAAAGATTGAATGGAATATTTAAAAAAATTTTGAGAGCTGGCCATTTCTCATAGCACTACATGCATCCATAAACTGCAGACTGAGGGCTGTTTTTTCACAGCCATAATTTTCTGTCCAACAACCAATGACACATATCGTCATCATTACTAGCACCGCAATTGATATATCGAACGGAATTCTGCAAAACTTTTAGTTTAGTTATAAAAATTCGTAAGTTTGTATTTCACCTATTACAAACTAAAGTAATACATGTGAGAAGTATCTCATATCATAAGAAGTACCTTACATCATTCTAATATATTACTTAAATAAAAAAAAATGGTATAGAAATAACTAAAATACTACTGGCTAATTTGTATGTTAATGTTAATTGAGGCTTATTGAATTGGTATGATATAAGCTGGAAAAAATTTTAATAGATAATAAAAAGTAGGCTAAAACGAACACATATCCAAAAGCATCGACGGAGTACTGTGCCACCAGTCCAGAAATAATCGCTATAATTGAATTGCCCAAAGCTGCATTTGAAAAAATTATTTTCAACAAATCCGGACTGAAACCATGCTGGAAATATTTGAAAGTATTAACAATTTCAACTTGATTAATTTGGATTAAATTTGTTTTGATTAAAATCTAGAAATCAAACGGATCTATTTCTTCTTGTTCGAAATCCTTCTTTACTTATGATATCAATTTGTTTTGAAGACTAAGATATCTTTTTGAATATATACACGAACAAAATCAAACATACATATTAATGAAACAACTGAAAAGATTTCTTAAAAGATTGTATCAATTTTTAAGTGGAAATCTAATTCATAATTATAATAATAGTAATGAAGAAAAATTAAAGAGAATGAAATTAAGAAATTTGTTGACAGAAACAAACCTTACTGTGTTCGCAAAGCAACCATGATTCGAATGCACTATACAAAATAGATGTCGCTATACCACCAAATACTCTACCAATGATTAAAATCCAGAAATTCGTAAAATGCATCGTAACACATGCTGTAGCATATAGTACAGCGTACAACAAGCAACTTAATCGACGTCCGCTATAATATAATTAGTTAATTGGCGTCAGTATTCAATTTTTCACTTCTATATTTGCACAAATTTCTCAAATATCTTATGGAATTGAAATTTTCTCTGAATTGAAATGATCAACAAATTTTTGCTTAAATTTATAATATGCAAAATACAAAGAAATCTAATGCTATCTGTTAGTTTCAGTTTAAACAAATATTTGTCGAAGCAAAAATTTAATTTTTGATTTAAGTTTTGCAAATTTTAAACTATTTTTGTTTCAAATGAAATTTCTATGTATCATTTGTTTATTAATCTAGTCGATTTTTTTCAATTAAAAAACTCTTCTCATTTATTCTTCAAAATTTAATTTAATGCTTAGTAATGGAAGTAAATTTTAATTATCAAATCATTATCACTTACTATTTATCAGCAGCGGAAGCGATAAATGTACCAAAGATAAGACTAGAAGCGAAGCTAGACATAAATAATAATTCAATTGCATGCTTTGTCATCCCATAAGAATCGTATAGCACATAAATGTAAGGTCCTTGAAGCCAGTCACCTGCTAAAATGTGAACAAAATTTTCGGGAGTTATATAAAGTTTTCAAATCAAAAAAATTTATGAAATTTAAATTAAAATTGAAAGACAAGCCTGCAGCAAGAAGATAGATAAGAAGATAACGACACTGAAATTGTTGAAATATGCGATTTTCGTCTGTAACACTCTTACTTCTTGTATAAAAGTACTGTATTATACATATAACAACGAGTACGCAGAAACTCCATTCGAAAAACATTGATTTTTATTTCACTGAAATTAAATTAAATTGCGAAGGAATTTGTTGACATATTAATAAATTTAATTTCAAACAAGATTTCTTCTCACTTTTTAGCTGTTAACTTTAATTGAACTTCCTTATAAAAAAAAGAATTTGTAATATTTGATAATCAAAGAATTATAATTTTATATTATCATTCTTAAATTCTTACACACAAAAAAATCTTCCAAAACAATTATCATTTTGAGGAGGAAAGTTATTTAAAACAATACTGATAATCTCAAAAACAAAATTGGCCATTCTTGTTTGATTAAATTTGGTTAGAAAAAGTAAGAATTCACACTAAGGCTAAATTTCGATATAATCAGGCATGATCGTTGGTTTTCAACTATAAAGTTGAAAGATTCGAAATTTTCACAATTTATTTAATTTAATAAAATACAGGAATTTTTATAATTTTATTCGTCATAATTTCACTACAAATGTATAATTGAAAACGAAAACAATAAGGTAAATATGAATTCAAACAAAAAATTAAGGATTCAGTTATCCTTTTGATAAAAGTGAAAGTTCCCTAATTTTAATGAAATTACTGGCAGTATTTGAAAATTTGATAATAATATAATAATCTTTCGTCATCTTAAAGAACGAACAATATTAAAATTGATAATTGCTCAGTGATTATTAATTCAAGAAAAGAATAAAGTGGAATCCGGAAACCGGTATAATATTTACTCGTTTGAAACATTTAACATGACGCGCGAAATTTTCCCTTTCATTCTGAATACACAAAAGAAGACTGACTGTGAAGTGCATTGAAATGTAAACAGTGCAAATTGAAATGGCAGAAAAACATTTTAAAGATTACAATTTCATTACATTACAATTTCATGATATTTTACTTTTGATGGAAATTCTCTGAGAAAAACAAAAGAAAATATATAAACACAATTAATTTATTTCACATTAAATATGCACGTATAAAGTTAGAATGGATTTTTGACAAATTCAAATATTGTAATTTTGTGAAAAAGAAAGTGAAATTGTCCGATTAATTTTTAACTGAATATTTTATATAAATGTTTATTGATCAAAATAAAATTGTTAAGTTAAAAACAAAATTACATTTTAAAAAGAAATCAAAAATGTTGGAGCAATAATTAAAACATACAATTAAATAAAATAATAGTTTTTAAATCTTTCACTTTCAAACAAACCAGGAAAAATCACGAAATATCTGGGTGAACGGGGGAAAAAGAAAGGAAGGAGTGGGCACTCTTTCTCACCCGGGAATTAAAAAGCAAGAATTTATTGTTTAGAAAAATCGATTATTGATTGAATTTTCTTAGACATTTCGCTTTTATAACTGTGCTATTATTATTTTAAAATAGTATGTTAAATAAAGGGAGGCAAAAGAATTAAACAAATCAGCACTATTGCACAATTCAGCTTGGCTCTGCAACTTTCCTATACTAACAAATATTTGGGGAAAGAAATCAATCGTTCATATCTTCTGCTATCAACTTTTGGGATATTTACTATCCGAAGCAATCTGTTATTTGTTTCTTACCTTCTGATATTTGAATATGCAGAAATTAAAATAGTTGCCAGTTGATTGATATATTATAAATAAATTCCCGTTTGATTCTTTATTTATTTCTATAGCAGCTTATCGGTTAGAAATTTTCCACGTTTGAGAAGCGTTGAGTGGTATTTCACGTGATATCATATCCTATGTAATCTTATAATTTCTTGATTTTCTTGTTTTTAAGACGGAAATTACGTAATTTTCAAAATGCTCATGTTTACTTGAAAGTATTGGAAATAATTTTATGAGAAATCCTTTTTTTTCGAAAGCAAAAATAACAATGAGAATTATAATTATATGTATGTATCAGTATAAAGTTTCCGGAAGTAGAAATGAACTATAAACAACAGCAATTCGTCGTACCGGTACCATCTTTACCTCCTCCTATTATTACTCCATCATTATCATCATTGCCATCTCCACTCTCTCCTCAAATTTCAAAAGGTACTAATTAAAAGTTTTTTAATAGATTCAATCGAAAAATTTATGCAAATGTGATTTAAGCATTTTTAACATTATTTGGATTCAATTTTAATTTTGATGAAAGGAAAATATTCAGAAGAATTAATTATAAAATAATTCCATGAATAGTTAAGTCCAAATGCAACTAATTTCAATTACATATATTTCACATATCTTTTCGCGAATAATTTTCTTTCTAAATAGCTCGAAGATTAGTGCTAGTCAGGTTATCTGTCATATATGGTATATATGAAATTTTATTTTTTTTAAAGTGAATTTCAATTAATTAAGACAAAAGGTTTTTTATTACAAAGAAAGTTTCTTTTTTTTGTTTACGGAATTTTCGAAAATAGAAAAATTCAAATCCTTTTGGAACTAAAAGTAAATTTCATAAGTCTTTAATTCAAATAAACTCAAAAGCTCCAAAAAAATTAAGTTCTTTTTTGACAGACACAATATTTCTTAAAAATTGTCTGTAAGTTCTATTAATAGCAGAAATGTTATTGCCAGTCTAATCATTGGAAATATTTCTATTAAAATAAAGTTAATTTCAATCAATAAAATCTCGAATTCCAAATGATATCATCACTTGATAACAATGATTAATATTGAGATTGTATTTATTTTTTCCTTTTGAAGAAAAACATTAATGAGAATGAATTTGGAATGTTTTTCTTGTTTGTCTCAAACTAAAGTATTATTTTTAAATTTTAAGCAGCAGATAGTTTCAGTGATTATTTATATCATTTTTAATCGTTTGTAAACTTTATCCATCAAATTGTAATGTTTACTTATAACTTTGATATTCTTAGTATAATTAATGGTGCAATAAACAAGTAAACAACTGATCCCTTCGCTATATGATATTTGAGTATTTCCTAAATTATAGAAAAGCAGAAAAAACAAAAGGTGAAAATGATACCAACAAATGAAGGAAAATTGGCAATGTTTATCTCCTCAATTTGTTTTGGCATTTCATTTTTTGCCTTCTTATTTGCATTAATGTTATTCATACTTCGAGTATAATATGATATAATATGATACATCTATGATATGATACTGTACATCTATGATATGATACTGTACACATTTATGATATGATACTGTACACATCTGTGATATGATACTATACATATCTATCTACAAATCCTTCTATTTAAATTATATTAAAAATGAAAATAAATGAAATGGCTAAGAAAAATGTTGGAAGTGTTAGAAATCTTAACGTATCTCGTTATAAAAATAGCAATATTTTCTGTGATTGTACACTCTAATATTGATTACAGCATGCATGCATGGATGCATTTCTATATCTAAAATAACTCTTTAATTTATTCCTTTCAATAATTAAATTTATTGAAATTACTCACGCATCGATGTGAATTCCACGAAGTACCACAATTTGTTAGCATGCACTATCATTATTAATCAAAGTTTGCAATGCGTTACTTAAAATCGGATTACTTACTGCAGTTTACTTTCTTTTTCGCTATTTGCACGATAGTTAAAAAAATATTCTGCAAACAATTACTTCAGAATTCATTCAAAATTTTTATTGCTACAGAATATTTTCATCACAATAACATGTTTTGAAGAGAAAATAGCTTTATTTCAGATGATAATAATATGCTCAATTTTTTAGCATAATATCATCACATTCAAAGATCTTCGTAATATTAGAGAGATTTGTGTATTTTGTTGCATTCAACAAAATAACCGTAGAAATAGCGTTGTACGATACGATACAAGCTATTTATTAATTGAAAATATTTTATTAAAGAAAATTTCATTATATTTTGTTTTGTCCTATACTATTTAATGTGAAAGTTCTCAAAGTTATGATCAATTGTGTCAACTGTCTTCAATAAAAAGAAATGCTTTTGTATATTAATCTGTGATTGATATTATCATCAATTTTCAATAAAGCTACAACATTTTTGAAAATATTTTACTCACTTATTGATATTATTCACTATTCAATTAAGTGAATAATGAATAAAATTCACGGCATTATATTAACATTATAACATATATAATAACATATTTCGCAGTACATCTATTATGTAAAAAATTGATTTTGCAACACAAACTTGATGGATTGTCGTATAAGAAGTGAATGATTGCAAAGAACACTGCGAATTAAGATCAAAGTGTCATAATTAAATTAATTCATTTCTAATTGTTAAATTAAATAATCAGATTTTGCTTAATTCTTCTTTCAACATTTTCTGAATGCTAATAAGAATACGTGCATCAGAACGATTGATACCAAATGAGATAAATTCAGCTTTGGTAAGCATTAAGAAAGTTTCATAGTCCACCTCTTGTTCCTCTAATTTCTGACATATATCTGGAGAGCATCTTTCCTTCAGAAGATCCCAATATTTCTCTGAAAATTTATTTAACTAAATGATCATATATTAGAATATTTCATATGTATAATTTTCATCTCTTTATAAGCTTATGCCAATTTTACATGGTAACTTCAATTGAAAAGGAAACTTAGATTCAACTTGATTTAAATTTAAATTTGATAACTTAGATCGACAGCAATATATCAGACATTCTTACCTCTAAAGTTCATTTAAGCTTGTTATAATTAGTTTTGCACTATCAAATATTCTTTTTTTTGTTGAAATAGAAAAGTCGGAAGTTAAATTGTTTTTTGAAGCTATTTATGAGCGTTTTATGAAATTGCTAAGGTTTGTTGATAAGATAGTTAATATCAGGTTTAAATAGCAACTTTATCTTCAACTTATTAAAATCACTTAACACAAAGAAAATTTTTGAACGATCAATTGAATTTTCGGTACATTTGAACCCCTCTTATCAGTATTCGGGGTTGTCATCAATTCATTATAACATTTGCTAGAAAATTGGAACTATGCCGCATCGCTTTATTAGTTAAGGAAAAAAATTAAATTACAATTTAATCAAAGGAAAGAATGACTAACTTTCATATTTGTGTGCCGAGCATAACTCACTGATACTTTTAATCATTGGAATTTCACTATCCTGCCAACCATTCGAATTCAACATTGTCGATAGATTTGAACTATTCGATGAAGTTATTGAGCAGCTAATATTATAAAAGAATACATTAGAAATATTTTATCAATTCAAACTCTTCATGATTTCTTCCTGAAATCTAACTTAACCATTACTTTTTTGGTGATCCGGAACCAAAATGGAATAGAATGGATTGAAGTCTCGAGATGCTACTGCACTGTTGTTGTCGCAAATGCAAATAATTGGTGCTAATCAGTGATAGAGGTGGTTCAAATTTTGAAGATGAAGTAGGAGAATTATCCTAAAACTGAAAATATATGAAAAAAGCTAATCAAATAATTTAGGAATGATAAAGCATGCTTACTTTTTCAATCATTTTACTTGAGTAATCACTTAATAAACACCGATGCCGTTCTTCATCAACGCTGACCATAATTCTCTCTTCCTGCAAATATTATATTCATCTTAAAATTTAAAAGTCTTTGCTATTGTATCAGTTTGGTATTTTTAATGCTTTCATCGATTCGTTAGTTTATTCAGATTTCTTTTGCTTAGAAATATGAATTAAATTCATTTCTCTTTTTAACTTTCATTATGCATCAATATGTGGCAAGAAGTAAAAGAATACATATATAACTTTTTTAAAATTAGATTTTCAATCATTTTAAATTTATATGAAAAGTAAATTTTGCATACCAAATGCATACCAAAAGCGAAGTAGGAATAGCCACAGGGCTACGTGGTTCATTGATGGCTTCAAAACAAGTACAGGGACTGTCTGGCCACACAAGAGCATCAAATAATTCTTCTGGTACCCAATTTGATTTTAGGCCCATATTTTGAGTAACTTTCTGCACAAAACTCAGCTGGCTAGCGTTTTTTTCTAATTTAACTGGTTGATGACATATCGGCTGAAATGGATTGTTTATGATATGTTTATCGGATCAAACGATTTTGTTTTCAGATATCATGTATATATAAAATTGCCATTTGTTTAATTCAAAAGTAAATCCAAAATTTTTGTTTTAAATCTAATTTTCCATTTTATAAATAAAAGGAATAAGCTGATATAGTAAAATGAGGAAAATCAGTGTCAAAAGTCTCTCATATCGACGAGTTAGTTATTTAGCTTCTTGATTTGAAAGAAATGCCAGGAAAAAAGAATCGAACAAATGAACAGCCAGTTATACTTGGCTCATTGCTCGCCATCCTGAAATCTTTTGTAGTATTGTTGACATCCTTTCAATGAGACGCATTTTATGCGCTGATCTTGTCAATAACAATTGAATAGTTGTTGATGAAATACCCTCTGAAGCATTAAATATTTGATAAGCAAAAAATTTGTTAAAGTGGTACAGGATTTCTGGGAATCTCTTTTACAACGATAAGCATAGATAATGTTGTTAAAACATTATCACTTATGATGATAGCAGTGATAAAAATCATTCAGCATAAATTCTTTCTGAACATCCTATAAATAGCGTAGAAATTAGTAATACCCCGCTAATTTCTGTTTGGATATGAGAAAATTAAAGGTTAGGCAAATTTCTGGACAACTTTCAGTTCAAATAAAGTAAACTTTTCATTTTCAAGTATATTCGAAAACTTTCAAAAATTACCGGAATTGGATGCTAGTTCAAAGAGCGAAAATTGACAACCGTTTGTATTTTGACTAGCACCTTTCTTGATCAGATATCGTGTCAGTTCATCGTTTCTACAATATTTTTTTGAACTGTTAAGAAATCAACGATGATGATTTTTTTTGCGACGACGATGAAGATTTGAATTAAAAATAAAAATTTGGCTAACACAAAGTAAATATGCCAAAACAAACCCACAAACAATAGCAATCATAATTGGTGTAAAACCGTAAAAAGTTGCGTTTATGTCACAATTATGTCGCAGTAATGTTTCCACCTAAATTTGAAAATCGCAATGTAAAATAGCAATGTTTCATTTCGAATCTTTTAAAAATTTTTTCAATTCTATATTCCTTTCTCATTTTATCTTCTCAAAAAAATCGAGCATTTATGAAAAAAATTTGAAAAGTTAGTGGAAAAAGTTTATTTTAACTTACCATTAAAATATTACCGACAATAGCAGCATACATCAATGGTGTGGTACCTGCTGGTAGCCCACTAAAATCGTTTAAATCCATGATCCAATCCACAAGTGCTAGCTGATGATCACGTATCAGACATCGAATATCCGGAGTTTTTCTTCGCATTTTGACTACTTCTGAATATTATTTCTTGAAAAAGATATGATAGAAAATATTTGTCAGCACTTTCTATCATTTTTTCTTATAAAATTTCAATTGTATTATAAATATTGACTGTTGTAGTGCTATTAAGGAATTGTATTCATTGCAATATTGAATAGTAGTAGAAAATAAAATCAAATAATGCAGTACACGTAGACGTGAAATGTATACTTACGTGATTCCTGATTAGTAGGCGTTCTTGTAGCAAGATAATATATTGCTGATTGATTCAAAAACTGTAAACCAAGATCACGCAAAAGTACTATCATTTTTAAATCCATTAATTGTTCAGCCACATGAAAAGCATCAAGTTCATAGAACATATCACGACATGGATGTTGTATGATACTGCAAAAAAAATTTGTTGAAAAAATAAAGGACCACAATGATAGGAGTGGAAATGAATGAAAAAAATAAGAAGGATTAAGAAATGAAATGACCAAGAGATCTCTGAATCAAAATTTAATTATGAAATAGCCAGCAGTACACAGAAAGGCTGATCAAATTATATTGTATGTCACAAGGAACCCGGCAAATTGAAGATGAATGACTATTTGATATTGCTTTGTGGCGATTGCAGCTATTAAAGGTGTTGGAGCACGCCGTCGTGTTTCACTCGCATATTTACGCAACATTACCATCACGTTTAAATGACCACGAGCAGATGCTAATGACAAAGCTGTCGCACCGTAGAATCTGAAAAGTAACAAAACTTTGATTTTAAATTTAAAACTTCATATAAAAAGAGAAGTAATTTCTCTAAATAAATATGTGCAAAGAATTGGCTCGAATTAAGCTCTTTATGAAGTTTCAACATTTAACAAGCCTATTAATAGAATTTGCACAAAATAAATTATATTTGTAAAAACTAAAACTAAGCTGAAAACTATGTCACAAGAAGTTCTGACGACAACTGGAATAATTTTTTTACGTTGTTCTGAATGGATCAGCACCATGCCGGATTAACAATTCAATTGCCTGAGCTTTTCCATTTCGAGCAGCATGAAGTAAAGGAGTAAATCCACAATGATTACATTTGTCAACCGATGCACCACAATTTAATAACATTTGCATCTGTAAATTGGAAAAATGTATTGAACAAATGACATTTGTTACTTTTAACAAAAACTCAAAAACTTTCCAAATTATTTAAAAAACTATTTCTAGCGTTTGTTTTGGTGAAGTTAGGATGAAATTATTAATTTGGACAAAATTATGCATGAGCGATATGGACAAGCTGGCACAAATATTAATATCAGAAGATTGGTCTGTGATTAATTTTTACGAGAAAAATTGTCAATGTCGAAAGAACAAAAATTTTATTTAATAATCTAATCATATTAAGGTATTATTCAATCTAAATTTATAAAATTTTAAATTTAAGAGAACTACAAATACTTTTGTTTGTAGGCAAAAAAGTTATATATGAATTAAATAAATAGATTTCAGTGATTTCTTTCCAGTATATGAAAAAATGGAAGAGATGACTTCTCTGTTTAAATACAAACTTTTCAACTTTTACATTTCAATATTAATTCTAATAAACTCACCACAGGTAAGTTACCTTGCGCAGAGGCAATTTGTAAAGCTGTGATATGATCATCATCCATAACATCTGCTGATAAACCATAAGCTAAATCATTACTGATTGTTTGATAATCAGCATTATACGCAGCAACCAAAAATGCTTCTATTATCTCCCACTCATTCGCTCCCTTAATTTCTACTACATCCATTCGTCTATTAATAAAAATTATTAAAACATCGAATTACTTGAAAACATATTAGAACTCGATTCCATAAAACGCCGACAAATATTCCCGTGCATATTCCTTACTAATATTCAGCAAATCTATCCACTTTTTACGTTATTTCACAAACAACTCAGAAGTTAAATTTCTCCAAAAGAATTTCAAAAAACTCATTTCGTTCTTTTGTCATTTGCCATTGCCTATAATTATTGCAATTCTATGGGCTACGACTATTGACAAATAAAATATTGCTGTTAATAGTTGATATCGATGGGTAAGAGAAGAGAGAGAAGATAACATTATATTGTCTATATACTCATAAAGATCAATAATGGTCATTTAGAAATGTATAAGTTTTCGAATTTGATGAAATGATGAAATTTGAATATGTACGTATTCTAATCAGATCAGAAATTTTCACTTGAATTCCCTACTGATTAGAAGACAATAGTGTGCCAAACATTTATGAACAATTTAAACAGATTAAAACTTTTCATTTTTGTCACATTGGTCATTATCCCATTAAGCATTTACATTTCTGGACAGTGCCATTGGTTTCTTTTTTTCTTATTATCTCATACGATCATAGCTTGCTTCCTGAAAATTAGGCATTTTTCTTGTGTGACATAAACATATCTCGTAGGAAATTTAATCGATCGAAGAATAAAAACAGAAGAAATGACTGAAACTCATTAATTATTTAAACCGTAGGCATTAAGAATTCTATTAGCACACCTGCTTAACCAACAAAGGTAAATATGCTATCTTACTATTACTTATTCTTATCTCTTACTTATTTAAGTAATTTGCTTCAAGTAAAGAATATTTTTTTTTGAACTACAGCAATTGAACTGCAGGAATGTACGAAAATTAGGAATGGTTACCAAAGCGGTTATACCTGAAATTTAGTAATCCATAAATTAAAAAACAGAAAAGGCAAAAGTTTTTTTTTGGCTTTTTCAAGGACCGCTATTTCAATTATGAGAAAAGGAATTAATTGATTTAACTTATATTCAGAATTTATACTCCAATAATTTTATTTGTTTGTTATCTCTTCAAAAGACTTTGAAGTGATAAATTTGTTACAGTTAAAATGCCAATCTTGCAGTTCTAAATTCAAATGTATATTGCAACAACATTACAATTTGAAAAAGGACCACGAAAGGTAATAAAGCGTGCTTGGGAACGTTCACCGTTTATGGTTGCAAAACGGAATGCTCGAGAACGAACACGAGTTCATGCTGTTAATCAGGTATAATTTATATTTAGACTAAAACGTTATTTTTGGGTTTAAAGGTCATGTGGCTTGAAACTTAAGGTCAACTTTTTTTCTTACACTCTGATTTTCTGAGATAGTACATTCACTTCATTTGAATCTTATCCTAAAGAAAAATTATCCGACAATAATTGTTCATGCCAAAAGACAAAAGATACAGAGAAATCTTCCTTATCATTGAAGATATTTCGTTCCGAACAATCAGACTGTTGAAGAGAAAGTTATTGTTGTTCACATTGCAAATGTATTTGATTATCTTTTGATTTGATTTTTCCGTACCGAAAACATTAAAAAGGACACCTAAAGTGACCCTTTCATTTGTCACATCACACAATTGACAGTTACATAATAAAGACTTCCCAGAAAAGCAAAATGTAATTGACGAAATAAACTTAGTAAGATTGAAATTTTAATACAGGAATTTATAGTAATTAGATTATTTGGCAAACTTTTTATTGCAGGCTTTTGTTGCGTTAAAGTTTCATCTGCCAACAATACGATCCAATACAAAACGAGTACCGAAATTGAAAATTCTACAGGCTGCTATTAATTACATTGCTGCGCTAACTGATTTACTTCGCGTATGTATTGTTATTACAATTTTACAAAACAATGATCAGAGAATATCACGGTAGGAGTATATCGTCAGATTGAGTATATGATCTGATAGTATTGATTGTTGTAGAGGCTTACACTAAGGGTATCACTGCCGATAATAAATTGACCGTAGGTTCGCTTTCGACTCAAAAGTTAAGAAATAAGTTAACGGAGTGTAGACACTTTAGAATATAAAGATAAAGGAGAGCTAAATAAATAAATATCTTATCATTTGGTAAATGAAGCCGATCAATTATAATTTCTTTAGTGTTCAAAGATTATGAGAAACTAATTAAACAAGGGAAACTAAATAAAGAACGAATTATTTAATTGAGAATATTTTAGGCGAAATAATTTTTATTGATAGATTTCTGTAACACTTTATTTATTCCAATATATTTATATTACAAAATTATTTCGATTTCCTGATAGAAATGACTAACTATTCAATAAAGGAGAAAATAATTGTTACAGAATAAGTTCCATCCTTCTGAAGGGTAATTCTGTTTTTAGTAAAGTGGAATTCATCTTATAGTTGTTTAATTTTGCAGGGAAATGCAGATTTTTTGAAGCTTAATGCATCAAACTGTTGCTCGGAGAACACCATCAATGGTAAATTAATTTAATTGTTATTTTGTCTTTCTAAATTTTATGATTTCTTAATTTCTCTATCTTTTCAAACTTTTTTTAGCTCCATCTCGCTCTAAACGTAATAATCAAGTATCGAATAAAAATAATGTGATGAAAAGAGAAACACAACAACGTCAACAACGCACCATACATCAAAACATCTACGATGCTGCTCAATATTACAATAAGCAGTACTGGCTAACTGGCCATCCTGTATTAAATTAATAAATTTACTGGTCGATGTTTGGATTTTAGATTTATCGAATGTCTCAACTGACTTGCTAAATCGATATTTGATTTTATGTAAAGATGAGATAGTAAAGTTGTGAATTCGGCAGCATTAATCGTTTTTCATCCTGAAACAAATATGTTTTCCAAATGGAAATATTTTCGTAAATAAATTAATATTTCTGTGAGTCAGTGTGGAAGTCAGACGATTGTGTTGGTTTAAACCATAATGTTTTTTCTGCATGTCACCAATGACTACTAGTACCTGACTAGCCATTTGCTGGTAATCATCGGTTACCCTATTTTGAGGTAATAGTTACTGTATGTCGAAAAATATTTTATAATGGAAAATATATTAAAATAATCAAAGTATTTTTGTTTTATAGAAATGTGAACTCAAAAGGTTCCTTATTCGATAATGAGCATCGTTTGTTTTAAATTTTTTTATTTATTTGAGTGGGAGCTTTGTTTTGATATAGCGAATAGTTTTGTGAAGGTAATTATAATAGTTTGGTAAACATTTATTACTTAACAGAGAGTTTTATTCTTCTTAAAATTATCAAAAGTAGAATTGATCATTTGATTGTTTTTTACTCGTTGATTCGGTAGAACAAAGTACATTTGCAAGTTAAATTTTGCTTGAATTCATAAACTTTACTGGTATTTCGATAACACAACCTGAGGATGATGTAATAATAATTGAGGGAAGTTCGATCATATAACACTAAGTTCAGGAATAAAAACGAAAAGACAAATAAGGCCAATGGGATATCTCAGGAGAAAGTTCTACGCAAAATGCAAATATCCTCAGAGATACTTTCTGATCATGTAAGTCATTCTGAAGTAATTGAAAAAGTATTGAATTTTTCCTTCTGAAAATTATATATTATTACTATATCTAAAAGAATTTGTGATGGGAAATCAGAGATATTGATAGGTCCTAAATATGAATATGATGGAGGAGATATTCAGTGTCACTACAAACCTAGAGATCTCAGAAAAATCTCTCAGTGTCATTCATTCATTGAAACTGGCTGGAGCAGTAACAAAAACTGAGAAACAGAGTCCTTGTCGGTAACTCGAAATAATCTTATAATATAAAATTATTTATATATAATAAATTCCGTTTTTATCATCATCGGCTTTATCTATCATTATATGTTCAAGCAATTCATTGTTAACCATCACATTCATTGTCTATTTACACTGTAAACGATACGAGGTGATTTTTGTTCCCATCACTTCCATTGTCTATTTGCTATGAATGATTCCATCATCACTTTCAGTCTATTTACTTTAAACGGAGCTCACAGAAGTTCAGTTTGCTGCAAGTCAATTAAGTTTAACCTATTCAGGCCTAAATAGTATGTTCGCAAGTACGACGGTATTGTCTATTATTAATAAATAATATTAGCTATATAAATAACAGATCACTCCAGTCTTCACTCTTCTATACTCTCAAAAATGTTTTGCTTAACTATAAATCAAAGATGTTTAATGCAAGATTCTTCAAATCTATCATCTGTGACATCTCCACGTAATGCTAGGTAACAGTATAATATACATAAGGCAATGTGACGTATCACTTTTTCGGTCTGAGCAGTAACACTATTGTTAAGCGCTTATTTGAATGGGTTAATAATTGACTGATTAATAAGTTAGTTCAGAATAAAGGATTATTATAATCTAGATTTGTTTGGATAGATCCATAAATGCTCGTTTGATCTTTGTTTTGAACTTCATAGAGCAAATCTAATCGCAGACAATATATATTCATAATTATTTTACTATAAATATCTCCTGTTACAATTTAACTTATCAATTGATTATGAGTTTCGTTTGGTCTTACACATATCTACAGCTTGTCGAATCTATCTAATAAACAAATCTACAACTTCACTTGCAGAGAGAATAAAATGAGAGAGCTATTGTTGGTGCTCACAGTTATTTATTCAATCCTAATATTGCTCTCCTTGATCTCTACTTCTTACAGAAACATTCTACAAATGCCAATGCTCATCCTATCTTCATTGGTTGTGGTGCGAATTGTAGGATTAGTATTATTTATTTATTTTTATTGCTAATTATTATTAATTGTTATTGTTATTTATTAGTATTATTTATTGTTAATGATTATCATTAATTATTATTATATCATTTACTAGTCATTCTTAAATTATTTGTCAATTATTGTTAAATTATTCATCAGTTATTATTAAATTATTTATTACTATTATTATTATTGTCATTAATATTATGTGTTCTTTTTCATCTTCAGGGAATTCGACTGTTAAAGTCAATTTCAGAGATCAATTGTAAGGATTGTTAGGAATGTATCATTCTGAATTACATTTATTCAACAAACTTCTTTGCAGCAAGAAAAAAGGCAAAGAAAGCAAAGAAAAAATTGAGAATGGAAGAAGCACGAATTGCAAGAAAGAGAGCACATTATCAACTTCGGAGAGCATCCGCATCAATGATCACGAATAATACCGAGTTCTTCTATCGAATGGCATTCAGTGATGTTGAGAAACGAATTAATGAACGGTAACTATCAAAGTATTTATCTATATCTTTACAGCATTGAAGATTTCTTGAATTTTCCTCCATATTTCAACTTTTGATATACCTACGGTGGATTATCGTTTGATGAAGAGAGATGATATCTGAATTGTTGAATTGCCTTTATTGCATTCTTCCTTTGTCTATTACATTTCTTCTTGTATGGCAACGATGCTCTTACGGTATTGTATATTGAAGGTTTCGTAAGTTTGTTACTGTTTGCTTTCAGCAAAAACTACATTCTGTCCTGTCATTTGAGAGAAGGGCGCGTTAAAAATGTAAATGATTTTTGTATTTGCGGCCATTGCATACCTGTTGCGTATATTCCTCCCTGGTGAGTCATATTAAAATTTAATTGTTGAATGTTGTTGAGTGATATTAAAAATTGTATTCATCCATTTAAACATCGCGAGGAGAATTCGCATAATTGTTACTTTCATATTAGTATGTGCGGCACATACACGTGGTATATACTTGTAAGTCACTTTCTTATGGTCTTTGCATTAAACTTAATATGCTCGAGAGTTGCAGTTATGCGTTTTGTTGTCGTGAAGCCGAAAATGTTGTAAACGGAAATTGTGCTCATGCAGGAAGACTGACGCGGAAAATGGGGAATTTGAAATGCATTACTGAACATGTATCCTTTGGTAGCATCTGCTTGGATAAGGAGGTAATTTTCATACGAATATGCTTTTTAGAAAGCTGAATAATAATGCCTCATAGTTCATTAAATTATAGTATTTAAGATCTTTATCATCAACAAGAGTAAAGTATTTATTGATGATGACATTATCTATGATATAACGAAAATTAGCTAATAATGTCCGGCGAACTAAAATTAATACATCATTTCATTTAAATCGTTTCGATAGATAACGTACTCCTACAATGCCATCTGTTCTAAAACGACATCTTAATCAAGTTTTTTTCAGGTGCTGAACATGTTAGCGGGACATCGAGGAGTTTGTCCGCGCTGGATGGGAAATATACTTACATTTACCAATCGTGAATATCGTTATCTAGCTTATCGCTCTTTCAGCTATTGGGTTCATGGTAGTGAATCAAAAGGCAATCGAATGGACCCACCACTTTGTGTTCTGAACAAGATAGCTGAGGCTTGTTTTCATTTAAAATTCGTTTGTATGGAAATAATTTTGATGTAGCTCTTGATTCACCAGTAGATCAGAAATTTCTAATATAAAATCTACCAATTAGAATTTATAGAGATATCCATTCGATGATAAAATTTCGACTGGTTATCCTGTGCTATTCTTACTGTTTGGACCTTACTTCTTCGAAGAATACGAAGAAGGCGATGATATGTGGAATTATATCGATTTACAATATTCTCGCTGAAGCAGAGACAGAGTCTCGTTTTATTGAAATTCACTGAATGAATCTCTGCAATTTTAGCTTCATCTTATATTGATTAATCTTTGCTTATGTTAACTGCCTGTTATCATGCTTATAATAATTGCTGTTATGGTTTTCTTTGCAGTAAATCTAAGAGAATAGGATAGCAAAGAATCTGAATAAATCTTGTAATTAAGTGATGTTACTCTATTAAACTCATTTGCTATTCGAAATCAAGATCTAGTTCACTTTTTAATTTATCTTTCGAAAATTAGAGATCCTAACTTCAAGCATAAAATTGCACTTACCATAGAGGATACAATAAGGAAGTCAAAACAAAATGCCTTCAGTAGTAGTAATTTTGCACCCAACAGCTTGAAAGTTATTCTTGAACTGTACGAGCCAGAAAGAAAGCATTATTATCAACAGAAATTGCCCATCATAAATCAGGATTAACAAAGTCATAAGCTATTGACAGTAAAAACAAGAAAATGGTAATAAACGCAATAAGTTAATGAATATAGAAATACAAACGTGATATGCAACAAGAACAGTTTACGGTGTTATTCTTTTTGGGTCGCGTGGGAAAAGAGATGCCAGGCGTATGTTCCCGAGTCCAAGAAACAGCATTGTTACACGTTCTAATCCTGAAATGTAAAAATAGAGTTCGGAAACAGATTAACCGCAACATGAAAACAATTACATACCAATGCCACCTCCAGCATGCGGCGGACAGCCATACTTGAATGAGTCAATATAAGCACGAATCTTTTCCAAATCAATTTGATGATGTTTAGCTCTTTCAGTTAATAAAGATGCGTCGTGGATTCGTTGGGCGCCAGATAATATTTCTTCACCTGAAATTGCAGTCGTTTCGTAAAGTGAATTGAAATTAGTAACAATTTTCAATATCCCAAGTTTCTTTAGTTATCCCATTACAGTTAAGAATTTTAATTTGCATACGAGAAAGTTCAACTTTTATTATGTTGTCTTATGATAAAAATAAATGAGATAGTTGATGTCATTGAGGGAAGGAAAATGATCAACTTTGTATCGTTGCATCTCAAAAACACAACCCGTTACTAGAAATAAATCACATGTTAACAAGAATACCTATGTCGATATGATATGATTAGAGGTGCAACTTTAAAGCTGTCATGAGCAACAAAGAAGTTAGGAGTTGCATGTATTAATCATTCATGTCTAAATAAGTTTCAATAATTAAAGTTATATCTCACCTCGCATAAACATATCGTAACTGTTAGAATATTTTGCATCGTTTGCATCTGGCATTGTGTAAAATGGACGAACTGCCAATGGGTATCTGTCGAGTATGTAAAAATCGGTCTGGTATTTTTCTTTCACCAACCTTCCTAAAAATTTCTCCACTGGAGTGCTTAAATCGTCTTCATCTCCTATTTCCACACCATTCTCTCGCAACATTTTGACAGCATCCTGATATCTGAAATGGTTACAAAAACCCATTTTTTTGTTATTTTTGTACTGTACATATAAAATGTAAATGAAATTATTGTGTGCAAAAAATTAAAACAAGCAACAGCAACACTGAAAAGTAAGAGCAGTAAATATAAGAAAACTTCCACGACATGTCAAAAAGTTAGGGCTAGTAATATTACCTACAATCTTACATACAACAATATAACAAACTTGAGTATAAGGGCAGGCTCAACGAATTCGAATGGTTCACAGGGATACTGCTTGCAAACTGTCTCAATTTCATTCTTGAATTTCGCTTGCAAATCCTTGAATATATCAATCAAAACAGCACCAATTGTTTCAAGAACCTGAAACTCAGTTTTGTGATCCTGAGCAGAAAACACCGTATTACTTTGTCTTTCTTGTCTTTGTCTTTCTTTGTCTTTCTCTTTCACTTAATATATTTTTATGTTTTTTATATTTCTATATTTCATAATCGGAAATAAGTCAACCTCATGGTAGTGAAATTTGAACGCCATTTCAATATCAAGGCCAACAAATTCTGTTAAATGTCGATGAGTATTACTGTCTTCTGCACGGAAAACAGCTCCAATAGTGAAAACCTGTAAAACAGCGAAAACAATGAAAACTTGTGAAGCAATATAAGTTTGGTGAAGTAAATTGCGATTGACAGAAAGAATGATCGTCCATGTCGAAATGTGAAAACCACTTACTTTATCAAAATCTGCAGCGACCGCCATTTGCTTATATAATTGCGGTGACTGAGCAAGGTAAGCAGAGCCTTTAAAATAGGAGACCTGAAGCAAAATTGTTACTTCAATCAAATTTGTATGATAATGACAGAGAAAGACAATAATAACTAACCTCAAAGACATTTGCGCCTCCTTCGCTTGCCGCAGATATGATTTTTGGCGTATGTATTTCGATAAAACCACGCTTCTTTAAACTATTTCGGAACAATTCACAAATGCCACTTTGTATAGAGAAAATAGCATGACTTGTCTGCGTACGGAGATCCAGTACTCTTAACATTAAATAATATTTTCTAGTACAAATTCGTGCATATTCCTATCATAAATCACAACTGCAACAAAGTATTCTTCAGCTAACAACACATTTTAGTACCGGGTAATGCATAATTCAGTGTGCTGAAGTTAGTCTGTAAGCAACATTTTTCGCGTATCGGAAAATTATTTAATATCGGAAAGGAATAGATACCAAAAGAAAAGTAGAACCAATTAGTTAGGTAATTAAATAATAACAATCATTTATCATCATTACAACTGGCTCCCAGATCAAACATAGATCGAAAAGAACCTATTGTCTAGGCGTGTGTCGAGATTCACAACAGACAAAGATGAATCTTCTGCATTTTTGCCTTCCTCTTTAATTCGAGCAGCATCTTCTATCTGTAATGGTAAGCGCGGTTCAGCTGCGCTAACAACGAATAATTCTGTGACATGCAATTCGACCTCTCTCTGTGTACAGCTGGTGATTTCCTGTTCCACCTTTCTCACGACACCTCGGACATCAATAATTGATTCCTGAAAACGGTTAAAAATCAAGAAACTTTACTTAGAAATGTAGGGGAAAACATATTCGATCTAGCAAAATTTACCTTTGAGATGTTTCCAACAAACTTCAGCATTTGTTTGCTAATTTCTTTGCCAACGAACAACATTCCCTGTATGGAGTGCATTTGCTGACGGATAATAATGAAGCATGTTTTTCCCTTTGTTCTTGACGTATGCAAACGGCCTCGAATCCAAATCTAGAAAATCCATTAGTTAAACTCCTAGGATTAACAAATATTTCCTAATATAACTGCTACAAAGCACCACCAATCAACAGCGGCAAGATTCATTAGATGAGCAATTTTGCTGTGCTAAACCTAGTTCCACATTTCAGTACTCAGTACAGCATATTATTGACTGATGAAATTATTCTATCTGAAACTTATTCCAATGAATATTCAGTTTGAACTCAGGTATTTCCATGCTTTCACTTAAGGTTATCTTTAAATAAATCCAAACATTATGATAACACATACAATTCCAAATCGCGATGCTTTGCATGACTACAAATTATTATACTTCGAGCGTCACACTCTACCAAATTTAAAATTTAACATTCTCATACGCATAATTTTTAAATATACATATAAACTAAGGTCCATATCATAGCATACCTCCTGTCTTTCTAAATTCACTAAAACATCTTTAACATCAATGAAATCCAATTTCTTTCGCTCAGCAGACTGTATAATTCCATAGGCACCATAGTGACCTTTCGAGATGTCTTCCTCCTCTTTTTTCTCGTTTTCTTCTGCACATGTAGCTGCATGCTAAATTTCCCATGCTTTAGCAAAGTTACATTTAACGTTTGCATAGTGTCTGATAAAAAAAGAAAGGATGTGAGTGATATCTGGTCCAAACCTCCGCCTTTTTTTCCGATTTCTTTTGTTGCTTAGCCAATTTGTTCAGCTCTTTTTTCGACAGTTTCTTTTCACTTTCAACTCCATCAACATTCGCTCCATCTTCAGTCGTCATTTTGGATCGATTTCCTGAAACCATATTAGAAGATGTAACAACGAAAGTGACTACACAAATGATCGATATATATATATAAATATATAACAATATATACACATTTGATATATATCGATCCAATAAATCAATTCATCAGTTTACTTTCTAAGATTGTCAGCCTACGAAAAATCTAAATGAATGGAAAAACCAAATGTACGCACATCCACGCTCCCTTAGCAACCACTAAATATCACCTCCCTCACGTAGTAATGAAGACCAGACTGTCTAGTTGATACACTTAGCCAGAGATAAGCGGTCATTACTCTGGTCACCATGAAAACTGCGATTCAGTCACTTCTCCCACGTAGTAATGAAGACCAGATTGTCTACATGATACACTTGCCCAGAGATAAGCGGTTATCCTCTGATTCATTGAAGGGTAAGGATTGAATGCATGCTGTCAATCATATCTGATGTGGATTTTGAGAGGAGAAAAATGTCCACGGGGAGTTACCGGAGACTCGGATCGAAACGAGATCACCCAGGTTGGTTGTAGTGCGGTCATTTAGTACGCATTGGCATGAATTTCGAGTAGCAGCTGTGATATAGAGCATATTTCTTTCTCTTTTCGAAACTTTCAAGGGCTCTGCCAACCTTTTACTAGTCAGAATATACATCATCATTCTCTCTCTTCCTTTATTGAACTATCCTTCTATTTATGTAGAGAAAGATTCTAGAAAACAATGAAGCATTATTGAGATCATAATAGCAACGGTTATGAAATGTTGACGGTCATATGAGAATTTCATCGCTTCATTCTCGGAAATGAAAATCAAAATTCGCTCTTGCAAAGTTTTTCAATAAAATTGAAACGAAGGAAATGGGAATGACACGAATATGAAAGAACCTAAAAGAGAAAGTATACCAAGAGGTTGAAGTTGAAAGGTCATTCTCATCTCATACTCTAACAGTGTCTTTAGAATTCGATTTATAATCACCAATGGACATTTTTTGGTGTCAGTTTTGTATTCAGAGCAGAAAATCTTCTATAGATATGACATTCGCAGATGACACTCAAATGTTCCTGCATATCATTGGGCGGCTGGAATGCAATGCTTCCTCGCCATTTACCTGTTTTCCATCACACTAAATAACCGTTTTTTCATCCCTTTACCAGTAACAATATCAATTGAGATGGAAAGATGATGAATTTGATATTAGCAAGAGAAGGACCAATACTTTTTGACTTGACATCGGAAAACAACGGTACTTCTTTTTAATTTGCACACATTAGCTAATGCTCCGTTAGTTAATTATAAACGGATTAATAAGATGTCATCTTTCTGCACTGGAAGTAACACAGTTTCTGCAACTTTCAAATCCTTGACTGGTTTCTTATATTATTCCTAGGTGTGCTTCATTTCTGACTAAAATCTCAAATGATCGATTCATTTTAACCATTTTTCTTTAAATTTCTTCAGCTTTATTTTTTAGAAAATGTTTGAAGAGCTTTGGAAGACATGAAATATATCTACCATTCTATCTTCAAACTTTGAGCAAGAAGTTGGATACAAAATGTGCAAGAACACCCGTTGAAGATGTTTTTTTGCGTAGTGCTTATATACATATTGCAGTTTACAAAAGACAACGATTTCATATGAACATATGAAAGAGACAATATCATATTGTAAATTGCGATTCATTAGAATAGCTGAACTTAAAGTGAAAGTTTAGAATAAACAAATATGAACAAAGTTAAGCAAAACACGGTATATTTCAACACAATGTTGTAGAAAGGCGGAAGAGAACGGAGAAATAGCGGGAGAGAACGGATAAGGTCAGTCTACCTGTAATGTCCAAATAGTAACAGCTGGTGGAAGGACGATCGAGTAATCTAGAAGTTTACTGTGTGACCCGAAAAATTCTATAAATTTATGCGTGTACCATATAGGTAATGAAATTAAGAGTTCCTTTTCAAGTTATTAGAAAAATTTACTTATCAAATATTGATATAGAACGGAAAATCAACATCTCTCATGAAACTATTGCTAAACTATAAGAGACAAAAACCTTTCCAATCCATTTCACTCCTTGATTAAAAGACCGTATTAATATTAACTATATTTATACCCGTAAGATTTGTATCGAAGGAAATTGATATTTTACCTTTGCTGTTAATAAATCAACATGTAATACTATATATAATATCCATATGTTGAATTTCTAGAAATATTTGCATTTTCTTCATTGTTACTATAAATAGCATCAGGTGTTCTCGTCCTCACTTCTTTCTGATAATAAAATTGAAATCTGGTTTCTCGCTGTCATTTATCCCAGATATAGGAGAAATTAATAATTCATCGGTTAAACATCTCGATAGCGGTAATTTGCTCTTGGATTTTAAGACTGCACTTTTTACGATAACTGGCACTTCTCCAAGATGGCTCTTTTTGATCGAAAGCCGCCTATCGAATTCCGCTTTCGCGTCAAAATGCGGAATTTGAATGATTTCCATTGATGTAGAGGAAGTTTTTGTCGCCTGGCTGTCACTCATTCGTTCATTGCTTCCTTCTCTACATGGCAGTAATCTGAAAGAGAAAACCTTCAGCAGATGAATTCTTAATTTTTAAATTTGCTTAGCTACACATATCAACGGTTAATTTGTTTCTTATTTTAGCATTCACCAACAATCTTAACTTACTTATCTTTTAGATCACAAATAGTCCTAATTTTACTTCGCTTTTGTTGTTCCTTGTTTATTGTATTATACCTAGGCTTTCCAAATTCTGATGACTTTTCTTCAAGTGTATCGGATAATCCTGTTTCTTGTGAACTACTAGCTTGGCAGATTTCTGATGCAATGAAACCAGACTTCTTATCATCGTAGTCTGAAAAGTTGGCTTCAGATGCACTCGCTTCAATAGGTTTTTCCCCCGTTATAAATAAATGCTTAGGTCTATACAACAATGATGGTTTTGAAGAAACAGATGTTGGCTTATTTAGTTGTTGTCTGGGCGGTGGTACAATTTGCGGTCTGCGCAAGCCTGTTTGTTGTATTTCTGGATTCAGTCGAGTCTCTTCTCTTTGATGATATTTAGTGTCATTTCTTGTAAAAAAGAACTTTTCCAAGACTGGTTTCGATGTTGACTCGATGCTTTCTTTGCCAATCTTTTGTTTCGATGCGATATATTCATTGATTTTAAATTCGGTTATTATTGATTCCTGGTTAGTTCTCGGTGAAGTGATGCTTTCTGAATTGTTTGCGATAACCTGTGAGGGTGAAGATATCAGAGATGTTGCATCAGGCGTCAATGAGGCTTGAAGTTTATGATGGAGACTCGGTTTTACGATGGGTTCTATTTGGACTGTGCTAATACCTCTGAATCCAGTAGCTTTTAATCCTGTTTCCCCAGAACTGGAATGGATTATATCTGAAAAGCTTCTCGACACTTTTTTCGTGGAATGAGACATGAACTGATGATGTTTTATTTGATCCGAAATCGTCGATCTAGCTGGAAACATTTGAAATCGTGATTTAGATTTTGGTAGTAATTGTTCCGTAGATAAAGGCATTGCATCAAATTCAGGAACTCTTTGCAACCTGCATGATGGAGGCTCAAAATTGATGTATTTTTTAAAGAGTATTTCTTTACTCAAGAGTTCGTTTTGAGATTTTATTTCATTTGTGCCATATTGTTCTAAAGTGTCAACTAAATTTTCGATCACATCTGGAATGATTTCCATTAAAGACATCTCAGGAGTGTAGTTCAATATTTGTATCGGTGGACTATCCGATGAACAATTGAAATCATCGGGATGTATCAGTGCAGTTGGATCTTCCTGTCCAGTTGAAGCATCGTTCTGATTATTTGGAGTTGAAGGAATCACTTCTTTATTCGTCCATACAACGTTAGATATGTTTTTAGCTGTTCCGGAAAAAATATTTCTCCGACTGGCAAAAAGTTCAGTCGCAGTAACAGCGTGCTTTTCTTGTGTATCATCCAGTTCCTTTAATATATAATCAGGATCAATTTGATTCCCAGTCTGTTTCAGAGGAACTTTCTCAACGGTGATAATAGATGCTTCGGTTACCGCTGATAATTGCTGTTGTTTACTTGCTTCCGGTTTCTGAAGAGGTTCCGAAATTTCTCCAAACTTCTCATTATTTTCTTTTCTGATCGCTTTATGCATCTCATTGAGATGATCCGGAACAATGTAACTTTCTATTTCATCCTCATCATCGACCAATTTGTGCATCTTTTCTTCCTTCTTGTTCCATTCCTCCGGTATGTCGGCTACTGAATCAGTTTTCATTTTCTTTCTGTCTCGCATCGATTTATTGCCTGAATCAGCTGAATTTGAGAAGGTTATGATAGATTCCGGTGGAACAGAAGTTGACAGTTTAACTCGAAGTGGAATCAAAGATAGATCAGAATTGGTAAAGCTTTTAGATGTTTGCTGCAAGTTGCAGAAACTTTCTAACGTCTGACCATGACTTAATTCCATCTCCGCGTAATCTTCGACAACAATCTGAAATAAAATTCTACATGACACTGATCAACAAATTTGTTGACTTTATGAGGAATTGCAAAAAGATATTCTACCAAAATTTGCGCTTACCAATCTTATAACATTCATGCTCCTTTGTTCTTTATTAACTTCATTTGTTATTCTGCTTATTAGACTTAAATCATTAAATTAGTAATTAATTGTCATCTAGAAAATTTTCATATCAATGATGCTTTCTGCTAATTTTGAGCTATAGGAAACAGTAGTAGAAATCAATTAAATCTGTCAAAAATATTATATTTAGAGAGGAAATATCATAAAAGAAATTTTGCTAACTTCTCCGATTGGCTATTTTGGCAGTTTATAATCATATCAATATTTTTATTAAGCTACTAATTGTTTATTTTCTTTAAATTACCTTTCATATATTTATAATTAAATTAATGGTTAATTATCATAGTTAAATATTTGGTTGTTTGTATAAGCAACAACAAAATACATTGAACTAAAAGTCTTTAAAAAAACAATATAAACAAACTTTCGTAAAGGAATACAATGATGGGATTATTGAAAGATTAATAAAGATTATCACTTCTTTTTTCAGCAAAAAATTAAATTTACCATCCTATCCGATATTCTTTCGCTGTTATACTTATCTCTTCTTAACATATCATTGGAATTCGGATCAGTAATAACGCCCACGGCTACAGATTCAGTTATAACATCTTCATTTTCCTTTAAGATTCGTTTCGCCTGAATTAATACGTTTTTGTTCATTCCATCCGATTCCCCTCTAATTTCTTCACTTCCATTATTGAGCATTATAATGGATATTTGTTTTGGTTCTGGACAATTGTTGGAGGTGAGGATAACTGATGTTACAGTATCAGTTATATGAATTGTTTCTGAATTTCGTCGTGAACACTTTCTTGGCTCATCGTTCACTCCTATTACTGAGCGAACAATCTTTTCAACGAATTCATTTGCGTAAGATTGGATCTTTGAAAAAGCTGTATTTGTTTGAGTTTGCTTAATCAATTCTTCAATCTTTTTGGTTTTTGTTTCAAAAACCTCATCTTGAGTAGAGGATGAGTAAGCCGTATCAGCAGCATCTTGAGATGATCCGGAAACTAGTGTATCCTTATTCGTTATGTTTTTTACTGATGCCATTTTGTTTTCTTTCTGATTCATGAAAGACTGGGATTTAACAGGGGAAATTACGCTGGATTCAAGGACTTGAACAATAGAATTAGATGAATTTAAATTTTCAGAATTCGCTTCTACATTGCCCAAATTCTCGGCAGCAGAAATATCAGGTAACTTAGACTTTGGTCTGCAATGTCGACTATTCACCGTTGATTTGAAGATTTCCAAATTTCGATTTGATTTCAAGTCACTTGGTCGTGGGAATTCGAACTCTCCATTACCAACCGCATTTCGTGCTAACAGGACAGCTTCAAATTCAGTTAATAGCGTCTGAGAGTTCTTTGGCTTTTGGCATTTTAATTTTTTCTGAGCAGTTTTAATTTCGAAATCACTGGGACGTAATCGTTTCTGGCATATTTTTTCAGAGGTCAGAGTTTTTCCGACAGTAGTTAATTGTCCATATTCAGCTAAAATAGCAGGGCCATCTTTGACACGTTTCAATGCAGAATGACAATTCAAAGAATTATCAGGATCACATTTAAGAAAATTAATACAAACTTCAGGAATAGTAGCAAGTTGTTGTTGATTGTCAAGTTGTAAGTGATTGTCATTTTTAATGCCATTGTCACCTGACTGACTATGGTTGACGATATTGTTGTTTACATATTCGTTACTGCCATTATTCATTGTTGATCGTTGATGTCGCAAAAAGAAAATGTTTTCAATCATGTCGCAATATTGTTGCACTTCATTAGACTGACTCTCGCTTAGATTAGCGCGATTGCATTTTCGAGCACGCTCTACTGCTTCATAACACTGTCGTATAATCTTCTGAAATGGATATTGTGTTAATTCGTATCCTACAGATTAAATCTAAGAATTATAGAAAATCTTTTTGATTTGCACAAAAAATAGTTGTGACCTCAGAAATGCGTTTTAAGAAATACACACGTTGTGCCTATCAACAATAATATATTATTTGCGAATAATTTCACATAGAAAAAAGAAACAAATAGAGTTTCGAAAAAGGTTTGGTATTTTAATTTTCAAATGAGGCAATCTCTCACAACGACATTTTAATGGCGCTGATTAAAATTCGCAAAGATAATGAAGATAATTGTCATATAATGAAGTTTCATATTTTGACTTTGTAAATTATAAAATGAAAGTTTAACATAAAATAAACACAATCTTTTATATGCTCTCTCGTAATTTCACGAGAAATCTTTGTGATAATTAAATGAATTTAGCAATTTGATCTTACTTATTTGAATTTTAGGCGGTAAATTACAAATAAAATTTTCATCGCAGAACTGCCAATAAACACCATCTTAAATTACTTTGTTTTTTTCTTTCGCTAAAATATCTATGTATCTTCGCTAAAAATAAGCTTGTAATTGACTGTTTCAATGTAGCGTTTCTAAACTGCTATATAACATAGTACCACTATTTATATATGCAATTCAGGATCGTATTATTTATAACAAAAAGTTCCTCAAAGCTTTATCTTTATCTTAGCTTTGTCTTCTCAATAGCTTCATCGCTGAAAATATGTAAAATCAAGAAGAAAAGTGCCTCGAAATATTTCATTTTATAGTTATGCTATTAATTAATTCTAAATTAGCAAAAAATCTATCACATTATGAGTTATTAGTGAATATTATCGATGTAATTTTTATTTTCTTCATTACCATTTCTTTTTTATTTATGAAAAAAGGCATCGATTTCGGTTTATTTCTACAAAATAGGCCTAAAAGATTTTACTATTCTTCAGAAGTTCTTTTATCGGCATTATTACCATTTCAATACAATGATAATGACAATATACTTCCACACATTCATTAAATTAGCATATAAATTTTCAGTGTATTCTTTAGGAACTCTTTTGACAAATTTTCCTGCTCGTTTTTCTATGGATCAAAATTACCTTGATTTATTGCACAAATAAGAAAACTCCTATAAATTCTATTCTCCGTTTATTTTGTCCATAAGCTCAGTATCAAATACATTCCGGACGATCAGGAAATTTACAAGAGGACTCCACGGAAATGAAGAAGATATTTATTGTGGAATGAAATATTTGAGTTATTTAAATTAAAATAGAAAAAGAATAAAATGAAATACCTCATCAGAGACGTCTTTGTACAATGAATATAATAATGCAATGGAAACATAGACAGCCATCAGATCAGATTCATTACCTATAGGCCAACAATCTAACATTGCATATTTGATTTTAGCAAAATGCTTTTCAATTTGTCGCCATTGCTCTAACATTTTTGTTTTTCTGAAGTATAAAAATCCTACCATTTATTATAAGCAATTATTAACAAAGTAATTAATAAAATCTATCAATAGTACTTATCAATTTCCTAAAAGATTTCACTTAATTTTTCCGAAATATATGTATTCCATCTATTAACAGTAAGTAATAAATGAAGCTTGAAATATTTGATATTAATTAGCAAAATAAGTTTGCAGCATGCACTCTAAATGCATTTTGCATTGCAAGTTTTTGAATGAAAAGAAATATTATTTGCTAGCGTTAATTAATAAAATTTAAAAAGGTAAACAAATAAGTAAGAATTTTAAAAATCTTTCAAAAGAGAAAAGTCATAATTTTAAATATTATAAAACCAAAAACTTTCAATGTTAATTTCAAATTTTAAATGAATAAAAACGAATAAATGTAATCTAACCTTTCTTGAATACTAATATCTTCTTTCTTAAGATTGCTGCATGCATGCAAGTATACTTCTCTGACAATTGCAATATAACTAATAATAACAGATGGCTCGCAACCTCGAAATATTACAATCTGATCTAATAAATCCATTGCATCAGCGCAAACTGTAATGTTTAACTTCTTCAAGTATTTTTCATAAAATTTTCGAAAATAAAATTGAAAGAAAGAAATGATTTTAAGAATTAATTGAATTAATTGGATGTGAGAAAAATCTTAAATAAACGAAATTTTATGGAATAATCCATTTTTTCTTTTTTTGCTAAAATCCTTTAATTTTGAAATTATAAGTAAAAGTTGGCTTAAATTTTAGGAAGAAAATGAAAATAATTAACAAAATGTATGAAATATCAGAAATGAATTGTAAAAAATTAAAATTTCTGAAACAAAAGGAATGAAAATTCTTCAAATTCTTCTATCATTACTATATATTTATGATAAGAAAACAAAATTTGAAAATAAAAACAAACGAAATAAATCAATGCTAATGAGCAAACATGTTGAGTTATGGTCAGTTAGTAGAGCTATGGTCAGGACAGTTAGTAGTAACCTTTGATCCGACGATTTCACATTCTCAAGGAGTTGCTTTGAAAGTTGACAAATTTATGTTAAATATCACCGTTCTCTTAGAAATAGAAGGACAAAATTGATTAGTTTGCTTCAAAGGTAACATTTTCTTTCGTTTTTTCTCTCACATTTTTCAATGACACAAATTCGAATGCGAAAGAAGTAATTGAAAATATTTGTTGTGGAATTTATGAAGGGATGATTGAATTTAGAAATAAAGAGGGGTTTATTAATGATTAATGAAATTAAAAGGAGGCGGTGACATTAGAGGGAAAGTAATTTAATTTAATTTAATTTAATTTAATTAGTTCAACTCTTACTATTTATTCATTTCCATTGATTCGAGTTTTTTATTTTTATCCAAATTCATTAAATTATAAAGCAAAATATTGAATAATTTAAATTATAAGTTTTTGATAGATTTGAATTCTTGACTATTTATTCTTTTACTACAATTACTTCTTGTAAATGGACTCGTTTTTTTTAAGATGTAAAACGAAGTGATAGAAATATTTGTTGTGAAATTTGTGTGAACTTTTCCCTTTTGATTATTTCAAGAAGTGATTTAAGTTAGAAGGCTTGAAGATTGACTACGAAAAAGTAAACAATTTGACCATGAAAGTAAACAATTTGTCACATTCTAAAATATTTGTCACATAGGTATGTGAATGAAAAAAAAGTAAAAAAATGTAAGGCAAACAAAAATAAGACTTAAAATGAAATATTTTATGCTAATAAATTGGGAAATGAAGAAACGCAAAAAATGTAATATTTAATATAATTCTGTCTTTACAAACAATTATTACTTTCCTTTTTGTTTTGCCTAAAATATCAAAAATTATGCTCATTTAATCATTCCAACAAAGTTTAAGAAAGTGGAGCGTTACGGAATGGATAATAATTTACAAAGAAAATGATATATTCTAGAAGAAAACTGAAATACCGAAATTTTCATCTATGCTTTGTCAATTTGATAAATATTTCTGCCCATTAAAAAAATGTTTAAAAAAAACGTTTGAAAAGATAATAAAAATTGATCAGTGCATTATAACGGTGATAATAAACGCGCGCATATCTCATTCACATATGACATTATGCGACAAAAAAGTGATTTGCGATAAAATTGCATTTTGAAAAATTTAAAATCAAAAATAAATAAAAAACAAACCAGTCTATTAAGACAGACTAAAAAATAATTTAATTCAATACCTATAACTATAACTTCTCACTTTAGAGAGAGAAAGCAAAAGGAAAGATAGCGCGCATTATTGCAAAAGCTAAAGGAATTGATACAAACAAAAAGAAAACAAAATGCTATAGATCAGGTGGAGAAAGAAATAATGGTATTATGAGAAATTGAAATTATCAAAATTGCAACATTTCTGATTCATATAACAATGAAAAATTTTTGTAATTTTATTTTTAAAAAAATGAAAAGATATATATATGATAGAGATGAAAATGAAAAGCTGTATGAAATCGATATGTTAGTGAGGGTAAGGATGTTATTCAGCTGGCATTAACCTGCTGAATTAGCAGACACTGGTTTTGTTGGTATTTCTTTCTATTGACAAATATTTTTAACAAGTGACATTTTCTATATCTTTATGATTCATTCTAAAGTAGGAAAGAGCAACTTAATGGCATATTTTAATGAATAAACGAATAATGTGAAATGTAATTCCACCAACTTCTTCCCATTTCTTCGATAAAAAAGTCCTAAAATCATATCAGCTGCTTTCTGCCCGAGAATTATCGATACTTCTCTCAAATGCAACAATCAATAAGGAATTCATTAGTACTATTGTTGATATGAAGAGATCTCCTAAGACTGCTTGTGAATATCTCATCAAATCAGTCAGAACAGATTGAAATCAATAAAATATCAATTAAGCATTGTTCCCTTTCTATACAAACTTTCCGAAATTCTCAATCATTGCTATCGTCCGCTATAGGTTGTATATTCCGTCCATTTAAAGATGTGTTTAAACATGTTTATGTATGGATGCTTTAGTTAGTCATACGGATCATAGCATTTAACCGGAAATTATTTTTATCACTAATTCAAAAATTTGATGTATGGAATTCAAGAATTGTCGGAAAGAATTAAATATTCTATAAAAAATACGAATTATTTAATGTTTGAAATTTTAAAGAAATTTTGAAATTATAAAAACAAAGAAGATTGGGAAAGATTTAAAAATCCAAATTTGATGAACCTTGTTTACTGTCTTCAAGTCGCCTGTATGATATATTAAGACGTCCATGGTAGGCTCTATAAATATTGTACATTTCCGCACCGCTCACTTTGACTCTCAGAATTGATTCAGAATATTGCCGTTTTGCATTAAGGAATCGTTTAACATACAGTGGTGACGGAGATGAAGTATGAGGTGAAGGTTTATCATTCAGTGATATCTTATCACATTCCATACTTTCAGTCCTGTAAACCATTTAGATATATTTTAGAATAAAACATTCTTGCAAACGCTCAATGACCATTAATATCATTATCATTATTATTTATTATTGTTGTTGTTTATTATTATTGTTGTTTTTTATTTGTTATTGTTTATTATTATCGTTTACTGTAGTCGTTTATTATTACTGTTATTATTATTATTATTATTATTATTATTATTATTATTATTATTATTATTATTATTATTATTATTATTATTATTATTATTAATCGTTATTGCTATTATTAATCATTGTTATTGCTAGCATTATTCATTATTATTGTTTATTATCATATTGCCACTACTACTATTATTACCACGTTTGGACAAGATATTATAATTTCTATCAGAGCAAACTTGAAGCTAGTAAGCATTTGTCAGTAAATTCGATCGCCAACATTGCGCCATTATAATTTAGGAAGAAAGTACTTATAGCCACGAAGAATGACTGTCATTTTCCAAATTTTAAATGGCAAATGATTGCGAAAATTTCAAACAATAATGAAATACACTAGCAAAATGTTATAACAAAGTAAAAAAAAGAGAAAAAGTTCTCGATGAATCATGCCTTGTTAACTTATATACACATAAAGTGCATGTTTTCCTGTTCTTTTGCTTTCTACCGGTCCCGACCAGAACTGGTCCCGACCAGAGCAGGAAGTTATACACTTTGCAGATTGAATGATCAGCCACATTTTCACTACTCGGCAAGCACAAATTGTTTAACTTCCATCCTTTCATTTTAACATCTGATAATATTTAGATTCATGTCAACTTTCGCTAACTTCGCAGGAATAATTTCGAAATAAAAGTGGTTGCTATTTATTTCCAGCCGAGAATTGATCTGGACTTTTTTATAAAAGATATCAAGTGAGAGAAATTTTTAAAAAATTATTTTAATTAACAACGTAGAGAAGTCCTTATTAAACTATTGAAAATGAGTAAAAAAAACAAGTATGGCGATAAGATTTGAAATTGATTGATAAGAGAATTGTTAAAATAATCCTTAGTGCAGCTTCTCGATCAGATTAAACTCAGATAAAGGATCGTAATTTACCTGTACATGTAGACTTCAACCTACTTTAAACTTCGCTTTATTTCAGGCTTTAAATGAGATTCTAGAATTCAGATCTGAAATACTCTGATAAGAAATAAGATCCTACAATCTAAGCATAAAATATTCTGGTAAAAAGAAAAATATATCTTCATATTATCAGCAAAACTTGCAGCCTTACAGCAATTTTATTGATTGATAAATTTTTTTTGACATAGATTTTATAAGTGACGAAAAATTAAAGAAATAAGAACATAAAGAGTAGCCAAAAATGGAAAAGCTAAAGATGTATATTATAAATGTGACAAAGAGATAAGTCTCTTATCAGTTATGCAAAAAATCTAATCAACAACGGCAAAATATTCCTTACTTTGCCAAGCACTATTATCTTCATCGTACACTGTGTACACAATCAATTCATCTCTAGTTTGAATTATTTCACTATGTAAGTTAATAAATAATTAGTGAAAACTATAAAGTAGACAGTTAAAGATTTCAAGTCCATATTAATTTCACTTTTAATCTGCCATACAGTGCAGCAGTTTAACTGTATTCATTCTTATATACAAAATTCAATATTTCAGGGAAATAAGTTAAAATTATTTCCAAATAAATCAATCATGCGATATACCAAAAATTTATTTCTCGAAGAATTTAAATTTGCGTACAAACATACAAAATTTTGGTTACGAATTTGTAAAATTTATGGCCACTGAATTAATCCGATGATTCATGAATTATTTGCATATTTTAATATTAGTGATAATTTTTAGAATTTAATAAGATTGAAGGAAATATCTATCAGGTTCTCGATGTATTCTTGAGACTGCACTAATGTTTGTGTTATACGTATGCATACTTCATCCTGTCAGAAAATAAGAAATATCAATAAATGTTAACAAAAGTAGAAATTAAGCAAAAATTGAAACTAAATTTAAATTAAAGATCACAAAAACACAAAAAATCATTCATAAATGATCCTCCCAAAAAGAGTTTAAGGTAATAAAATAACACCATAAAATCAGGCAGAAATAGTTGTAGGGAAGCAATAGCTCTCTGTATCCGATTCCAGACGTTTTCTAATATCTCTATAGCATTAATATTTTTATCTGCATAATAATAATAGCATTGATAACACTAGCGTCATGACCACTTATTCAGTCTGTAAGATTTGATAAGCTACAGTTATTTTATGTTTATATTCTCCCAATTGCATAAAGCTGAACTTTCCTGATTACAAGAACCTACTTTTCTATTTGGTGATAAAAACTGCCTTTACTCGAAGACTTTCTTGGTGTAGTATTAGGTTTGAAATTTTCGAGGATTCTGGAAATACGAACGTCGACATAGATGACTGTCACATCCAAACAATCTGATCTGTTCATTTCAAAATCAGTGCCGAAACAAGAAACATTAGTAAACCACTTGATCGTAACCGCGCAGGAGAGGAAATGCCAACTTATAATGATGGGTGTTAGATATGTGTATTTAGGGCACACTATCATTTTATTACCAAAATTCCCGCCATGCGAACAGCATTCAAACGACCTATCTGCACCGGTAATCCTACCGTCCGATAATTTGCAGCTCATTTGCAGAATGGAAAGTTCGGTAAGTGGCCTCATTTAGTGTTTCCACAGATCTTCCACGAAAAAAATTCAACTTCGATTTTTTAAGAGCTCATTTAAAGAATATATTCCAGATGCGTGCTTTAAAAAAAAATTGCGTTGTATTGTAAATCAGATGAATCGTAAGCTGACGAAGCAATATATTCTACCAAAACTTCACGCCTCTTATTTCCACCTGAATGAATTACATTAGTTCCTACAAACAAAACCCACACCATACTAAATTCTTCCCATTTTTTGTTCACATTTTTTTTCACCACTTCATGTACGCAAGCTCTCCATACACAAAACTGCTTTGCATACACAATTTGGCAATGCAACAAATTCATGAACTCTACCACAACCCATGTAAATTATAATTGTAACACATTTGTTTTGCATACAAAAATTACACAAGTTTATTAATGAATAAATTCGTAGTGGAAACAAATTGCTTATCCCATAAAACAGACATGAAATTATTCATGACTACACTAACATGAGTGATGGTAATCAGCTTCAAAACAATAACAGTTCTCATCGTTTCGATATTACCAGTTGGAATTTTGCGTCGAAGCACCCCATTCCTGTTGCTGCGCGGTATCCAGCTGCACGGCTCGCTCTGTTTCTTGCGCCCAATCACTTACAGGTTCAACCATGCTGAAGTCCAATTTTTTCGCTGGTTCAACACCACCTATTGTTTGGTACTGAAACTATCATGATAGCAAGTTTATTAAAAAAGTGATTGAAATTTTGAATGGAAAAAGCTTCAAGATAGAAAAATGTATGAAAAAAACTATAGATAGTATAAGGAAAGCATTTCAATGAGAATTTCCACAAGCCAACAGTTTTTACGCAACAGCTCTATTAAATTAAAAATAAACAAATAAAGAAAATAAAGTAAACAAAGAAACTAAACAAATACCATTCCAATGGATCTTACAACCTCATCAATTTTTGCGACCTCAGGAGGTGGAACCCCAGGCCAAGGCTCTTTTACTTCACGCGGTTCCGCCAGCTCTTCCTTTTCCTGTTCCTCCGGATTACGATAAAAATATAAATCAGGCATAATTTCCTTGTCATCAAGTACAAATCCTGTCTGCCGTGTCATCTTGCCCTTAATGAGCAAAACTTCACGAGCCAACAGCCACCACATCAGTCCTATTGATTGCACACCCTGTAAAAGCAATCTAGAAAATGATGGTTAAATTTCTAAAACTTGGAAATATTTACAAGCTTATATTACAAAAAAGAAATGAGCACAAAAGTAAATTCAACAGCTAATACAGACCTTATTATTGCATGGTATACCAATATCAATAAATTTCAGAGGTGAGTCAGTATTACAAAAACTAATTACTGGCACACCAACATATGATGCTTCCGTCACTGCTTGATGGTCGACGCGAGGATCCGAAACAATCAGCAGACGTGGTTCCTGAAACAAAAAAAATCAAACCTCTCCACAGATGTTGAAATAAGTAACGGAAAAATCACTCAACCCAATCCTTCAAAGATGAATAAACAGCAACTAGAGATTCCAAACTAAAGGTACTCTATTAATTTCCATGCAATAATTGACCTTAAATTGCTTTTGGATTTGATTAGTCAAACAGCCTGGTGTAAAACGCCCAAAAATTGGCGTAGAACCAGTGTGAGCAGCAAATTTGAGTAAAGCACGCTGCGCATATGGACGTGCCGATACGACACACACATCTGCCGGATTGTCTATCGCTGCAATCGCACGAGCAGCAAGTAACAGCTTTTCCCATGTCTTTCGCAGATGGATGATGTGAATGCCTACAAATCAACAAATAATTCAAGCGATTCACCTAAATGCCGTTCAATCATGGATTTGAAGATTTGCTCGGTTACACACATACTGTCAGTGACTCAGTGACTATAACTGACAGCGTAGTACAGCAGTACCAAAAAACACATATAACAATCAAAATTATCAAAACGATACTTGAAAATAATGAATAAAACAGAGATCATATTATGCATTTGCAAAGAAATGTAGTAATGTAAACCGTCAAATTAAGCGTGACTATAAAAACAAACCATCAGCTCTTCTTTTCCACACGTACTGCTCCATCTGAAAGTCACAGTTGGCAGCACCCACATGAGTTTGACATGCCAGAAGTTTTATAGCATCTTCTTCTTTCAAGGCAAATGATTCCAATCCCGCTGACATCGTTAAGAATCACTTTACCTATAATAATATAACGACTCTGACCGCATACCCGTTTTATCTCTCGCGACACCATAACACGCTACCCCACTAAATGGACGTCCTGCCAATCATGGAAACTACACCAGTTAACGCAGCACTCATTTTTAGGTTCCAGCAGTTGCAATAATGCCTCGGTTTCATCCTCCGATGCAACTTCGCATCTCAACCCTCGAAGAAAAAAATGGCCGGTGTTTCGAATGTTCCTTAATTAAGCTCGTATTCTAATGAGTTATAGGGCTAGGACTTGTCAAATGTTATTTAAATGAAATCAGATTACTCTACGGGTCACTGCCACCCATCGTAGACAATCAGTTACAATTACAACTGAGTTGTCTGATCCGTCCTGATTTTTTCCGTTAGTGGTTGAAAAGAAAAATGACATAACTGATAGTTTTATACTAAACGTCTTTTTAAAGCATTAACAAGGCTGTAGGACATTGGATTCTATATTATTATCTCATTCATCTATTTCTCATGTATTAATTAATCGTCAACTTCATTCGATAACAAGCTCTAGCAGACTTTAGGAATTCAGACCGTTATGAAAGAGGCAGAAAATGTTGGCGTTGGAACCTTGATAATTTGGAAAAAGATTAAAATGCAAGTGTCTAAATGTAAGCACTGTGGGATCTTATTCACACTTTGTTTTAGTTAGATTATGATATCGAATAATAGATACTTTCCCTAATGATATATCGAATTTCAAGCCCCTTTCCTGAACAAAAACTTGAATTTATTGTTCTCTAGATTCTAATTCTTAGCTATATTTTGATTCTAACCATTTTCATTCCAGGATTCTTCCTACGGAGTAATGATACTCCGAAGCCTGTCCCGAAAACACTTCCTGCTTGACAAGTGCAAAAGGGTTGGTCATTTTGCTAATCTTTCCTAGTTACTGTAACAACGTAAATACAATGAAATAGACTTACTTTCACATGGTCCCATGTAATCTATTCTGCTTCCTAAGATTGTTTGAAAATGTTTCGAGCTTTCTAGAGGCTTATCATTACAACATAATATTCATTAGCTTAATTTTGATCCCACCAAAGATTTTCCTGCAGTGATTGTCCATTTTTTTTCAGTTATTATCGGTTGGAGTTGATGAAGAAATACTGGCAGAGAACATAAACGGCAAGTTAATTGTGACGTTAAATCGGCCAAAGATTCTAAATGCGTTGAATATAAGTATGGTGCGTAAATTATATCCGATGCTGAAGGTTTGTTGTAGCGTTTGTTTTAAAACTTAGCTTGCAATTTGCATACAGTAGTTCTAGCTTTGATTTATTTCCTGTTCTATGTTATTATAACTGTCTAACAGGTATAAGGGCAGAAAAAAATGCAGTAATTCCGGTACCCGAAGAGGTTGTAATGAAATTGCTCTGACTTCAAACTCTACTCGTCTTTGCTGTGGAAGGAACAAATTTCTTGATTCTTCGTAGCTTGTCATAGTCTTATCTACAGGTTCTGCTAATGAAAGGCGCATGCTTTTATGGGATTTGTTTTCTATATTCAAAACGCTCATCACTGCCTCAACGCCTTTGGGACCTGCAACCCACTTGGATCATCATATGTACTTCAGAGTTTCAAGGTGCGGGAATTTGAGTTGAGCTGTTGCAGAATGAATAGTTATTTATAAGTTTTATTCTTATAGTCATGTTTGTTCCCTAAAACATTAACGACGATTGGCCAAAAGTCGTTGTAACGAAAAGAAAAATAGTGGACGTGGGGAGTAGTCAACCTTTTTTCAGAAATACAACAGTGATCGAAGTGTATCGTTTATATTTGTCAAAGGAGCAGGTAGCAAGGCGTTTTGTGCCGGTGGCGATATTGTTGGTGATTATATTTTTGTTCTTAATAATCAGTGATATTTCACATATATGTTTAACAATTTTGCTTTTGGTTGTTACACAATTAAGTAATAGAAGTCTTTTAATTTTAATTTGTAGCTGTGTCACGTTCTGCTCAAGCAAATGATCCATCAAATACAATATACAAGGATTTCTTTCGCGAGGAATACATTATGAATCATTTGATAGGTGTCTTAAAGGTACCATATATCGCCGTAATGGATGGTATCACAATGGGAGGAGTAAGTTCGTTATCTCCAATCAATTTGTCATTGTCAGTATAATTGTCTTACCAAAATATTGCTTTAATATTTTTTGTTCATGCCGTTGCATTTAGTTAAGTTTTTGATTGCGTTCATAATAGCACTGGAAACAAATTCAGTGTTTAATACTCAGTAAATTTAAAGTTGATTTTCTATCTGTTGTTGTTATCCTATGTAAAAATTCATCGATTTATAAGTGAGCTACTGCATTGGAAATATCAATTTGAATTTGTCAATTTGAAGGGTTGTGGTCTTTCTCTCCATGGAAAATACAGGATAGCAACAGAGCGAACAATACTGGCAATGCCTGAAACTTCTATTGGTCTCTTCCCTGATGCCGGAGGTATTATAATTTCTACAAGTTTGATATAGTTTATCCTATTTTGTATTTCTTTCTCTATTTTCAGTGTTTAGTCTCGAATGATTAATATAATCGGTATTTTCAGGAACGTTTTTCTTGTCACGATTACCATACAATTTGGGTCATTTTATGGCACTCACAGGGTATCGAGTGGTAGGCGCCGATGTTTATCATATGGGTCTTGCTACTCATTTCGTAAGCTTTGATGGTATTCTGATTTTGTTTTGTAATTGATATAATTTTAAAACGATTTAGTTCTATTTATTTGCTAGTTATATTGCACGTAGAAATATAACTAGCAAATACTCTACCGATAATACTCTATAAATATTCTATAAATAAATGTAAATATAATATAAATATAAATACTATACAAAATAATATAACATAAATATACTCTACGAGACTCTCTACCGGTAATAATGCTTTTTGAATTTTTTCTCATATTCTCTCGATAAAATTGAGAATTTAATTCATGTAAGTTTTTAGGTTCCATCGGGAAAACTGAAGGATCTTGAAGATGAACTGCTCAGGACGGATAATAAATTGTTTTCGGTAGAAAAAATAGACCAAATTTTGAATAAATACCACATGAAAGAAAGTGAAATACCCAAGTTTGGTCTTGAAAAACGACTTGCGCAAATTGATTACCTGTTTAATGGTAGTACGGTAGAATCAATTTTCAAAAAATTGCGAAACGATGATGATTTTGGCAAAAAACAATTCAATATTCTTAGAACGAAGGTATCATTTTTGAATGTTTTATTAGATGGTTTAAATCTAGACACACTATGCTTTACATTCATTAATAAATAATTCAGAGTCCAACATCGCTGAAAGTAACTTTTCGGCAGTTAAAAATTGGTTTGAAGATGCAGTTTCGCGAAGTTTTTACAATGGAGTATCGTCTCTCCCAACGTTTTATGAAAGACCATGATTTCCATGAGGGTTGCAGAGCAAGTATGTTTTATTTTGCTTTTCTAAATAATTATGGCTAATTTTTTGAAAGATGGAAGTTGTAAGTCAACTTACAGGTTTAAAAGTTTTTTAGGTTGTAATGTGGGTCGGGTTTTTTTATTTTTTTATCTGAATAAATTTCAGTTCTTATTGATAAGGATCAGAAACCGAAGTGGAAACCTGCTAGCATAGAAGAAGTTACAGATGAAATGATGGTTGAGTACTTTGCACCTCTTCAGAAGGATAAAGAATTGATTATTAAGGAATTGGAAACTTAAAATTCGATGGGCCTCAAAGTTTATTTCTCTTGCCTCTATAATTTGCAAAACTTTTGTAGTGTTTAGTATCTCTTTTTGTAACTTTTACAGTTACAAAAAATTGCATTTTTGCATTGTCTAACTCAAACATGATCGAGAATTTGTCCTTAAAATTGCAGTATTTAGTTTTTATTTGAAAACGAGCTTTTAACAAATTTCTATGTTCTGTACAAATTTGGATACAACTCTTCGTAGTTGGATCAGATGGAGATATTATCTTGATTCCTTTTAGTTTTCACATTATTAATAGGACGGGATTGCAAACTTTTGCTGTTTAATATGTTCTTTGTCTGATACGCATAAAGATGCCTTTAAAACCATAATTGCCTTTTAATTTAGAAATGATCCGTCATGAATCCTGTTCAGGGGCTGTAAAAACAACAGTCGGTTTCATCAATAATTCATAGTTCCTGATGTGTATTTCAAATATTTGTAACTAATCTACGTCCCTCTGTCTTTCATATTACGCTAGTTAAAGATGCTGTTTTTATAGTTTTTGAGTAATTCCAATTTCTTAGAGACTCATTCCCCTCACTTTTACTGAAATCTCAGGATGATGATGATTATGTTAGGACCTCGTGAGAGTGGTATTGATCGAATGTTCATCAAGAAATAAAGCCTTCCTGTCAGAACGTGAAGAATATCTGCTTTCGTCCTGTTTACTTTCATCTTTGTGATATCACGAAGTTGTCATAAGTTTCGTTTTCAAATGTCCAGCAGGCTCTTCAGAATGTGTAAGAGTGAACCATAAGCCAGAAGATGCTATGATTATATTGAAAGATTTTTATCCATAAATTTTGCAGCTAATAAAACTAACATTTTATTTCTAGTCTTATTCTATCATAAGGATATAAAAATGCGCAATATTGCAGCCCTTATATACTTCAAAATTTTTTTGAAATTCATATTAATATCATTGTTTTATTGTATGAGAAATTCAATCTGATGAAAACACTTTTATATAACGATAAAATCAAACACAGAAAACGAAAACAATCGGAAGAAGAGCAAATTAAAATGTTACTTGAGAACAGACAAAGACTTCTCACTAATGCATAAATATCTGCATAAATAATCGAAAGAAGACGTAAAAATTATGACAATGATAAACTTAGAAGGAATACTCAAATAATGTTTTCTCAAGTTTTTCAAATCTAAAGAAAATAAGACAACGCGAATTGAACAAAGAAACGGAAAAAGGAAATTGGTATCATGAGCAGCAGAAATCTCCGCAGACAGGGACCTCAGTTAAAATGCAAAGAGATTCTTCATTGCATGGAATCTGTACTTATTAATTAACTTCTACGATTTATAAAAGCAAGTGTTTCAGGAAAGTGGAGATTAGAAATAAAATATCGAATCTATGAAAAACATAAAGACTTCAAGCCTTTGTGCTTATTTGCTAAATAATAAAACAAAAATAAATTTCATCATTTCATGTTACAAATATTCCTCTAAGTAATCTATTTCATAATCTTTTTTAGAACAACACATAGAATACTTACAAATACAAGCAGAGATGCCGATAGGAAAAATTGGTTATCGGCGACGAGAATCTGATGAAAACGCACCGCGATTATGTCATTCACTGGGGAAAAAACTCTGAAAAAAGAGAATAAAAAGTGCAAGAAGAATCAACAAATGCAGTACAAATACGTGAACAAGGAAAAATAGCTGTTAAAATAGCTATTATGGGGGTTTTACAAAACAACAAAAGCGCCAGAAGGACTGCTCCGCCCTCATCATTTTTATAACACAATCAATTACATCGTTCAAAGAAAGAAAACTTGTGGTCAAAACAAACATCGCAAATTAAATTATCCCTTCAAAACTATAATTTAAGGAATCATGAAAACTAGCATAATAATCCCGCATAATTATCAATTGCATGAGATATTCATCGCAAAAGGACGGTTTTATACACAGTGATATGTGATTATTACTTGTACTTTATAAAGATTTTTTGGTATTCGACTAACGAAAAGATAAGTTAATATAAAAAAGTATCATCGTGCAAGTAAGAATTGTTTTAATCTTCGACAGTCACTATTCAATCCCAACATAACATTGAGGTTTAAGAGGCGGGAAACGGCTTGAGCTTTTCTGATAACCGGTATCATCAGCTCACGGAATTTTCATCAGTCGATTTCGTCTGATCCAAGTGAATGATGAATTCTCGTGAGGGCTTCTCGCTGTTAGCAAATTTCTGCTCGTTCGTTACCACAATATTCAATTTGCTAATACTATCCTGTGATGCCGCGAGTAGCTCCTAAAATCGAAAAGATGAACGTAGACCATATTGGGAAAAGAATAAGTGAATGTGACGAGATTTGGAACCGGCCTAATCATACACTCCTAGAAAGTTGAACGTACTTATTAATGGAGACTTCATCAGAAACTTGACTAAATAAATATCACATATTCCAAAATATGGCGTCTCTGTTTCAATCGCAGATCAATATATTGATGCTCCTCGAAATGAAAACAAACACTCATTATTCTGGTGCCAGTTGCTAATTTATGCGAAAAAAAACGTTGAATTATAAAAAGCCAAGGTAATAAGATATGAAGACTCTAATGAATTTGATATATTTTTGCCAAATTCATTAGGGTCTTTATATCTTATTAGCTTGGCTTTTTATGATTTAACGTTATTTCAACGATATTTCAAGCAAATTTTTAATACCATTTTATAATTAAAAAAGAAAAAATGAATTCTTAAATGCACTAGGAATCATAGCTATTACCTCATTTGGTTCAGTTGCAATAGGTGATGGCTGTGGGGTGACATATGTTTCACTGTCTACACTGCCTGCATCGCCAGCTGCAGATTCAATACGCTTTCGTGAACAACGTGCTATATATGCTTCTGATGTATCCTCTTGTAACAAACAAACCAAAACTGCAGTCATATTATCACAACCAAGGCCTCCCATTTGACAATCTGGTGCTAAACATCTTGAAAGAAGTTCTTCACAAACCTAAAAGTAATAAGGGAGTTGAATTTCTTTAAATTTTAGCAGACAATTAATATAAAATGACTAATCAAGGAAAACACAAGCTTTCTTAAATTTAGTAAAGTTTAGAAATAACCTAAAAATTATTTCCTAAATGAATGCAAGGGTAGCCTCTTTTATCCATCACAATCCAATTAGCACAAAAGAAAACGATCAGTTATTCATTAAAGAATTGGGTGAAAAAAATAAGATCGTAATTGGAAACAAACAGAGCAAGATATGAGGATATAAGCGTAAATAAAAGTGCAAAATTAAGAGCCACTTTTCTTAATACTAATAATGTGAAGTGGAAAACCAACTTCAAGCGACTGCATATTTTTTAGCTGTAGCTAATGTGCAAGTAAAAATATTGTAGGACTTGGAAATTACGAAACATAACAGACATTACAACAGCAACGTCACCAATACTGTTCATTAAAAATATATAACTCGATCATTCATCATTAAATAAACAACCTCAGCCTGTATTATTTGCTGTGTGGAATGAAGTTTTTAGCAACAACAATGTGCCGCGACAAGATTTCAATGGTCAGTGTAGAAGTGTGCAAAGAATCGCAATGTGCTTGAAAATTTGACTCACAATTTACATGAGTCAACACGAAATCCAAGATAAATGCTATTTAATGAGATAACCAGTAATTCATACATGAATGAAACAACAAGTAATTAATACGTGAATTTTTCAATTCTCAAAACTGAATTATTCAATGCGTTCTTTGACATCGTGGAATTATTTTCCGTTAACACAATATTTTCCTAATGAAATGTTGAAATTTCTATTGTAGATCAAAATCTCTTCTCGGACAAATATTAGCTAGGTTTAGATGAGGGTAGAATTTGTAAAAGCGTATAAAAATTCAATTAAGTTTGGTTGTAAGCAACGGCAGTCAATAAATCCCAAATACAACCAAACTACATTAAACTGTTCAATACTTTATTCTGTTTACAGGGAGAAATGAGGATGAAAACTGATACAAATGATTCTGTATCAGAAAGTATTGATTTTTAACCTACCAGAATCAGAAAAAAAAAGCTTACAGTTGAAAATATAAAATTCAAAAACAAGAAAGATAGAAATAGAACATAACTAGAAAAAATTGCAATAGATGAGAAGGAAAAAAAAGAGAAAATGCAGCAAGAGAAAGTTATGAATGAAAGAAATTCTGCAAATTTTTTTCTCATGCAGCACGATGCAAAAAATTCTGGATTTAAAAATTTTTCATGTGAATAAAAAAAATGGCTTACTGCTTCAGGTTCACAACCGGCCGCCAACCTCTCTCTGCAAAACTCCACAACTTCTTGGTTTGACATAACATCCCAAATTCCATCACAGGCCAGTATAATGAATTCATGGTCATATGTCAAATCGCACACCGTAACATCAGGACATGCTTAAAAGGAGTTTGAGAAAAAAATACGAGTATTTTACAAAAGCAACTTAGAAAATAAGAAAATTTTTAATTTCAGTTCACTTAACCATTCTTCAAAAGAAGCTTTCCGAGGAAAAAAACTCATATCCCATATCCAATCGCAACATGAATAAATTAAGAAGGTTTTAACATTAAAATCAAATCAAACTGCCGTACAGAAATGTAATAAACGTACCAGTCACTATTTGTTCTTCAGGGGATTTATGATCATTTTTTTTAAATGCAAAATCTCCCAAAGCCCGAGATAATGCCAAATTACCATTTACACGGTTGAATTCAACCCAACCACCAGCAGCAACGATTCGTCTTGCCTCGTTCTCATTAGCTGGCTTGTGGTCAAAGCTTAGCGGATGTGCAGCACCGCTGACGCATGCTACTGCTCTTGAATCGCCCACATTACCTGCAATTCCAGTTCTTTTCACTCTTTAGAAATGAAATATTATAACTGCTACCTTTAAATGTAATACATAAACAAAAAAACTGCAAAAATTGAAGATGACTGGAAAAATGAAAACGAATATTAACAAAATATATGACATTAATAGTGATTCTAATTGACGAACCACAATAAATTTTCCTGTTTTTAATCAGAACAACTACGGCAGTTGTACCCGACATATCATCACGCATTTCTTCATCATTTCGCATTTTTTCATCCAGAGCCAAAAAACCTTGCTTGATCGCTTCCTCTATGTTACCCTCTACTGTAAATTACTCAAACTGTAATATATTATTGCACCTATATAAAAAAGGAAGCCGATTCAAAATGCTGCCATTATTCATAATCAGTTTCACACTCTAAAATGGTCGGAATATCGGGAAAGGATAAACGAAAATCTAAATCAGAATGAGAAATCTACAATTTCAGAAAATATCGGATATTCAAATCAGTCTAATAACTAAATGAAACAATGAAATTAACCATAATGTGTATTAGTAGCTATAAGCTTATGAAGATGAATGCCGGCATACTGAGATACTTTCGCACCACCATGACCATCGTAAACTGCAAAAAATGCTGCTTGGGTGTCGTCCGGCACGGCCAGCAGATGAATATGAGCATCTTCCATATCTGCAATACTTAATTCTTCGCTAAACTTAACTTTAAAGATGACCGATAGGGAAAAGCGCAAAATAAAGCGAACAGTTGTTCCATTAATTTAGAAATTTGGACAAAAACTTACTGATTCTCCATCCCTGCATACACGAGCTACCTATTTTATAGAACAAATTAGCGCAGGAGGCAGTTTCCTTCGTCGTTACAGGCTCACTCAAGGTCTGGCCCATTATTATATCTGTAAATATTTAAATGGTTTAATTTAAAAATGGCGATAAACAGATCATAACCAACGAAATCGAGAAAAAGATGAATGGTTCCTTAGTGACATGGTGAAATAAGCATACAATTTCTGAATTGAAATCTCTACAACATGAAATAAGAAAGCTGCTAGCAAGGGAGCGAACAGGACAGTACTAGCTCAGTGTTACCATTACTTACCTGACCTTCATCGAACGATGAGCCCAATAAAAGTTTATCGCGGTTCCACTATGCAATAAATTATGAATCAGCCCATTCAAGAAACTTTAAATCAAGTGATTAACATTTGAAACAGACGACATCGGTTTCCATTGCTGTTGATTTTAAATAGACTTTAAAAAAAAGTAACTAATACAAATAATCGTTCTTTCTCTTAATAGAAAATCGAATTGCCAGTTAGGTTAGGAAAAAATTAGGCCAAATGTAAGGGATATTCCGATTCCATGAACGAGCCGGGGCAAAAGTTGTTCTTGCCTTGTGATAATCAAGAATCGGTGTGTACGTACATATATATATAAGTTCGAATGAATTATATCTGACACAAACAATAATATTTCGAAATTGCTCAATTCAACATATTTTTATCCCAATCAACGCAGAACGGATGCTGAGACTGCATCCCTCCCTCATGTCCTATACAACAATCCAGCCTCCTCATCCGAAGTATTCGTTAAAACGACCTCTTAATAATGTAATATATAAATATAGTATACGCAGCTTATTAGTAGACGAACACCTATTCATCATTATGCTACTGTTTTCACAATTCCATAGCTATCTCTAACAATTTGATAAACATGTTCCAATGAGGAAAACGGAATAGATCATCCGAAGAACAACCCTTTTGAACATGTATACCAAGCTAGTTCCAAAGCAATGATAACATGTGTCTAGTAATTGATCAGTCAGATGAAAGGACGAATGTATAAAAAATAGAACAGACTTTGCTTGAAATCTTATTTCGTCATTATAGAAATAAATACCTTCAAATGAGTCCAAGACTTCTCAACCTCCATGAAATTGACCGTAGCATCAATCCGTCTTATTTCTGTAAATTTTAGGTTGAAAAGAAACGCAATGAAATTCTAAAAACTGGCACTTAAAAATGCAGCAATTCTAGATTGAGTTTATTACTTCGCGATATTTTACAAAAATGGCTCCACTCTAAAGTCAACTTAAAAAACAAGATCACGCAATAACGCGAAGCGAAGTAACCAATTTATCTTCATACACAAAAGGCATGGATGGAAGTGACATACATAGCAGCTTTCAAAAGCTCATAAGAAATGCATGATGAGTTGCTTTCATCGTGCAATTCATTGTCATTTCTTGGAAAATAGCTTTAAAATGATTCTATATGAGTAACGAATATATTAGTCAATTTATAAACGAAATAAATTAATGAGATCCGTGGGAAACATAATGAGTTAATGATAAACAAAACCAGACATATACTTGAGCTCAACGTCTTGAAAAAAGGAATGATGCACGGCACAGAACGTGAATTTCTACTTTTTTCAAGACTTAAATAGTTTACAAGAAAATTTGTCAATAATCCAAACCATTCATTTAATTTTGAAAAGCAAAACAACATGCGAAGACTTGCAAGATTCGTAAAATAGGATTTGCAACAAAAAAAAATTTTCTTAAAATGCTAAGTGAAGGAGTTGGACTGACTACCAAAAATAAATTGTATAAACATTGATAGTTCCTGAGAAGCAATCTTTACTCCCAACACTTAAGGACGAGTCCCAGAACGCACACTAGAATTACTTCGCGTACGAACAACGTTCACACGTAATCCTTTCGTTGCTTCACCACTGCGTCGTTGTGCTATACTGAATACGAATTTCATGAATCAAATAATCAAAATAATAGTGTATATATTAAATTACTGTAAGCCAAATATTCCCAAAATATGTTTCAGTTTGATTCCTAAATTATATTACATAGCTATGAAATTTCTGCTAATTTTTATGTTATCACTCGAATAATACTACCAACAATAAATATAAGGCCTGCACAAATTCGTTCTTTCCTCAATATATTTCCTTTTATAAATCTTGCAATTTACCTCATTTGTTGAATACCGGCTCCGATTTTTTTCTCTTTTGAAACTTTCCCTAAAATCACAGACAGTTTGTCGAGCAAGATTATACAATATTAACAAACTGCAAATATCGGGATAATTTAGGTATGAACAAACCATTGATGTGCTTTGGAGTACTAAGACGAGTAAAGAAAGCGTCAATTTCAGCAGCAGTTTTTCGACGTTTTTCTTTCGCGAACGAGTAAACCTTCATTATTGGAGATGAGGATATAATGATAGGTTTGGTCTGAAAATATAGCATTCAAAGTGTTAAACAAGTGTTTATAAATTTTCATCATCTCATCTTTTTAAATTTTGTGAGTAAAAAGCAGCACCAATATTTTTCACTGAACTGAAGTTATAGCCATTAACTTATAGATCAAGCCATACTTTGAGGATTAAAGGAGATAGATTTGGTACTTCTTGTGCCATTCCCGTGCCAGCTGAAAACTGATAACCTTTATATTAAAAAGATTAACCATCGTGAATTTATAAAAACTATTGAAGAGGTAAAAGTCTGAGTAGCTATGATCACTAAATTAGTTGTTAATCGTAACGGTCAGTCCCGCAAATCCGATGAACAACTAAATAAGATAGATATGTTCAGGAACTTGCCGTTTGAAGAAATACGTTCCATAGAATCGCCTCCTCTTGCACATTTTGTAACTGCAACACGGAACTGCTGCTCAGTTTCAAGAGGTGGTAAACAATCTGAAACATTTAACTACACCCAATTCTTTGAACAAGATATATTTAATGCCAACTTGAACTGAAAATGTTCGACTACACTTTCTAAAGTGCATTTATGGTCTGCTGTACAAACACCGGACAAGATAACAAATAAGAAAACAGTTTAAAAAAAAAAAACTAAGTACCAATTACCATTACAATTATGCATACGAAGCGGATCAGATTTGCGAGTACGACTTCGTGGCTCATGCCTAGCCAAGGGTAAATTTACCTTTAAAAAATTAGAATTAACATAAGATACAACAGAGTACTGCAAAAATGCAAATGAAAACTTCATCCAAAAATAATGATACCAACGTCATTTCGAAATACTATGCATTTCAAACAAAAAAAATCTTAATGTTACCATCGAAGCACCATAAGTATCATTTTCTGTATCATCTTTCATAAAGGTTCTCAAAGTATTTTTAGACGCTGAAGAAGATGATGGTCCATTTCTTTCACCGTTTTCTCCAAATGAAATTTCCTGACGTCCATTTCGAGTATTCGAAGGATTCCGATTAATTAGTGAGTAGTCATGAATATCCATACTGCAAAAGAAATATGATCTCTTCAATTAACCACAACTGACCAACCAATAATCAACGCATTTATAGAGAAACACCTAAAATAAACGCCGATAAGAATAGTTTTCTTAGCCTCCTCGCTCACAATCATTTCAGAAATAACAGCCATTAGCTTAAAAGAAAATCTTACAGAGACATATACACGATGCATCCATCGCCTAAAAACTCAAAACAGAAAGTTTAGAGAAACAAAAAAAGTGCTACAGTTCCTACTCATTAGTACTAATCAATGAATCAAAAAAGGAGGAAGAGGAGAGGGAAAGAGAGATCATGGGATAGATGGAAAAGTACCAGAAGACAGTGAAGAAATACGGAAAGGCAACTCACATAAAAGGCCGCCCTCTGACCAACTCTCCCTCCAAACGATAATAAAACAAAAATCAAAACAACTGCGCGATATGTCAGAAAATGCCGCGAAAATTTTAAATCACAATGGATTGTCTCGATATGCAACAAATGACCTCGTCCGTCCACTGGAATTGGTGCAATGGAGACCCGTTGTGAAGAGCTTTGGCCTGGCAAGTCGGTAATAGCAAAGGCTTAATTATTTGATGGAGGAGTTTATTCTTCTTAACGTGATAATATATTATCAGAAGATATAGTCAGGTGAGCCGATCGCTTGGTTGTTCTTTACTATAATCCTCTTCGTTGAGATGTTGGTTCAGAGGAGTGTAGATAGCAAGACCGCTTCATTTCAGAATAGTAAATTACGCTTGAACCAGTACTTCAGCGAAGAATCCCAAATTATTCCTAATCAACAGTAAAAAATAATCAGATGGTCGACGTAATTAACTATATTTTCTGATAATTGTATTATAACGTCAAGAGTAAATCTCTCCGTCAAATAATTAAGCCTTTACTACTATTCAACTATGCCAGACCAAAACTCCTCCAAATAACATAAGAATTCACAATGACACCCACCTCATTGATGGAAAATTGGATTTTACTGGATAGGTCCAAGTGAAGGATCTTTTCCGGAAAGATCCAGTAGAATCTTCAACAATAAACTGTACGCTCCCTGTCTAACCTAAATGATTCCGTCAATGTTTCACTTCTGCCTCACGGCCCATGTGGCGAAAACCGAAATAATTTATAATAAACATGTCTAAATAATATAATTTATGCTGTAGAAATATTTCTCATTCAAGTGATTTATCGCATAAATTATTTGATAAATATTCATTTTCTGATGTTAATCCATAGATTTTCCCCTCAGATCGTTTCGAATAACTACTACTAGCGGAGTTCCTAATAATATTACATGTGTAAAGTTTTATCAATCCCACTATGGCGGTAAATTAAAATGAGATACTCATATACATAAAATTATCCCAAATGGTTTTGCGTCCCAATTAATTGAAAATGCCAAAGATGTGTTTTGTTTGCTTACTCGCTGATATATTAAAATAAATGAGGGAAATGAAGTTCATACTTCCAGCTACCATGGAAGTCTGACTAAATTATCGATGAGTTAAAAGTTTCCACAAGAATCATGCTCGCATGTCATTCAACCGCGAAGTAAAATACTAATCTAATCTTATCTCTCTCCTTTTTTTTCACATAAACGAACATGCAACGGCGATGGAATCTAAGTGAATAAAAGACTTTATTCCAACATTAATTATGCTGACAGATAGCAGACTAATTAGCAGTAACTTCATATTAAATTATCACACTTCGCAACTTGTTCCCGGAACTGGGAACAGTTTTTCAAAATACTTCACTTTAAATTTTCTGCAAAATTCGATGCGAAAACAACATGGAGAAATAAAGATTTCTTGCACTATGAATGAATAAAATTTTCAGGCATTAATCACACGTGCGAGCTTTTGTATACGATTCAAGAGAATATCACCATCCCTGGAAAGAAAAAATCTCAACTTGAGAAATAATTCCACTTTTAAAGTCCTATTAAAATTGAACTTCTATCATCTATTAAATGAAACTCAATTCAAGAGTTTAGACGCTATATTCAAAAAACGTATAACGAAGAAGGAAGTATAACAAACTTGATAACGCTGTGATAAAGATGATTTTTAGTATCAGGATGATTCATTATTATGATTCCCCTGACAGCATCTATTCTGCAATGCAGCTGACCAGTGGCGATCAGTCGATGTAACTCTTTGTCAACAAATTCCTTCGAAACACCGAAATCTTTTGCCATCATATCTAAACGGACCTGAAACAAGCAAAAAATCATTTATTGCACAGCAGTTTTCTTCAAGATATTTCAAATTTGAAGTTTTAGAAACAATAGCTGCAGTTTAAAGATGATAGACAGTTTGATTGGCATATAATTTTACTTTTATTATCATCCTATACACCCTACTGAATGAATAAAAAAAAAATAATGAAAACTGAACCTTACCGTTTTATACGGAGTAAGAAATTGTTCGTATGCTTTAAGACGCATTGCTCTCGAGTAAAAATTATAATGTGGTGCTAAATAACGATCAAATTTTAATCGTTCTCCTTCCAATTTCGCAAGCACCGCGAACAGTTCATCATACCTGCATCCGTAAAAAGCCTCCAAATAGTGCCTCACAGACACCAGTTCATTGTTTTCACCACCACCAGTAAGCTAAATATTATAAAATTTACAAAGAAATTGGAAATATTATAACTAATCTCTAACATCAAACACAACGATGAATTATGAAAAAATTCTTGCTAGCCAATAAAAGCGATAAAGGTAATATTTGAGATGAAATTTAACTGACCTGTTCTTGAATCTCATTGCATCTGATAACTTTTGTGCGTAGATCAGGACGCTCTAATGCTGGAAAATTTTGATATATTTACGTCTCTACATTTAAGAAATATGTTGCTAATGATAAACTGTGATAAACCCTTACCATACACAGCCGAAATAATTGTATAGAATATAAGTTGTTCGTAAGTCATGAGTTCGTATGAACCAAACGTTGGCACAGCTTCTAGAAAAAGTGCTGCAGCTCCCTTCAAATCTCTCACCGACATTTTATAAAGACCTTCATAGGATCGAAGACGATTTTTTCGCTCCCAATCTCCACCCTAAATTACTCTGCTCATTAAATATTTAGCATCAGCAACTTAGGCTGTGTAGATCCCAAGCACCTAACAGGGTAGAACTTCATCTTTTGTGAGAAATCTAGTAAGGAATTCATAATTTTGCAAGAAATTATCTAAAACCTGCTCCATGAGATTCTTTGCTTTAGCAATATTTGCATTTATCAGTTGATGATCCAAAAAGAAAAGACCGAGCCGAATAAGGTTGAAAATAAGGTCAATCCTGTAGCCAATGCCGACAGTTTTCTCATATGTTTGTCTAAACGATGCAACTGCTGAGTCTTTATCACCAATTTTACATAAATATTCGCTTTTGCGAAGGTAAGCCTGTCGTACTTCACTTTCCCCTGCAAAAATTTTGAACATGCACTAAGTAACATTAAAGTTATTTGCACATATTCTCTTCATCGCCTAAACATTTCCCACATACTATTTATCATATACGCAAAATACCTAAGTTGTGCTCTGCATCTGCTATCTCGTCGTCTATTTCTTTTAAACGCTTCTCATTTGCTTTCCTTAACTCAGTAAATAATGATTCATCCATGGTTGTCCCGATGTCAGCACAGACGAGTTTGTAATATGGTCCCATTTCATTTTCCTTGATCAGCTGAAATTTAAATCTTAAAACTTCCACAAATCTATATGTAAACAACGGTACATAAATGTTTGTAACTGAAGGAACTAACTTCAATAAGTTTTTCCCACTTTTCCCTCTTCACTTTCGAATCAATATCAGGATGTGACAGCAGAAAACGAAGTTGTGCAATATCCAAATTCGGAATCTTTGAAATCGCCTAAAATTAGCTTAATATGTATGTTCCTGTCCAGTCAAAAATAATTGTTACAAAAACAATATAGTGAATTCAAATTTTTATAATGTATAAAGTGACGAAATAATTCCGTAAATCAATGCTTAGCAAATCACATCAATTTCCAAATTACAGCAACTTACTTCCTTCTCAACATCGTCGAGTAACTGCTGTTTTGTTGTACCTGGAGTTTTTTCAACCATCTACAAAAATGTTAGAACTCAAAATTCATACATGTCATTTCCTAAGGAGCTGAATCTAAGAACCATAATGTTTTCAATTAGCTCAATTTGTCAAAATTTCTTGCATAAGATAGTGGATCACGATAACTCGTGTACTTATTCAGATCTCGCCTACAAACTGGTTTTATTGCTATACTTGAAGAAAATGAATATGCTATAAGACGTTGATATTTATCATCACATAATCAAGGATCATAAGATCACTAAACTGATGCCACATATTTAGATATGACTGGCTTTTTTAAGTGAACTGGAGATAATAAGCAACAACCAAAACTTGAACTTTTTTATAACACCAAGGATCTTAAAGATTCATACAATTCCTGCATATTCACACCCTGCCTATGAACCAAAGAAAACATTTTCCGTTCTGCAATCTCCTATACATCTGATTGTCACACCAAACAAAATAAAGACAAGAACTTGTGAGTAAAAAATACCGAAAACTTGCAAAACCTTTCCTTCTTATCATGAATTCCCCATCTTCATGCTTTAATAAAAGTAAAAACACTTGATCCAAATAATACGCAATAATTTTAGAAAGAAAAAAACAATAAAAAAGTAAATGAAAGGCTAGCTAGAGTTATACTTTTCAAAAAAGCAAAATTCCGAAAGTATACGACTTAAAACTTAAAGTCATCCAATATGTAACTTTATAAATAAATATTGGTGACCTATAATAATCACATAGTTTGAACGGCAATTAACAAAAGAAATTAGAACAGAAACACAATAAATCAAAAGTCTAATACATCGTAATAGTGAAAATCCGTCCATGCTAAATCATCCGCTGCTGTATTTTTCTGAGGTAACTCTTCAAATCACTTCCAGTTCGTTTCGCTTCTTCTGCACGTAACTCTAATATTTTCTCCATTTTCATTTTCTGCAAAAATCAAAATTCGGGCAGAGATCAATTTAACTATCAATGTTAAAGCAACAACCTCTTATTATAAAACAACTCATACATCAATAAGAGATCACTATTGGAAGGTGAAATATACTGAAACCAAGTGGCAAACATAATGAGTACAGTTATTTCAGGTAGCTCCCTCAGGACCATATTTTATAAAATACATCTATTTTTTTACACAGGCCAAGTTTAAAAAAAATTGGAAAATGCTGTCCTGATTTATACAAACAATAAAACATTCCCAAACATAAAAAAAAGAATATTGATATCACGTAAAAAAATTTACCTCAACACCCTTAAGCTGTCGCTTATTCAGAATATAAGCAATTAATTGCTTCAGTTCGTCATCAATAATACTCTCGAAGGCTGATAGTTCTTTCTTCTCGAAGGTTGCGGCTAATGTGTTACTACACGCAACAGTTTTCAAGATTTCTTTTGATATCATTTTCATACCAAACTCATTGTTTTCTACTATCATATTCTTTCTGTTGTTGGCAACTTCCGCACGTTGGCTGACACCAGATCCTTTAATTGTCCCTGTACATTCAGCTTGATTCCCCAAGACTTCGCTGCGGAAACTTAGAGCACCAATTTCATTCTTCGAGTAAGATATATTCATATCAATTTCTTTTGAAAAATTGTGCAGTTCATCTTCTACGCAAAGCATTTTCTTACTTTCGCCTATTCTTCGACTATTAATTTTATTTGAAAATGACTGCTTTTCATTTGCACTTCCTTCCGAATTTTCGCAAATTTCTTTTTGCTCACACCCATTTTCTTTCTTGTCATCTAACATCCGTTTAACTAAAAGTTCAATTTAATAATTTAGAGAATCAGACGACTAGAAAAATTTCATAAGAATTACTGCACTTGCAAACTAAGACTAATTCTTATAATAGTTAACGAACATAAAAAAATTTGAGAATTATATAAAATACAGTTAGCTAGATAATTATGGTTACCGTGAATTATCTCATTTTGCTTGCCACCATCATTACGGTCTTCATTTCCACCACCATTACAATCACTATTCTGAATGAATAATAGTTTACAATATATCTACAATATAACTTTTAAACTGATGAAATTATGTAGTTCAAAAAGTTTACGCGCTTACATCAGGCACCAAGTCCATAGCTTCGGCTGCTTCCGAATTATGAATTTCAGGCGGCCTGTTGTTTTCAACGTTCATTCGTTTTCGCAAATTATAATGCCTAAAAATAAAAAAAAAGAAAATCAAGCAGAAGGAATTCATTTTAACTGATCTGGAAAGAAATGAGTATGTATAAGAACAGAGACCACACTTATGAAATTTTGATTACTCTAAATACTACTTGTAAGAATAGTACAGAAGGAAAAAATATTTTTGTAGAAAAAATATTCAATGCACGCATACTTCAGTGTTTCTTGAAATAAAAGAATGGTTTTTTCATCCTTATTTTTTTGTTGAATATATAAATGAGCTTAATTTTAATAGAAGCAAAAGAAAACAAATTAATGACCCCGAACATGGTACTGATATAGGACTTCTGTCGGGGCTTTGCGAGAGTTTCGCGATTTTCGACGTAGATCCTGAAATACAAAGTACAAGATTGCATTAGCATTGTAACAGATATTCAATGCATTAAAAAAAAAACGACATTACTCCAAGATCTTGTGACATAGCTTACCATTTAGCTCAAATGCGTCGTAACCTAATTTGTCATTTATATCTTCGTCTTCTGAAATGGAAGATTATGATAACAAATGAAAGCGAATTTTCAGAAAACAATAAAGAATATAATTATTAAGAAGATTCACTATTTCCTCACGGAAAAAGTATAAAAAGCAAATGGAGATGGAAATAAGAGATATCGACCTTCATTTTCCATTTTAGTATGCTGTGACATATGTGTATACATTTACACAGAATTCATGGAGATAAGAGATATACAGCTAATTAAGATATGACGGAATCTTTCCATTTCGAGTTAAAATTAATGCATACCCCGTGAAATTCTCCTTTTAAGCAGGGATGGATAGTATTCTTTTCCTAAAAAGTTATAATTCAACTTTTCATTCTTCATTTTAGTTTAATATAATTAAATACTAGAGATTTAGTTATTAAAGTTCAAATTTATGCTTACGAAAAGAAGCTAGTGCACAATTTTAAAATATACTGGTACAGCGGAATTCTACAGCATATGCGGCAATCTTTTATATTAGATCATTAACATCAAATGTAATTATTTCGTGAAATTCCTACAATTCGAAAATGATTATGCAGTATAAAAACGTGTAGATAGCACGAGGAAAAAGCTGAATCAAAATTTGGCAATGAAAAAGGCCAAATAGACAAGCAAAGCAACCTTCTTTTTCATATTTAGTCACAATACCAAAATCATTTGTGGTGATCAAAATATTTTCCTTATATTCGATCCTGTAAATTAAAGCATTTTAAGAAATGACGATATATACGGCAATATTTCAATGCTCCTTTTGGTTTTAATTAATAAAATTGAAAAAAAGATCCGCAAGAAAATATTTCCAGTGTTCAGAGCTCAGACATATTCCGAAAATGGGAAACAGCTTTGTGAAAAGAGAGTACAGAAATTGTAATGCTGATTTTCCTAGCCTAATTGTAACTTAAAGAAATCAAAAAAGAATTTTACATCTTTTGCTGGCGCCTCGAGAGTTGTAGGTCGAGCTGACTTGCGATGTATAACTGTTGCTCCACCGGTATTTTGGCTTCTTCGATATGATCGTACATTGCCTTGCGAAAACTGCGAAAAAAAGATTCGCCAAGATAAAATAAACAAAATCTAATCTGTTTTTACTGCCTTATCAATAGACAACGGTAAAATAAAGCGAGTGCAATTAAACATGTCAACAAAATTTTACTGTGTAGCAAGTGATGAGGCTGTCTTGTTGGTTTTTTGAGTCGCTTCAAATTTTTTCCATAACTTTAAACCCTTTGGTTTAGAAGCGGCTTCATCTCCATCTTGCAGTTTCCTACAAATTTTGTGCACCTTAACAGATTTATACTTTTTAAGTGTTGTATTCAAGGATATCTCTCGAAAACAGATCAATTTGATGTGCTTAAGGCAGCATGCAATGAAATAGGATGTATCAGAAGTTCCTGCTTGGCTGCTTCCTTATGAATAGAAGACTATGGCCATTTGCAATCTCAACAACATTCATAAATAAATCAGAAAATTAAGCATACTCAAAAACGTATTCCCACATTAATCGTTCGTCGTATAATGAGTATGCGTTTCGAACAGCCATATGCAATACCGCAACTGGCAAGAAGAAATTCCTGCAAGTATAACATAATTAAAGCTTGTGGAAGGCAGAGTTTTTAGTAATCATGCTGTAATAAAGGAATGCTAGACTACGGAAGAAGCTACACAAGAGCGGCACGTACAACCCTCGACAGTGAAATGTACATCTAAATGTACGGGTGACTCATTCTCACGTCCGGTCACTCTCTCTTTTTTCATAGGACTCAGATAATATTACTGGCAATGAATAATGTGTTCTGAAGTAAATAAATAAAGCGCACTTTTTAATGCACAAATCATTCATATTCATTTTTACGCTCACGTATGTTCACACTTGTACGCATTCCTACGCTCACTATGCCACCTTACTCATCTCAATGTAGAAGAATGGTATACATATGGCAGTTTGCCACAGAATGAATGTTGAAAACATATCAAACGTTAATTCTAGAGACGGTGGGCATTGATAGGAATTCCGAAAGGTCACAGGCAAGGAAGAGACGGGAGACGTTTGCAGGTTTTATTTGTTCAATGCATATTGTTGGACAGGTAGTTTTTGCTGTTGTTGATGTATAACATGCGACGTACTTTCACATTCCGTGTTGCACGTGAGAAATGAGAACAATATGACGTGTGCGTGGAACGTGATAAAGGAGTGACTTATGCTGTATAGCGTGGGAAAGTACATGAAAACCGGAAGAGATGAAATTGATCGGCTTAAATTTGTTGCGACATTGCGTACTTATTTCATTCCTGACTGTTTAGTAGGACGTTTGATGGGAATCATATTATATTCAATCGCAAAGCTGAGTTCAAGATTCACGAGATAATGTAATGACGATTTAACACTGGGCTTTTTGCTTTTTTACACTTCAGATTCTAAGCCACTGAGAGGAATGAATTGCCTGTAGAAAAATAAAATTTGTGTTCTTGCAATCTGACCTTACGATAGTTACAGTTACATATTGATAAACTTTCTGTTACTTCTTTGCAGGGATTGCCTATTTCAGCATTCTCTTGTACACGGTGTTCCCATGAATTATCAATTACCTCAGTATTATTCTTATTATCCATAATGAATTTTGTATACTCAGAATGCTTCATCATAGCACTGCTGTCTTATTACTTCTCAGGATTTGCTATAAGTGCCATTGATTCACATAAGCGAAGTACTGATAATATCGGTAATCTTTCCTTTTTGGTAAGTTTTTTTTTGATAAACACTCTAGTTAGTAAGAGTCACACGGCGGTATACTGGCTCTGCAGTCATCATTCATACGAAGTTAAGACTTGTGGGAAATTTTTCCCAAAAAATGAGCTGAACAAAAAAATAATGAAAGAAAGTAATATCAGTAACTTTTCTTTCAAAATGGAGTCCTCGAAATCTCACTCACAACCTTATCCTCAAGTTATTTGGAAAAAATTTTTTAGTCAAACTCAGCGAAAGAAGTTTATCAACAGGCATCTTCCAAACTGAACAATGTAGACAAGGATTTTGCTGCAATTCTTGATGAAAATAAGCCGAAGAAATCTGTTGTAAGTTCCTTCTCTTTTTTTACTGAAATTTAGGACGGATGTACGCTTTGCTAAATTTTTTCGAAAAGTGCTCTTAAAGATTATCTATGAGATAATTTTTACTATCTCCCATGGATTTTGATTTCCTTTTTCTACTAAGAGAAAAAACTACATTGCAAAATGAGGTTATTAGCCACCTCTGGAATATTGCTATAATGCTATATTCAAAATTTACATCTTTTTTTTGGACTTGCACAGAAGCTATAACATATAGCTTTTGCAAAATGGAAGCACTTTTACAAAATCCGCACTGATCAGTGAAATTATAGGACTTAACATTCTATCATGCATTACTGGCTTCGATATCAGTCATTATTGTGTCAGAATTAGGCGACAAGACGTGGTTTATTGCCGCGATTATGGCAATGAGGCATTCTCGACTAACTGTTTTCTCCGGAGCAATGGCAGCTTTAGTTTTGATGACACTTTTATCGGGTGCCATTTTGTACTTCTGTATTTTAGCCAGAAAATATATTAGAAGTAAACTCCTTATGCATCTCAAATTGTTACGGTAATTTTTTAAGCGTGTAATTGAATTAATTTTCTTATGAGTGCATGTTGTTAGATCGCATACAATATTGGTGCATTTTATTTTTTAAACATTTTATTTTTCTAAATATATCGCGAATTTTTGTTCCTCCTTTATTTACAAAAAATCTTTTTAAGTTGGATTGGGATGGTTTACTCAGATCATGCCACGATTGTTGACTTACTCTATTTCTACTGCGCTTTTCGCATTATTTGGTATGAAGATGTTGTATGATGGATATCGGTTATCTCCAACTGATGGACAAGAGGGTTATACAGAAGCAGAAGCGGAAATCCAGAAGAAAGAATTGCTGCCCGATTCTTCAAAAATTTCTGATATGGAAAGTGGAGGAATTCGTATGCCAAACCAAAAGTAATTCAGTTCCACTATAATTTCATATTTTATTTCAATTTTATTTCATTTGTAGTCAGATCACTCTCATCCAAATTCGCGGAAATATTATAGCAAATATAAAATTATATTCAACAAAGGGAAACGTCAGTTTATAAATTTTCATGTATTCGCTTATACTTTTAGCATATTAATTTCTGTTACAGTTCAGCGCGTGCTTTTTTAAATGTGATTTCAACACTTTTTTTGGAAACCTTTACGCTTACATTTTTGGCTGAATGGGGCGATCGAAGCCAACTGACTACAATAATGTTGGCAGCACGTGAAAATATTTATGGCGTAGTAATTGGTACTGTGTTAGGACACGCTTTTTGTACAGGAATCGCCGTTGTTGGCGGTAGACTTGTTGCTACTCATATATCGGTAAGAACAGGTAAAGATTTCGAGTATAATTTTTTATTACTTTCCATCTACAGTAGCCTTACGATTATGACTTGGTGACAGGAAACTGTTCATGAAGTTCAAGTTTTATTGTTAACAGTTGCAAGTTATACTTTTCAGTTACATTAATTGGAGGAGTGGTTTTCATCTTGTTCGCGTTTTCTTCCTTCTTTGTCAATCCGGAATCGGAATAAATACGACGAAATATCTGTTACACATAGATTTGCGGGTAATATCATATTTTTGCGTCAACACTTCCTGTCTATTCCTACACAAAATGAAACTACTTGGATCAAATGTACATTGTGCATCAATATTTTAAAACATTTTTCTAAAATTCATTTGAGATCGGGAATGTTGTTTGCAAATTTGTTTGCAATATCCGTTTTATTAATTTGTTGTTAACTTATTTAGGTATTTCAGATGACAATTGTTTGATGTTTTAACTTGAATAGCTTATTTTTTTTTTCTCGTAACCTTATTTATTATCTTCGGATTTCATTTATTTCTCAAGATTTTATTCTAATAGAGATCCTTTGGATTGTTCAAGGCAAAGAATAAACGTCTATAGTAATTTTTCAGAATTTTTTTGGTTAAGATTATAATTTATTTATTTATTTATTTAACGACTTTCTCGTTTTCGGAATTTTTCACAATTTCAAAAATTAGAGATTAAATCAGCATAATCACTGTGCAGCAAGGAGTTTACGCATTCAATTATTTTGTGATAATGTGTTGTTCATTTCTTTTGTTTTTTATTCGCTCCGCATTTCACATTTCTTAAACTGTTATTTTCCCACATTTTCCAATCCGTTCAAACCTCTCAAGTTATTGTAGTTCTATTCATTCTATTAAAATATAGCAGCCTGTATCATTTTGTTGCGATTGGTTGCAATATATGTGATTGCAATTTCGAACTGAAAGTTTTTTCTTCTTTATAAAATATTAAAATTCATAGCTGGTAATAGCAATATAAACATATCATAAATAACTTTGCTGAATTTCATCTCATTTTAGAGTTACAGATTTTGCAGAAAGAGGAAAAATAATTATAACCAATTGCTGTTTACCTCCGCCCTCGATGAACTAGGCAGAAAGGCATGTGTTCATCCATTACCAATTTTTGAATAAGTTTATACTTTTTATAAAGTAACTAGAGCTTTCTATAGAATTCGTTCGGAAAGCGTTACCTTAATTCGTTTTAAAATGGTGCTAATTTTTGACCATGTGAAGGCTTGTTAATGGAAGATCGGCAACAGTAACGGAAACTTCGTGGTCATCTTTTTTGTGTTCTGATTTGGCAAACTTCCGAACTTTTTGGATGTCAAGTGTCATAATATTTTCTAAAGATTCTTCAATCGTAAATTTGAGGAAAAAAGATGTTAAAGCATGAATAGCAATGATTGGCTCAAAATGTCGTCGATGTTTTTATGGCTAAATAGCATTGATTATTTACAAAGAGTGATTTTTCCGAGAGATTCATTATACATTTATCTCGATGGTTTTTGCTGCAGTCATTAGTGGGTTTCTGAGTTATCATAATCCAAGTTTTTTTGCTATTTTGAAACTCCAAATCTTTCCTATGGTACATTTTAAAAACCTCCAAATAACATTGCACATGCGATGATGTTTCATTCCAAAAATATGATAGAAATATTCCTCTAACGCGGATGACAGAATTATGGAAGGTTTTTGATCATGATTGTTTCAATATAATTGATCTGTTACGTTACCAAGTGCTGTATTATGTTATAGTATTCGATCATATTTTGCTATCATGCATTGTGATTTGGCATATTCATTCATTGATTATAGGTAAAAGTTTCTGTGACATCAAATATATTTATCAATTAGCATAAAAGGATGTGATAATGCAATTATAAAAATGAGAATAGTTTATAAACGACTAGTAGTATTTTAAGTTGTAGCCATTTTGAACTATCATGAGGATAAAAATAAAACAAGGAATTCTGTTGAACAATTTTAACGATGTGAAAGAATGATAAGCTTACTGAAGAATTGTGATGTTAACCCTGAAGAGGTTATGCAATTAAGGAATATAAAATTTTGGTGCTCTCCAAAAAGTGTGATAGTTTAGGATCACAATTAAGTTATGAGGAGCATTAGACAAATTAAAATGCTTAGATTTATTAAATTTTTCAAATGCATTCATTTCATCTGTTATGAGTACTTGCATTTATCTTTATCACATTTTACTAATATTTGCTTCAAGAAATATATAGTTCCTGTGCTATTGCTTTTAGCAATAAAGAAACATACTAAGAATAATGCAATTAAATTTATGAAAAGGGAATCAAAGATTAATGAAAAACAAGCTGTTTATTGTCATAATATCCACAAATCTGCCCTTATTACTCAACCCATCTTTGATAAATTATTTATTGTTTTTGTTGCCTAATTCATACTTAATAAGTTGTTTATTTCACTGCGTCTAAAAACCTGCTTTTATTGTCAAATCTATCATTAATTTCCTACGAATTCCTCACGAGATCGTTTGACGATTTGAATTGTAAATTCAATTACCTTATCCTTGGAAATTCTTTTATTGCTTTCAGTACGGGGATTTCATGTTTCATTAGCATGCTAATAAAATGCAACGAAATATATGCAGATACCCATAGCAGTTCATTTAGCAAGATTTGATAAATCTAAATATTCGGATTTACCTGCTGCTCACTATTTAAATGTATATGTCGCCGTCATATCGTCTTAGAAAGGATATCGTCTTAGAAAAGTATATGTGATCCAAAAGGATCATATATAAATGTGTGGTCTCTTAGGGTCGTGGATTTACTTAGTTGTAGTATTTCATAGATTGTATGTTCCAATTCATTGTTATATTGTTTTTTAATTATTTTCATTTTTCGAATTTGTTATGAAGTGTAAAAATGCTAGTTTCTTAATGTACTCTCTCAATCGATATTTCTTTCCCACTCATCCTTTCCCATTCATTAATCCAAATGTTACCATGCAAATTTTCCACTGAAAATTATTTTGCAATTCTTTCAAATCAATTTTATTACCTCTTCTCTCTCTTTCTCCTCATATATTCAATAACATACATTTTTGGAAACCATACATACTATCCCTAAGGTTTTTGTAATTCAATATTGAGAAATGCAAGGAATTTTGGAATTTCAGAATTACTCGTACATTATAAAAATAATACGAATCACAAAGTCTTTTCTAAGGCTAATTGCTTATTTCAATCTTTCCCATTCAAATTATTCTATTTTTCGCTTCATTTTTCAAGTTTCTTCTGTTAAAACGAAATAATTTGGTTATAGTGATGTTTTTGACGAAGCATGGATCTTTTTCCATTATATCTCCTTTCCTTACTTCATTTTTCCTTAACTCATTTCATCTTGTTTAATCATGTAATAAGGCAATCCAAGAATGTCAAATCCCTCCAAATTTAAAAGTTATTTTTCGAACATTTAGCATAATCATATTTCATTCAGAGTATGCATGAACTTATATAATGTAGTAAATTTTGAGGATCGGTAGAATTAATTAAGTTATTAAAATAGCCCCGAAAAAGTGGTATTTTTTTATTAGATGAATCTAGCAATATCTTTACAACATGTAAGTGATAATTTCATTTTATTCTTTTCAAAATACATACCTTATATTTATAAGCCTATTTCGAAATACTGAATTGTAAAAAATTTTAAATGCTAAATTTTCGAAAACAAAACTCTTCCTGCGGAACGTTTGAAAAATTGTAAAATGAGTATTGTTTCATCTAATCATCTCTTTTAGATAAGTATTGACGGGAAATGATGCAAATACCTCATCGTTTTAGAAGAATTTGGTTGCTTATTAAATTTTATGATGGAAATTTCGTATTCTGAAGAACTTCATTATTACCATGTCCTGAAAGGTCAAATTACATGATAGCTATGCTAAAAACTGTGAATGAAAAAGAAACGAAAGGTTATTATTTGTTGATGTATTCACATTTTGCTACATTGATATTACAGATGATGACATCGATTGCTCATGTCATTAGATATGCCATGCTAATACTCAGGCTTGCGTTTTATGTTAAAGAAATGTAGAAAAGTTAGAAACAAATTTTTAATTTGATTGATTTCATTCAAAGTATATTTTATGAGCTTAAAAGATATTATTTTTGTCGTTTACAAAGAACGGGAAAGACGTCTCTTATGCCATCTTTCTAAAATTCTTTCAATTTATTTCATTACTGTTTATTTTACCTTTATAATATCCATAGATAACTCAAAGTTAGTGTGGTATCAGTTTTTTAGTGACGAGCCACAATTAAAATGCGTAGTAAGTAAAGTTGTTGTAATGACTGTTAATCAATCTGATTCATTTATAAGTTACTACTTGATTTTGGGAAAATTACAATTCCAACAAACCATAAACGCTGGCATATTTGATTTAGATATGCAAACCACAAATCCTTGTTGACGATTGTTGTTATTCGAAAGATTCAAGGATTTCGATCTGAATTTTAAATTAAGATCAACTTTCTGCTTATCGGTTAATTCTATTTATGGTTTTTATATATGTTGTAGGACTGTCAACACGGCTGCTTAGTGGCTCTTTGAGTAGGCTAAGCTTGCTTTCTCTAAAAATACTGGTTCAGCAATTATACGATAGAATCAAAGATAGTATTGCTTCTCTTGAACATATTCAATATTTGAAAAAGAAACAACAAAACTATAAACTAAATGAAAAGACAATCGATGTGCCCATGACAATCTTTTGCCATCAGAACGATAGAAAAAGGTTGCCATTTTCATATTTGTTTCTTTCAAAAAATTAAAAAAAAATTGTTTTTTACGTTGGCTCAAAAAAGATCATGGGAGATAGCAAAACATTGGGATAAAAATTCACTAATTAAAGGCAGGTCAGCATGAAAGATTCAAAAATTACAGAATTGAGATAATTGGATTTAGAAAAGTTGGTCGTGGTTCACTCAGAAAAAGCGTTTGGCCAGTACCACGGCTAGAAGCAATTTTTTTACCTGAATTTTCTAATAATTCGCGTATTACAGAAAAAGATTTCTTGGTAAGTTACTATTAATTGTGGTGAGAAAATATAAATAATGGTTAATTATCCAATTCTCACGGCATTTTTATATTTTGAAACGTATCACAAGTCATATTATTCCACATTTCGTTTTTTTTTTTTTAGATTTTAATTTGCAGTTATCATTTCGATCCTCAGTGAGCTCAACTAGTAGATTACTTTGAACCTTAGATCTCGCGATTTGAAATAACTTGCTTTTTGCAGATTCTAAACTGCATCGGAAAGGGTACATTTGGTAAAATATATAGAGTATGCTTGAAATTTGATCGAAACTTTTTATTTGCTATGAAAAAACAGTTGAAAAGTGAAATTTTGACACGAAATGCCATTCAACAAGTTAAAGATGAAGCTTTAGTACATGTAAGTTCAATCTATTTCATTGCACTCTCTTTTTGTCAGATATCAGTTTTTACTCATTATATGATGGACATGGTTCGACAAGGAAGTTCACAAGTATCATTGAAGTATTAACTCTACCAATAATCAGACTGCTTAAAATAGTTCAACATATCTCGGGGAGAAAATTCTAGACTTATATATATATATGTTCTTTCATATAATCATTGTAAAAAGTTAATAATTTGTTAGAATCAACATAATTGGGTTTGTCTAGGTAATCGGAAAAAAATCTGTAGATTATTGCAAAAATTTTTTTCGCTCTTCTGAAATCTTTAATTTAAAATAGACAGAATTTTGAATCCAGAAGGAGGAGCAACTTGATATAGTAAAATAAATAGATTATTAATTAGCGCAAGAAAAGAAAGGCAATGTTTTAAATTTAATTCATAGCTTCCTAAATTTTTTTTGCAGTTTTTTTAAAATTCTTAGCTGTTTTTACTTGTATTTACGTCTCTGCAATTTTGATACTGTACAATTTTCTATTCGAATTTCATAAGGTTCTTTTAACTTCGCAACGTTTCACTTTTCAAAAATCAACAAATGATTATTTAATTATAAATATGAGTTATGACAGTTGAAAATGAATTAAATGTAAATTAAGTGATCATCTGTAACGATAAATTTCCTTTGTTTTTAATGGTTAGTGGAGAGTAGTTGAAATTTATACATTATTATTAAGTATTACCATCATTTTGCTATAGAAAAGTCTCTCGGATGGCGTGTTTATTGCGAAATGTTACGCAAGTTGGCAATCGAGGACACATCTCTTCACAGTACTTCAATACGCAACGGGTTACGGTGATTTGTTTATGCTCTGGCGTGATTATGGACCTTTTGCGGAAGATACATTGAGAATATATGCTGCCGAAATTGCTTTTGCTTTAGGTTTCGTCTTCATTAATAAAGTTTTGTTAGATTTGAAGTGATTACTAATGCCCAGTCATATTAATACTAAACCAATTTGCAGTAGGAATCATCAATATTATATCTATTTATGGGCATAGAAAAATAAAATTCGGGTCGAAAATAGATGAACTACTTGTTTAGAAGTAAGCAGTTAGATGACTGATCAACGGATCAATTAGTAGATCACACATTAACTGTTCCTAATTTCCTATCCCTGGTTATTTCTACCTAATTACTTAATCTTTTTTGTACTCATTCCTTCATCCACATGATCTCATAATTTATTTGTTTTCATTTTAATATACCCAGAAACAAACTAAAATGCTAACTAAAATGCTAAATTATTTTTTCGATATTATTCTAATTGCGCCATTTCTAGATTACATTCACAGGAACAATATAGCTTATCGAGATTTAAAAATGGAAAATATTGTGCTTGATCTTGATGGCCATATTCTGATTATTGATTTTGGTTTCGCTAAAAAACTTACTAACGGAGAACGAACGCGAACAGTATGTGGAACACTTCAGGTTTTCATTATTTATTAATGTTGTGATGTAATAAAGCGAATCGTTCAATTTTTTGGCATTCCATTTTCTGGCCTTTGTTGATTTTTAGAAAGAAATAAGAAAGAATTAAATAGGCGCAATCGTTTTGTAAATTATTTCGATCTAAATAAGTTAGATTTTTTTTAAATTTCGAATTGCAGTACATGGCTCCTGAAATAGCCAAAGGGAAATTTTATGGCAGAGAGGTGGATTGGTGGTCTTACGGAGTGCTGCTTCATGTTTTAAATACAAATAGTTATCCATTTCCAAATCGTGATGTCACTTCGCATATTGAACTTAGGTAAAAATTTAAAACAAATCTTAAAAATTTTTAAATAAATTTCATTCAAATTTACTGGTGTTTCCTTAATTAACTTAAGTTATTTAAATTAAAATTAAATATCATCAGTTATTACAGATATGATAGTTATAATACTCCGTGCTGTGAACCAATGCTTGTCGATCTTTTCAATAAGGTAACATTTAATGTATTTCATGGTATATTTAGCATTATGAATACCAGCATTAATTTACTGTTAGCAACATTTTACAGCTATTAAGTGTAAACATAGAACGAAGGATACATACATTTGCGCAGGTGAAATCTCATCCGTTTTTCGAAAGCGTTAATTGGGATGATGTTGCATTGAAAAAGGTACACTTTTGTTTCAATTTCAATTTAAAGGCTTTATCTGATTTGCTGTGTTTCACTGTGTTGGAATGAAGAGTAGACCCAATGGTCATAATAAAGTATACAAAGCGCAAAGTCTTTACAGCATGCATCTACTAAAGCGTGTTTTTATGGATGTTTTTTTTAATATTATTATGTTTATTTATTATTTACTTTATCTTTTCAATAATTGGATCAGTTGTTCATTAACGTAATAAAATACATATTTGACAAAAATATATTTCACATTAAGATGAAATGGAAATAGAATTAGGTTGAAATTAAATGAATAAGGTGCAGATTCGCTGTAACTATCTTGAATTAACAACTTATATTAGCTGCTTCCGTTTTCTTAAGATAAAGATGAAATCTTGATCTCAGATTTGCAAAAATTTTTTTTTTTAAATTTGAATTTCTCTCAACTTATAATTTTAGCTTTATTTTTTTAATTGCATTAAATTAGATTGAGCTAAACAGAAGATTTTTGTAAGTTTATCATTTTCAGTTAGTACCATTTGCCCATATCGAGGAGCTACAACGTTGTCCAAGCTGCAATTCTTTATACGACAAAAGTGTATCTGATTTCAATACCACAGATGAAGAGGAGAATTGGGCTGCTTTTGAGGAAGAATATGAGGTATTTGAAAAATATCGTAGTTTATTGATCAATCTACTTTTATATACAATTTATAGTATGAATATTTATTATTGGGAACTTTATTTATACATTCGTTTAAATTTCACATAAAAAATAAGCTGTATGGATATCATTTTCATCTTTACGTTGCTAACGTAAGGATGAAAATGATATTCATAAAAAAAAAGGCTTAGTATGGGAATGGAAGATGGCTTTTATTCCCATTGTTTTTAATTTAAAATTCAGAATGTCTTGTGCACCTGAGTTTCCAACGTTTCAGTTTAACAGCGACGATTACTTTCATGATGAACTGCAATGAAAGGGAGAGATACGAAAGGCCATGATCAGTCTTGTTTATTGCAAACTAGTATCTTTTATGAATTCTTGTACTTCGTACATTAGTTCGTTGTTGGATATCAAATTTTGTGGCAATAAAATTGCTTCGACATGCTATTTAAAATAAAACTAAGTTATATACAGGCATGCTCAAAGAATCAATATATTTCCTCTCTATGCAGTTGGAAAGGAGCGCAGTTGTCAAACTGAAAAGGAATCGAATTCCTAATTTGCAGTTACTCTTCATATCTGCCATTATAGTCGATGGATCACACTCCATTTGAAAGACTCCTTTGCTTAATTCTTCTCCACGCAATTGCTAACGTATGCAAATGCAAACTTTCTGTAAGACAATGAAAGAGCTAAGAGTTGAAAGAGTGATTTATTTCACAGTTTGATACTGTTAGTGAGTGGCGTTTTTGGTCCTTTGTGGATGATCGATCAGTTATTACTTCATGGAAAAAGGCAAAGACAATGATAATGATTCTTTGAAGACTGCTAGCGTATGTATAGTTTTAATTTTGTAAGTGTAGTTGGAAATGCTTGGCTTCTCACAGGATTACCTTCATATATTGTGTGAGGAAATTGAACATGTCAATTTTACAAATTTCGCCTTCCATTCTATTAAAGTATTTCTCAAACATTTTTTCCAACTGATGTAAGTGAAACCGATACCGAGCACTACTCTCGATTGAATACTTCAAGTCTGTTTCAGCAAAGCCAAGCGGCAAAAGCCGATAAGAAAACGAAGTCACGAAAATCGCATATTCATGATTTAAGTATTCGCTTGCTAAATGCTGGCTTACAGAAAGGAACGCATCTGAGAAAGATTGTTCGCTTCAATTTTATAGCCGTAGAAAATTTTTGAAATTGCTTGGCTATTATAATGACATAGTCATGGATCATAATATCAGCCTTGTATGGGTCGTGATGCTATCAAAATCATATCGTTTAATTTTACTCATTAATAGGGTCATCGGCACTTCATGTTTTTTGATTTAATTTTTGTTTTCTTTTTTTTCTTTGTAATTTTTTGCATAAAATTTCTGAGAATATCTTCAAATTGAATTTTGTGGAAAAAGTATGTTCAGTAAAGAGTAAAAAATAAAACAATTGAAATAAGTAATGAAATGATATTTGCTAAACTTATCTTTCCCTTTTCTTCCTTATTACTTTTCCTCTTCCGTTTTTTTTCACATATATCTTTCATTCTCCTTTGATTGAAATCAGAAATGAGCTTACTCATTAATTACTGCTTTTATAGGTAAAGGAGCAGGAACTAATAGGATTACTTCAAGAAACCAAAGCAGTTTTACAAAGTCAAAGTACATTTACTGAAATTGATGCACCTGTCATTGTTTGCGGTGACATACATGGACAGGTTTCAACTTTTCTTGCGAAATTTTAACTGAATGCTTCATATAGCTAAATATTACAATGAATTTGATATTTAGAAATCTTATTTTCTTTTTGTTTGTCTAACGAAGAAAGGATAATGTTTGATAGCAACTTCAATACCAACGATTCAGCTGTTAAGAGAAATTTTAATAGAAAACTTAAATGACAATATTTTTCTTTTGTTATCTAAAATATCATTTGATATTGACATCTAGGTGAATTTAAGTCATTATTTTGTCTTACTTATCTCTTTACCATTAGTTTTATGCATTTTCAAGAGAGCATCAAATATTTATTATATTTGGCAAAAAATTTGAAAAGTAACTAAAAATTAATTGCATTATCAGTATTTGAATATGGAAGTGATTAAATAAAAGTGAAATATAGCAAATTGCTGATTCTGATAAGTAATAGCAATGTCTCTGAACACATATACTTAATAATTTGGTATATGATGATCAATGGACAATCCAGAAACAATTTATCGGTGATTAATAGTACTAAATGAACACATAGAGACATGCTCGCATATATTCGTTACATAAAAAAAGAAAAACACATCCGGAATATGTATAAATTGCTAATAGCGCCAAGTGTTATCCTAGAAAGAATTAAAGTTGTAACAATTGTAGCATATTTTATTAAGAAGCAAAAATATGCATCAGTGCAATAGATGATATTTTCAAATAATAGTTTCACATGATATGTTATTAATGATATGTTACATTTCACAGTAAAAATAATAGCCACTGATAACACTATAGTACAATGATATGCTTCGAATTTTTGACAAATGTGGTTTTCCACCGGAAGCGAACTATTTATTCCTCGGTGATTATGTGGATCGGGGTAAACAATCCATTGAAACTGTATGCCTTCTTTTTTGCTTCAAAATTAAGTATCCTGAAAATTTCTTCTTATTAAGAGGTACTTATTATTTGATTCTTATATCACTCATCATTTAAATTATATAAAACGCTGTGAGACTATTCAGCTTTTTCCACACTGTATAATACATAACGATAAATTTAATATCATTTTTTTTTAAAAACTTTAATTGATTAAAAAAATTTTTACAAATTGTATGAAATTTCAAATATTTGATGCCATTTTACTTGTTAAGATATGATCAAAGTATAATTGTTTGCAGGTAACCATGAATGTGCTGGAATTAATCGAGTGTATGGATTCTATGAAGAGATTAACCGACGTTATCGTTCTGTTCGTCTCTGGGAAGTCTTTCAAGTATTAATTTTAGTTATAAAGAAAAAAAGAGTAAACAATTAAATCTAAATTTTAATTGTCTGAAAATGTTTGATTCAACATTTCTACGAGCAAATTTAGATCTTTTGGAAAAAAAGTAGGAGGTATTCAAGTGATGATAATAAATACTTTTATAGGATACATTCAATTACCTGCCGTATGCTGCTTGCATAGCTGGAAAGATTTTATGCATGCATGGTGGTCTGTCACCAAAGTTGAATGATTTGAATTCATTACGTAACATCGAACGTCCATCAGATCCACAACCCACTTCCATGGAACTTGATATTCTTTGGTAGCTATTCGAAAATGAATTCAAAAATCCCGCTTTTCTTATTAAATGCAAAATTATATTATTGACATAACATTTATTTGAAATTCACCTGATTTAAGCTGCTTTCCTGACTTACCAAAAATCTTATAATTTATGTTGTCAAAATAGGACTGAAAACTTCATTCTGTTTATTTTTTAATAGTAACTATTCCAACGAAATATTTTAAAAGTTATCGATAATTTAATAAAGTTACAGGTCGGATCCAGACGAAAGAGTACAAGGTTGGCAACCGAACAGTCGAGGTATCTCGTTTGTTTTTGGCGTTGATGTTTTGACATACACTTGCGAGAAACTAAACATTGATTTGGTCGCTCGTGCACATCAGGTTTATTTAATTAAAAAATATCGGGTTTCAAGCATTCTTCCGAAAGAAAGAACAGAGTGAACTTTGTAATTCAGGTGGTACAAGATGGATATGAATTTTTTGGCAATCGTCGTTTAGTGACCATATTTTCGGCACCACATTATTGTGGCGAATTTGATAATGCAGCTGCAGTGATGAATGTTGCAGAAGATCTTAGTTGCTCATTTCATGTACGTTTACCAATTATTGTTTAGTAAACTGAGCAATCACTAATAAGAGGAGTATAATACCTACAAAAAAGTATATAGGATAGTCGTATTATCAACAATTTTTTCGTATTTTTCGATAATCAATATAATACTTGTCAATATAATACTGTCGACTAAATGTCAACGATATCAGCTCTTCGCAGATATAAATGTTTCGAATTTCAAGTATTGGGTCATGAAGATAGCTCTATACTATTTCATCTAATTCCTTCTAATAAAAACTGCCTAAACCCAAGTATTTCAAGGTGTTTAAGCCAACAGCAAAAGCAATTCGCATGGCAATGAAACAGAAAGAAAAAGCTGAATAATTGGAAGGAAAGCTTTATAAAAATCAAAAGCGTATTATTCACATGCAAATATTTTAAAATATCAATCTCGAGCTTTCTGAATATGTGACTGCCATGTGTTCCATCCATTACGTTCTTGTTGTAATGAAAAATTTGCTGAAAATTTAGACGACTTTTTTTTCAAAATGAGATATTTAAAAAGATAATTTCAAAATGCTGACGTAAATCATGAACTTTTAGTCGTGAAAAAGTGTAGCGATTTTTCTTTTTTCTTTGCTACCTCTAAAGTAAAATAATTTTAAATAAACTTACTGCAAAAATAAACGTAAAAATTTTCAACTATGAACTTACAACCTTCGTAAGAACTCTGAGCCGTATAATTCAGACAAATCCTTAATTTTTCATAAGGCATTGCATGATTAAATAAGGATGTCGGTTGAGTTTTCCAGTGAAAAACTGGTGCCAAATAAATGAATAAGCGATCTTTTCGGGGACTACAAGAAATCAATAATGAATAGAAGTTATGGTCTTTTATGTACGATAACAAATAAAAGGCGAAAAGTTGAAATAAATGATGGAAAGAAAGGACAATTCAGTTCTTTTGATATACGGATAGTCCTCGTCCACTTTGAAAGCATTCGTGGGCCTTCGATAAACAGTTATTGTTGTTGAATTAGTAGCTCGTACAAAAGGTAGGGCATGCAACTGACGACCGAATACTACACCTTGTACCTGAAAAGATGACAACTGCAAATCTCAAGGGCAGGAATAGAGTTGAAAGAACATAACTAATTTGAACATTAGTGGTTCAATCTTATGCAAGATACGGAAAAGCTAACTTTAATAATACGATCAGCCGTATGAAAATAATTATTTACCTGAAGATATGTTATCTCTAATATCAGACTTCTTATAAAAGGGAAATGAATTAATGAGACTTGATATATACATTAAAGACCTGTGATACGAAATAAGCATAATTATCACTTGTCGAAATATTGAACGCAAAAGCGTGATCGCCGTGATTGTACAATGTGAAAGCATGAGATTGAGGAGGATAATCTTTCTAAACATCTCTCATTTCTCTGAATTTATAGATATGGAGCGATTTAAATTTAAAGTAAACAATTTCGAAACAGTGCAGGAGAACGACGTAAATTAACAGTGTCGTAGTAAGGAAAATATTTGAGAGTTTCACAGAAAAAAACTATAATTAGCTTATTATATCCTTCAGTAATCTTATTGTCCATTTTTGTAAGCAGAAGATATTCAAAGGAGAGGTTGAAGTGGCCTCAGAACTATAAAGATATTTTTACTATATGGAATAAAGAAGGAAGAAACCTTTAAACTAAAAATGAGCAAATTCTTATCAATCGATGCTAAAATTTCAGGCTCAATGAGTTCCGCATCCGGTTTGTCGGTGGTCCAGATGAAGTGATCATTACTCATGTATGGTGGCGCAGACATCTTTAAGTAAAACTGTTACCACTGTCTAAATCTTACACAATTCACCAGTACACAATGTTACCATAAATTCATGCAACAGGGCACAATTGCGCCATCCATTCCAATGACTTCATGACACAGTGACTGTGAAAACTTTTTAACAGAAGTATATACCTTCAACGACTTATATTTCAATACTTTTACTTTCCTACATACAATTTCCCGTGTTATTCATTTGTAATATTTAATAAAAGCCAGCTTGAAAAACGGAACTAACGAAAAATTTGCAAAAACGTTTCTCCGCAAGATGCTTAAGCCAGAATGAAAGAAAAGATGAATAGGAGCAACCAATCAAGCGATGGGAGAGTTTAAAAGATGAAAACTGAAAGAGGCTAAATCAACAAGCACCTTTAAATATGAGAGAAGAATCGCTAGTGAATATTGACAAGATTCTTGTTGATATTTTTTGATTTGAATAAAGTTACCTTTATTCAAATCAAGTGATTTACAAAAGTTATGCATTTGTTCCTCCTTTTTATGATCGAAGATTAATAGCTTCTCAAGTTTTATTTGGAGATCGAAAGTTACTTCAAATGTTATTCCTCTACAGAACATTTCCTGTCATTTGCTGAACAGATCTTACGTAGCAGTCTGAGCCTCTCTGAGATTCACAATATTTTACGGACCGTGAAATTCCTTCTCCTTTGTTACTTGCAAGATTGCTGATGAATTGGGGACAACAAGGGGCAGAGGGAGGTCTGAGATCTTTGAAAGGCAGGGGAAGACAGCTAGAGTTTGAATTTGAGTGAAATTTCAAAATAACAAAAAATGGGAAGTATGATTGGTTAGTGCATAATCACAGTCTTTATGAATTGAGAAAACTTCACGTATTGAATAAGTCTTGATGCTTGATGTAATAAAATCACTTTATGATGCTTAGCATTTGTTTGTAAGCGTTGATATACGACTGAGGTGATAGATTTTCTAAGAACAAGTGAAAGGTGACGTCTACAGTTTCGATCAGAATAATTACTTGCAGAAAAAATGTCAGGAGAAATAACTAACGATAACAGGAAGGAGCGATGGAAAAAGAAACAAAATGGAAACAGAAATATGTTCAAGAAGGGGAAGGAATTGTCGTGGCGAAAGAGTAAGTTACAATTCATTTACTCTTAGAAAATCTGTCATATTACCTTTTGAAGGATCAGCCTTCCGAGAAACTATTTCTGACAAAAGTGTAAAGTAATAAGTTATTTGATACTTAACAGCTGGAAGATTTCTTAACAATCTTTGGTTGATGTCAAAACGTAGATGATAAGTGCAACATTATCACTTGTTAATTTCAAAAGAGTGTGAAAAGAATATGAAAAATTATCACTTCTTTCTACTTAGAAATATGAATTTCTTTATGCCTTCTTCTTTCTTCTTTCTACCTGGGAATATGAATTTCTTTCTTTCTTGATGGCTTCAAAGATTGACAATAAATATCAGGAAAAGCTGCACTGAAGCAATTTCGTGAAGATATATTGTTGGAACAAGTGATTCGAAAACCAGAAGTTGGTGGTACTTTAACAACGGACGATGGTGATAGTGTGAATGAAACAAGGAATCATGGTGAGTTTAACAAATAAGACAAGCCATTAGTTTTATTCATCCAGCAGTCTTAATCTCTTGATGCTTTTTACAGCTGGTGCCAAGTTCAGTTTGAAGCACTGAAAGTTTTATATTTATGATAAGCTGTCAGTAGCCTTTTATTTTAACCCTTAAATAGCGCTTTGTAATGTGATTATGAACTAAGCTGTTGAATTAAGAGTTTCTTACGTTCTTAGTTTGCATTTTACTTATTACTTGAAATGATCTTTTCAATTGCGACCAAAAATAACAGTTTTCTTTTGTCTATGGTTGAAAAGATCATTTTTGCTAATTTAATTTTGAACTAGCAATTTTTTATTTTGTACTAATTAATATGTTTACTGATGCGTATTTTAATGTTCAATGAATTCATTAATTTCAGGAAAGTCTCTGATGCTGAGCATAGCACTTCCGGGATCAATACTGAATAATGCACAAAGTCCAGAGCTAAGAACCTATCTTGCCGGACAGGTAAACATATATTTTAGTTTTAGCTGTAAGTGGAATACTCATTTACCGTTATTCGAGTCCCGTCGCAATTGTTTTTGGCTGTAGTTGAAAAGATGTCATTTTTGCCATGTTGATTTTGAACCTGCTAATGTTGATTAATTGTATATTCCAATGTTTAATCGATTTATGAATGCAATGTGTTATTAAAGATCGTCAGATAAATTGCTTTTGATTTTTAGTGGAGTGATTTATTTACATTGTTTGAAAAATATGAAAGTAGCGTGATCATCTTGAATGTGCTTAGGGAATGCAAATTACAGATTGCGCGTTCGGCTGCGGTGTTCTGCGTCAATGAGATTGTTATTTATGATGAAACAGCTCGAATGAAACCACAGTTGGTTTATTTTCTTAGTCTTGGTTCATGGAATTATCTCAGAATTGATTTATAAGAGATTTTATATTCAGATTTATTTTACTGTATTAATTTTGTAGGCAACGCGAAGATTACTGCAACGGACAGTGGTGTCCAAATCTGCCTGTTCACGGTGGCAATGTAGAATGTAACTTCCATTTGGCAAAAATCTTAGAATTTATGGAGTGCCCGCAGTACTTGCGGAAAGTCTTATTTCCTCTTCAAAAGACATTAAGATATGCAGGTAAATGCAAATCGATTCTGGAACATTTTAAATGCCGTTTTCAAAGAAAATTGTTTCTTTTTTTCTTTAACTGACTACCAAATAAGTGCTTATGGAGTTCAGGTATTCTTAATCCGCTAGATTGTCCTCACCATCTACGTGCATCAGATCTAAGCGTTCCTTACAGAGAAGGTGTTGTGCTGGATAAACCTGTGAAAGCAGGTCGTGGACCTATTTGTGACATCGGCCTGTACAAGGTATGTTAATTTTCTGACATGAGATTCGAATAATTCAATTTTTTTTTATAGTAATGTCAATTCTTGAAATGTTTTAGTGATCAATCTTTCTCCCTCCAATTTCCATAATTTAAATTTGCTTATTGTTTTGCCTCGAATATAATGAATAATATTTTAATTCAGGAAGTTCAAATTAATGAAGAAGTTACACTTAAACCTGGAACTCGTGTTACTGTGAAAGTGTTGGATATTTATTCGGGTATTCGTGTTTCTTCACGCTTTTATGCTAGCCCCAATTTATTGAGGTGGTCTTTTAAAAATAGTTATGGAATGAACTAGGGATAAACGAGGTGGATGAATTATGTTTGATTTTTTATCTTGGAAGTTTCGATGTCCTCCTAACGATAGCTGCACTATATTGGTTTTACATCGTGTGAAAAATGTATCTGTCTGGCATTTATACGAAGTGTTTGAATTTGATTTTTAAATAAATCGAAAATAGTAAAAGCAAAATAACAAGAGACAATAAAATAACAATTAGTAGTAAAGAGAAAAAAATGAAATATTAGCAGAAGAAATGTAGAAAAAATTTTCTTTTCTGCAGATAGAAAGCGATATCACGGATGTTTGGTGAATGCTCAACAAATAAAAGAAAAAGCTGGATTATACTGGGGCTATAAAGTCCGCATTGCTTTAAGTCTTCACGATGCATTGAATGCTGAGAAATATGATGTTATCATCGGGACATCAGAACGGGGGAAACCAGTGAGCAAATTTGAAATGCCATTATGTAAAAAGAAGTAAGCTTTTTTTTGTTCTAAATCTGTTGTCCCGTAATGTAACATTGAAGTTGATCTAAAGGGAACATATTTTGACTTCGCAGGTAGATTTAATTTTTAAGTGATGTTTTCAAGTATTAGGATAGGGCTTTGAATGAGCGACTGGAAAAGTAATTTTTTATGCGAAATCACCTTTTATAACTTAAATAATTTTTCAGCCGAATTTTAGTCGTTTTTGGTGGACTAAATGGCTTGGAGGCAGCCGTAGAAGCCGATAAAAATGTCTGTTGCTCAACTCCTGAAGAACTTTTTGAACATTACCTAAATGTTGTGCCTGGACAGGGAAGTCGAGTTATCCGAACAGAAGAAGCCATACCAATTACTTTAGCCGCATTGAGACCTGTAATTTATGTTGATTTATGAAAATTTTCGTTTTTGGAAAATAATAAAAGGTGATAGTATTCTTGTTGTTTATTGATTTTTCTGAAAAAATGATAAAAGCTAATATTATGTTAACTTGGAAAGTTTGATATCTTCCGCGATACTTGGTGACAATCTTCGTTCAAATCTTTGCCAAGCTTTTTATTTTTAAATTTTTCTGATTAGAGATAGAGATATAAATTTGTTACTTCAAAATTTATTTAGTCGTATCCAAAGCAGGAGAGGGGAAGATCTTAGTCTCGGTGATAGTAGGTATTATACGAGTAGTTTTGCATGTCAAAGTTTATAACACTTAGTTTATAGCATTTGATGTTGGCACGGCGATGGTTCATTATCGACATTCGCAAGCTTCTTCAACAGAAACGAACTAGTTTTGGGAATCATGCAGTAAGTTAGTTTTGGAAGGATAAGTCGTAAATTTTTACAGCTCTCATAAGGTGAAGTTGCAGTGTAATTAATGAAAGAATGGCGAATTCCTTTTGAAATTTGTCATTATTGGTTTAGTCATAACTGTCTCCACGCTATTCAATCAGCTAGAGTTAGTTATGTTAGTTGGAATTCTTAAATTCATCGAAAACCATCATGTGGAGATGCTCTCTGTTGGATAAGTATAATATGCCTCCGAAAATTCTTTTGCTTCTTGCGCCATAAACAATGAACTGCATTGCTTTTCCTTTCCTTTGTGTAATATTACGACTTGGCAACTAATGGAAGTTTTTTTTTTGTATTTGTTTAAACCAAATTCATTCGAATCACTTAAATGTATCGTTTTTATAATAAGATATGAACGCATCCGAATACTTCTTATACCACTCATTTTAAATAATAATTTTAGGCTTAATTTTAGAGTTAAATAATTTTTTTTAGAGCCAACTAAACGTGTGATGAATTTTCATTTGGCTAAGCTGTTTCTTCCGCCATAAACAATAAACTATATTCAAGTTTTTTCCATATTCAACAATGTTCAACTCAATTATATTCAACTATATTCAAGACCCAATATCTTATTAACCTAAATCTGAGAGTTTTATTTGTTGCAGGGTTATGGTACTGCGAATATCGATAGTAGTAAAAAAGGTGTACCGAAATTTACTTTTCATTACTGTTATAAACTGTTCAAATGGATGACAGTGGGTTTTGTTGCCGGCAGTAGTACCATCTATTTATACAATTTGTTTATTCCAGACTGGCGAGAACTACAAGATAAGGAACATTATTACTCTGATTGGAAGGTAAAGTATTCACTCGCTAAGAATTTTAATTTTCAAGATGTGGTTCTCTACTCCAGTTTTGCATGAGCTAAAGAAAACAAAAAAATTTTTCAAAACTTTGTCAGCTTTATTTTAAAGATTGAGGACATTGGAAATCATTTTTTTAACTCTTATTGTTAAAACTATGTTACTTATCACTGTGGTAACAATTGAGCTCGCAGTTGTGACTGGAGTGATAAAGTAACGCAAAGTTGTTTTTCGTTTTGCATTAAAGTTTGATCAGCTGTAAATTTTCTGCCCAGTATAAAGGGATCAGGTAAGTTTTAGGTACTATATCGTGTGTAATGAACAAATTCAGTAGGAAATTCACAGTGGAGATTAAGGTGATAATTGCAGAAATGTTTTAAATAGCCAAAATTGCTTGGATAAATGTGTTGTTAATGATAAATTGAACTTATAAGATGTACTTCCCAGGTTCATAAATTTAAGTTATTTTTAAAGCTTAAGCAATCCAAAGAAAATATTCAGAATGGAAGAAGACTGGGAATGGAAAATAAAAGATAAAAATAACAGAATAACAATAATTAAATTTCTATTTAAGATAATTTGTTTAGAAAATAGTTGTTTAATAGTTATTGTTTTCTTGTGTATCTTTTCGTCTTTCGTTTTATGATCGACAGCAATGCCCTAAAGTAAATTAAAAAAAAAATTTCTAGTTGCGTGCGTATTCTTCCCTGCCGCTGAATGCACTTTCACGTTTTGCCGGTAGCCTAGCTAATGTTTATATCCCGGCGTGGTTGCGACCGAAAATATTCAGTCAGTTTCCTTTCTCAAATTGTATTTTGTTTGCTTTTCATTTCTCAGTAATGCAAAAATTTTTTATAAATAAAAAAAGTATGATGGAGAGAAAGTTAGTTGAAATGGGAATACTAGAAAAAATGTCAAGGGAGTTCAAGGTTCAAGAGTTTAGGAAGGAGAAACCTAATAAATCAGCTTATTAAAGGTGGTCTGTTATCTTTTGTAGTAAATCATAAAAATATTGACAGTTGGGCTGCAAATTTCTCCAATTTAAAGCTCTTAGACAATATTAAATGGGATTAGAAGATGTGGAATCATTATGTTTGAAAAAGAACTACTGAATATTTGAAACAAAATCTTGCTATGTCAGCAATAATGTCAAATAATTTTTCAGATATGTATGTTCGAGTGTATGATTGTCGAATGGATGAAGCTGAAGTGGAAGATTTATCAGCCTACCCGACATTAGCATCATTTTTTAATAGATCATTGAAATCTACAGTTAGACCTATTAGTGATGCAGACTTGGTTCGTCATCCTTTTCATACGTCAGTTTTTCAAAAAAAAATTCTGCAATGTGGAAAATAACGTAAGAAGATTTCTTCATAAACTGCTGAAAATTATAATATATTGGAAGTTTTTTGTTTTCTTATTTTGTTTTTATTAATAATTTAGTTTATTTTCTTATAGGTTTCTCCAGCTGATGGAGTTGTGATTCATTACGGAAAAGTTAATGAGGGCCGCATTGAGTTTGTGAAGGGCCATGATTATGATATTGTCGATTTTTTAGGAACAGTGAATATGCAAAACAAAAAAGTGAATTTTATGTTATTGATTAGTAAATTGGTAATACTATTCCAACAAACTGATTCTCATATTGAATTGGAGCATCCTCATAATCATACCAATGTAAAAATGAATAACTACAGAAAGGACACGAACTTTATCAGCTGGTGCTTTACCTCCCTCCTGGAAATTATCACGGATTTCATGCTCCTGCGAAATGGATGGCAAGTGAGGAAATACATTTCCCCGGTAACTTCATTTTCCTGTACTCATCTTTTTATCTTTAATCTTTTTATCCTTCGTTATTTCATATCTTAAACAATTATTCATCATTATTTAGGATTATTGTTGTCGGTACGACCAGCATTTTTGCATCGTATGCCTCATTTATTTTGTATCAATGAACGAGTTGTTTTAAAAGGGTCCTGGAAGCATGGTTTTTTTGCAATGAGCGCTGTTGCAGCTACAAATGTTGGGGATGTTTCGATAGACGCAGTACGTCAATATTTTAACATAGCTATCGCAATTTTTTTGTCTTGAAATTGGTAAATTGAATTTTTTTACTAAAATATTTAAAATTTTCAATTTTTGATCCGAGAGCATTCTGTTAATTTCGTGATCATTAATTCCGTATGAATTGTAATTTCATTTTGTTCACTTTAGGATCCATTGCTTCACACAAATATTAAACGGTTACGGAAGGAAGTGTTCAAAGCACTGCCAGTAATTACAGAACTGGAACAAGCATACCGACCAGGCGATAAAGTTGGAGAGTTTCGACTGGGATCAACAGTTGTTTTGGTAAATTTTTTGTTTACTCTTTTCAGTTGTTTATCAGATAAATATATGGTATTATAATCATTTAATTAAATACCGAGATTCTGTACGTAGTTACGATGCAAGTCCTTTTTAAATTTATTTGATTAGACTATGGATGGTTCTGACGCTCTGTTGTTTACCGCCGCTAATATGATTGGCAGATGTCCTGGAAAAATTCCATTTCTGGTAATAGTTATAAACTAGTTTTTAGCATTTAATTAACGATTTTTGCAGATATTTGAAGCTCCTCCTACGGTACAATTTGCGGTTCGCGCTGGTGATAATCTGCGCTATGGTCAAAGTCTTGTTATTAGTGGTTTTTGATGATGCTTGTTAACATATTTTGATGTTTGAATGCTTATATCTCACATTACAAGACGGGTGATATCGGTGTAAGAAGTATTTTCATCATGTTTTATATGCAAATAGTTGGCTCATGTTGCGAACAGTAGTTTTTCGAAAATTTTTTATAATTTGTACTTTCTGCTGTTATTTTATGAAGTATAAAATGTTATAGATGTAAATATATTTTTTCAAATGCATGCTCTTTAATTTTAAAGATGATGTGAAGAACAATTTCGCAGTCTTTGTGTCTGATTCAATTTCATGGCAGTATAAGTGTTTTTCATTTAAATACCTGTGCTTTTTGTAAAACAGGTAAACAGGTATATCCAAGCTCTACTACGGCAGCTTATTTCATCATGCTAGTGATCGTCCTCACATTATAAGTCGTAGTCAGCTTTTGGTAGGTAGCATTCCTCCATTCTGAATATATATATATATACCGCTGAAGTCTTAGTTTACGGAATTAGTCAAACTGAATTAGTTCTCTTGCTATGAGCTACAAAATCCGAAACACCAAGCGTAGTGGTTCAGCTGGATGGGATGCAAGGGAAGGTTTTATTTGGCTGGTAATCAGTTTTTAGCGAGAAGAGTATTCATAATTTCTTATTTCGCAACTTACTAAAAAAATCGGGATCTGGAATTACATTGGTATCTCGTTTAGAAGCTGAACAGTTATGTTACTTACTGTTCCTTGCAGATAAATTGTTGCTTTATTTGAGACGCGCAGACGAACTCCGAATTCTTCATGATATTAGCTCTTTCCGTTACCCGAACTGAACCCTACTCATTTTTCATATTTGCAAGTGTCCCCGTTAACACATTTGTGATGTTTAAAATTTATTAAATTGTAGAAATGTTTTTTTAGGCGTTATATCCATTTCTTGCGCTTCAATAAATTAAATCGCGATAAGTTCGTAACTAGAAAATTTGGTACATTACAGCATTCGTTGTGATTATTCTAGGATGGTTCTGGATATTGATTTGTTTCGAGAAGAGAAAGGCGGTGATCCGGAATTGATACGAGATTCACAACGAAAACGGTATAAGGATGTTAAACTTGTTGACGATGTTATTGATTATGATCGACGATGGAGAAAAGGTGAGGAGAGAGCATTTCATGCTGAATAAAAATAGAAAAGTTTGTAATGTGCGTCATCATTTTTAAACTAGCTCCTTTTTTCACTAGGCTAATTTTACCTAGCAAATGTAAAGCTCTTTTTAAATAAACGAGGAAATTACACGAGTTAAAACTGTACTGAAGGTCAGCTTCCAGTAACCAGTTTTCAAACATCTAAATGATCTCTACCTCCATACAATACTACAGTAATCCCTGTATCATTCTTTACATTGTATGACTTGAAAGTCGTGGGGATACATGTAGGAAATAGCATGTTAGGAGAACACTGCTGTTATGTGTGCTATCCTGTAATTTGAAATATACATTCTTTATATTTTTTGATGATTGATGCTTTTTGACTTAAACTACTGCAAGCGAACTTTAGACAATCTGTATTGAAACATACCAAAGAAAGTTACGGGCTATTGATAATCATCCGATAATTTGTTTAAAATTAAATTTTCAAAACGTGTGGAGGAGCTGTTTTGAAGAATGGAAATGATTAGATCTAATAAAATTAACCTTTTACAATATAAAAATACATCAGGATTCTTTCTCGGTGAAATTCGTCAAATATCCAAAAGCAGTAAACGACGTAAAGCAGCAAAAATAAATTATTTTTGCAGTATATTGCTGCTGCAGAAATTTAAATAGAGATGACAGACTCGAGACTTTCACACCAATATTGAGCGCTTGTAAATATTTATTTCGCTTCATTAAAATATTTTTATGAAAAATTCCTGATTTAGTAAAATCTGATCATTCTATTGAATTTTCCAGATCGGTTCTCGGCCGACAATTTCAACAGGCTAATCAATTTATGCAGCAAAGTCATTGGAGATAAAATGAAGGTATGTAATATTATTTCTTTAATGTTTAGTAGTGTTGTATAAACATTAAGAATTTTAGAAAAAAGGATCAATCGGAAATGATAATACGGTACCAACCGATTATATGGAACGGCTAGATGTGCTTAGTATTGATGACATACAGGTAGGCAATCCTTTCATTTTGCATTTATATTACAGTAGTTGTTTCAATTAGTACTATAATTTATATTAGTGGTAATTGCACGATAGAATATAAAATAAATTTGCACATAACTGTATAACAAGTTACTTGCTTTCTTGTTCTGCTTAAGCAGTCTTTGAATCATTTGCTTCCATTTTTAGATTTTAAACATACTGCAAATTAAAAAACTAAAAAGCATGATTGATGAGAAGCTCGTGGAAAAAAAGGCAGAAATGGAGAAGCTTGAAACAAAACGCCACGAAAAACTTATTCAAATAGGCAACATTATACATCCCTCGGTACCCGTCAGTGATAACGAAGACAATAATAGAGTGGAGAAGATTTTTGGTGATGTTAAAACTAAGAAGAAATATTCACATGTAAGTTGATTAAACCTAACTGTAGAGCAATTTTTCAATATTGATGTATATCATATAATCTTTTAAACAGATGTGTAGTTCGAGTCATCTCTCAAGTTACAGCTTACATTTTTGTGAAAAACAATGAAAAAGAGACATTTTTAATAATTCATATAGAGATTTCTTCCTTCGAGTGAAATTTCTTAAGAATAATTTCCATGATGTTATATGGCATGTCCTTGTTTGTTTATTTCACGTCATCAATTTATTTTTCGCGTTTCAGATAGATCTTTGTGTAATGGTTGATGGGTTTGATGGCGACCGTGGAACTTCTGTCGCGGGTGGCCGCGGTTATTTTTTGAAAGTTGGTCCAATTCATTTTTTTTTAAATTGATCCAAGCCTTGGGGCACATGTAGGAAATAGCACAGCTTTGTGGAAGATTGTGTGATCATACTTGTTTTTGTTTAGGGTCCATTAGTTTTTCTGGAACAAGCAATTATTAATCTTGCTTTACAAATGCTACATTCCAAAGGCTTCGTCGCACTTTACACTCCATTCTTCATGCGGAAAGAAGTGATGCACGAAGTAGCACAGCTTAGTCAGTTCGATCAAGAGCTGTACAAGGTTTCTTTTCTAAAATACTTGTCTTAGTGCTTTTAATATTTGGCAAAAACTCATTGAAAATGTTGTGGATTTCTTTATCTTTTTTCTACAATTCATAATAAAAAGTACTATAACAGGTTACTGGGAAAGGTTCTGAAGTAATTGGAGACGAAACCAATGACGAGAAATATCTCATAGCCACATCCGAACAGCCAATTGCAGCTTATCACCGAAACGAATGGCTTGGTGAAACTGATCTGCCAATCAAGTATGCTGGCATATCATCTTGTTTCCGCCAAGAGGTAATCACATCTTTTTAAACACTGCTTAGTAATCCATCAGAATCGATAACTCAACCTAGAATTTGTAGGTTGGAAGTCATGGCCGAGATACTCGTGGTATGTTCCGAGTACATCAGTTTGAAAAAGTCGAGCAGTTTGTTCTATGCTCTCCACATGATGATAGAAGCTGGAAAATGCTTAATGAGGTAAATTTTGTTTTTTCTTTCGTTGTTAAAGTAGTAGAAGTTACCAGTTGTATGACATTAATGTGTCAGACACAAATTTCTTTACAATAGCAAAAGAAGCATCACATATTTGGAAAAATGTTTGCATTTAGAAAAAATATAGGTCGCTTAAAAAAATAAGGATGGAAACTAAATAGATCAGATAGCTAAAGATTAAAATTGGTGAAGAAATCGTTTTATCAATTTTTGCATTATTTTGCTTAATCTGACAGTTACTGTATCGACTTTACAGATGGTTGCAAATGCCGAAGATTTCTATGAAGCACTTGGTATACCATTTCGAATTGTATGCATTGTTTCGGGAGAATTAAATAATGCTGCTGCAAAGAAGCTTGATTTAGAAGCGTGGTTCCCGGGCAGTGGTGCATTCAGGTTCTTTTCATTCTTTTCGTGGATTCTTCCAAAAAATGTCTTCTATATTACATTTTTGAAAATTTTAGAAACAATTGATTCCAACATTGATTTTAAATAATATTTGTTAAGAGAATTAGTTTCTTGTTCGAACTGTACCGACTATCAAGCTCGACGTTTGAAGGTTCGTTATGGAAGAACGAAGAAATTAGATAGTGAAGTATGTTTTTTTTTTAACTAGTTAGTCGAATCAAAGTCTCTTGCGGGGTTCAGAAGATTTCGCGAAGTCTGAAAATATTTGAGTAAATTTTTATATTCTGGTAATTTTGATTAGTTTGAATCTTCCTTAATAAAAATTGCCAATTTACTTTACATAAGTATATTAATTTGTTTCATGCAGGTACCGTATGTACACATGTTGAACGGTACAATGTGTGCAACTACGCGTGTATTATGTGCGCTACTGGAAAATTATCAAGAAGAGTACGGTATACGTGTGCCGGAAGTTCTAAAACAGTTTATGCCACATGCATATAAAGAGCTAATACCATTCGTTCAAGAAGCACCCATCGAAATTAATTAGAAAAAAGTAAATTAAATGTTATTTTATTTATATGTTACTATTGCAGAAGTAAGCTTGAATTTGAAGTAATTTTTTCTCGATCTTCATTTAGCTTTCTGCATCTTCATTTACTGCTTCCTGTTTCTTAAAAAGATGTAATATTTCCTTTCGAGATATTGTTGTACCACTTCAAATGTGTACCACTTTCCTTTTTTTTAAAGTTTGTTTAAAATGGACTTCTGTTGTTTTTGATTTTAAAATCGGCTTTCTGTTGGCACATCTGTTTTGACTTTACCAAATAAATAGAGAATACACAGCGTCATTCAATATTAGCCATACTATACTGCATAAGTAAAGCAGGCAATTTTAGCATAGGCCTGATCCCTGCTAATACGAAGTATTGCTAGACTGGATTAATTTTGGAAGCTATAATACTTTGTTGTTTATCTAAAGTCCACAATAAAAATAAAAAAAAATTGATTATAATCGATGCAAAAACTAGCAATCGAGGACTTTCATACCGTGCTATCGTTTTCTTGTATTTTATCAGGAGAGAAGAAGGCATAAATAAGTATTCCGTTGTATGCCGAAGGCAATGTTTTAAACATCTGGAGAGTTTTTTTATTTACATACTTTGTTCTTCGTTGAAGAAATAATGTTGCTGTAGCTCACATCAAATTATTGAATTATCACTGACCAATGAATGGCTCTATTTTTGGAGGGTATCACAGATTAATCCTAAAAGATATAACATTAATGCGAGAGTGATTACTGGTCTTTTATTATTTGTGTCTCCTATGATTTCTCTTGAACAAGCTAACAATGCTCGAGATATGAGACACCTAGAATGTTTAACTTATTTGGAGCATTTTTTTTTCATAATGTGGAGAATAATTTACGTTAATATAGATATCATTTTAGTCTCACTACGTAAAATATGCTAAAGACTTATAGTTCAAATTAAAATTGCACGAGCAATGTATACATCACTCGTGTTGAGCAATATAATGTACAGTGTGGAAAGTAATTATACGAGATTTAACGATCTTTTTTGATACAACCACTATGAAACAATCCTCTTCATAAATGATGCGTTTTTTTCTCAGAGATTATTTTCATTCGAGAAGTATTGATAAATGATTTTCATTATTCATTAGGAACTGAAATCTTGAGATCATCCATATTAAAGTACCGCTATATTAAAGCAGTTTTTTTAAGTAGAAATAATACGTAAATTGGTTGAGGCATATTTGATTTCTATTTTTTCGTTTTTTAATTTTTCTTATTTATTCTCTCATTTCAATGGAAATGGAAGTAAGTGTATGACTTCAGAATCTATCATTGCATGATACTAAGACTTATGTCAATGAAAAATAGATGCGAATGATAGGTTTCCGTATAAAAAATGTCCAAAAAAGTGCAGGGAGAATTATGAATAACAGGGAGAGAATTATCATAACTATAACAAAGATGAATAGAGAATGCCGCAATTTGATGGATAAAAAAGTAACAATTTTATGTTTCTTTAAATTATTTTCAGCATTGGAGAATTGATCGGAAAATTGAGCAATTACTGAACAAATATGGTTTATCATTGATGACAAACGTATCGCAATGACAAAATAGCAGTGAAAAGATAAATTTTTTGAGAAGGGGATAGTGAATTAGAAGAGCACAGATGACATTGTATTTATAGTGTGAATGAGCCGTTTATCGCCGTGAGTGGTATAGTCCAGATGTATAGCCCATAATTGTGATATCGAAGGCCACTGACCTTAACATTTGATGTACTGTTTTTTTTTCGCTATACTGCTATCCTTTTTCAATTATAAGAATAAATTGCTTTGATTAATATGTCTGCAGCATACACTACTCCATCACCACAGGTATGCTTTTCATTCGTAATTTAGCATGATTAATGAATCGATTGCTGAAGCATAAAAGCCGAAGTGTTAAATTTAAGATATGATTATGAGTTGAGTTTTAGTCACAAGAAAGTGTAATAGATCTCTCATTGATCATTTCAGGCATTTTGTGCTGAATGAAAGATGAAATCGTGATCATAGTTGTATGATCATAGTGATCATAGTTATCATAGCGAATATTACTAATATTTCTTTAATGCTTTTCTGTATTCTGTAAATACAGTTTATATTTCCAAGACGAAATTGTTAATTTCGCTCATAGATTTTTTCGATTAGCATTTAATTCATTCGTTTTGAAAGACTGTTCAAAATCATATGTAAATTCAAATTGTGCACATATTAAATTATATTACTAAGTTTGAAAATGCTCTGCTAATAGATCCTAAAACAATGTAACTAACGATATCCTTGTCTTTGGGAGGAATATCGGTTGGAAAAAATCATGTGCAAGAGAATTGCGCGGTTCAAAATATAAAGCATTTTGAATGATAAAATGTTCGTAACTCATTTAGTAAAGTTTTTTGTAAAATAGTTTTGATAAGTGAATAATTGTTTTTGAACGTTTTCAAAATGTGATTCACAGAGTGCGATCATCAAGTTCTCTAAAATTTCCTTTTTATTAAAAAAGCGGGTGTTATCACTTCATAATTGTGTTTCATTGAATTAATACAATTTGACCAAATTTTGAAATAAATTTTAATTATTATAAAAAAGTTGTTCTCACCAATTTGTTGAGCGTCTTGGACCGAATGAAATTAATCTTTCACAGCATATTAAACCCTTCTTTCACCAAACTAAAAACTTCAATCTAAAGAAAATTATCTAATCAAAATCACTTATGTAAGGTATCCAAATTTTTTCATTGATAAGAATTCCTAAATGAAAATGAATTGGTTTTAAACTTTGTTGAACACAATCAACTCAATGCATTTATAGCATCTGCAAAATTGGTCAATAGAAAGATGCGGAAATGGACCAGAAAAGTTGCAGAAAAATTCCATCAATTCAAATACTCTTAACAGGTATGAATATACGATATGAGCACTTTCACTTTCATATTGCATCAGGTAATCAATTTTACATGACAGGTAACTTGCGCATCGTTCCATCTATCCACTTCTTCTTCATGCCATGTGTTCCGTCCCTCTTTGAAGGACACAATGATTGCATCATTTTCCTTCTGTTTTTCATAGTTTTAGGCTTTTGTTAACGTTTGATAGTACCACTGGAATTATTGAAAACTTAATCAATGGTATTTTATTATTTGTTTATTTGTCCTATTATTAAAAATTCAAATTAGTAAAAGTTTGCATTGCTTATATTATACAAAAGCGTATTTAGGATTAATTTAATTGGCAGGCATATGCGTTTCAATGCTATTAACGATAACGTGGAAGAAAGCAAAGATCTCATCCTTTACAATTCACAATCTCTTTCTTTTCCTGTAATACCGCAATTATGGTATACTCCTCAACCTTTTATACCGTATTACTTCACCTCATCACCGCCACAGTATTCCCCGTTCATACCATATCTGTCTTATTATTCGAATGCAACGGTAAGTCAAAATGTAATTTGATATGACTTCATACATCGAAAATATAAATAGTATTACACAAAATGTATTCGATTTCTCTCAGAAAAATCATAATCCAGCCTAAGTGTACATATCGCCATTAGGGAGCGTATTGTGACGTGAGTTGTTACTGTTTTGTCAACGCGACCGTCAAACAAGTAGTCACAAAATAATAGCAGATGGCTTAAACAGAATGGATAGTAAAATAACTTTAACTTCTGTCATGCCACATAGTGCACTATGCTAGAATAGACGGATAGTGTCACCATAGAGGAAATGAATGATTCATATGTAATTCATGTAAATAAGCGGCTATCACTTCAGCCAAAGATTCGACAACAGAAATATCAAAGCAAGAAAATGTGTAAGTCAAGTAAAACTCATTTCTGGTGTGCCGGAATAGCTCAACTGTTGTGGACAATAGTCGTGATAATTGCGGTTGGATTGCTCGCAATTTTAATACTTGCGCTTTTTATTGTTTAGGTGGTGGATTGTCTGAATATGCCGTTTGATAACGGCATGGAAAATATAAAAATTTACTCCACAATTTGAACATGAACTTAAGAAATAGTGTTATTTCTACCTATGTAATTTCGTGCTTTTTCTGTGCTTAGCTAAAGATGACATAATCTCTCGGGAAGAAACTCAATTATAAACTAATAGAAGTCACTGTGCTTAAAAAAAGATTCTAAATGACAAGCGAGAATAAAACACTGTTAGTTTCAGTGTTTTGTGATATATCAAGACAATGATTCTTGATTCCTTGAATGCAAATATACTGTAAATATCGCTTATATATATAATTATTATATATAATCGAAAAGCATAATTTTGTTCATGTTTAATTTAAATCTAATACAATGATGCACCGGAGTATTACTTTGCTTCAAGATACCAAAGGCGAATTATACACAATCATTGATTTGGGAACCATGAGTGCTACTGTTACTATATGTACAAATAGTAAGACACTGCATTAGGGTATCTATTTTTTACAAGGAAAAATTAAACATGGATAGCATTATTTTGCTATCAGCAGTAAAAATGTTCAAATGAAAATCTCCCACAGTTATGCAGAATGAATCAATAAAACACCATGTTACAGACAATTATGCATACTTCTACATATCAGGAAATTTCTGAAATATATTGCTAAAATGTTTGTAGACGAAAGTTTACTCAAGATGTTGTTAGGATTTTATGCCCAAAGTGAATGTAGACCAGCGAAATGTCGAATAATATAATAATACTAGTACATATATTAAAACCGTACGCAAGATATTTACATTCACTGAAATTGTGGTGCATTGGAAAAAGGTACACATAGGTCAGCGATTACCGCACCGGAGCATTATTTTGACCGTTCATTGAATCGTCACAAAAAAAATAGAAAAACATAAGGGTTGACATAAATGCGAAAATACCACAAAGGATATTTTGACATTTAATGCATTATTATCAATAAATAAGCGATGAAAGTAAAATGCACTACATATGTACTTTCTTTTAAAGCATATATTGCAGTATGAAAATATGATAGAAATATAATAGAACGATAAATTAATGATAAATTATCCTTCCCAAGGACAGGTTATATCAGCAACTTATTGCTTCACAAATGCTTCCTTAAAAAAACGAAAACATGTCAGTTTCCAGAGTCCGGAAAATTCGTCACATTTTTTGTAAGTAGTAAAGCCATCAATGAAATCGCTATTTTTAAAACTTTCAAATTTTCAGTTAAGGGATAGTACCATCAGGGGCGAGGTTGCAGCAAAAAGTTAGTCATAATTTATCTACTTTTTGGTCTCTCTTTCTATTTTTTTGCTCATTAATTTACAAAAAACAGATGATTTTACACTTTAAGTGGGTTATATTGAAGTTTAAGAAACAAAATTAAATTCAGTAGGATTAAAACGATAATGACGTAAACAAACAGTAGTCCGCAAAAGTTGAAAGGGAATTTTGAAAAACTTATTGCTCACAATCTCTGATCAAAAAGTAGACACCCACTTATCAAAGTTCAACGCTTAAAAAACTCAAACAATCGGTCATTAGTTTCCAACAAAAACGGGGAAACCTGAAAACATAAAGCAGAGAAAAGCGAATAAACTGTAGTAATTACAAAATGGACAATTGATTTTTGTGGCGCACAGAAAGATTTCAGCAAACTGATATATTAAATTTACATTTTTCATTAATTACGAGGAAAATTTCAGTATGAAGATAATTACAATTGAATAAATGATTTTTATAGGATGGAGAAAGTTCAGCAAATTGATATATTAAATTTCCAATCTTTATTAATTTCAAGAAAAGAAGTCAATATGATGATAATTCTTTACAATACTTCTCCGGGAAGCTGTCAGTGATCCAGAATCCGGAGATTGCCGGAAACAATTTTATTTTCAAGAATGGTTCCTGGTGGAATATCTATACGATCACCATGATTTGCTATTATTATTACCGTACCCTAAAACGAAATATTTCTGACATGATGTGAAATGAAATAGATAGATGAAAATGGAATCCATCAGCATAAAAAAGAATTTTAGGAATTTCTACAGAAAGCATAACTTAAGACTGGAAAAACATGGACTGAACGATAGTTTCTAAAAATATGTACTGAATAACCAGTAATCCAGAATTTTGGACAAAACGAACAGTACAAATAATTCTTTACAGTCACTAACTTTTAGCAATGAGCATAACAAACAAATACCTTTAATGTAACATCCTTGCCGAACCATACATCACCAGATACTGTTAAATGATCCAATTCGAGTAGATCCGGGATGCCCTGGAAACGTTTCAAATATTCTTGTACCTGAAATAATAAGTAGCACTAGTTTGTTCACTATTGTTAAAAAAAATTTAACTATTTTCATATCTAATCTTTCTGACATAATAAATATTCTACGCTTAAAAAGTAATTCCAAGGAGTATTAAAATGAGTTGCATATCAAATATGACCATTTTTTTGAAAACAGAATTGAAATAACATCAAAAAAGTGACTTACTTTGTCAAAAGAGCTACCCAATTTGACAAGTGGTGTTGTTGGGAAGGAACGAAGATGACTTAATGTTAGGTTACCATTGCAGATTTCATATAAATTTGACATAAGCAATAAAAGATCCGAGGTCGTTTTAACAGGAAGAAACCGCGAACGAGGAACATTAATTCCTACAAAAAAAGGAAGCGGAAAATAACTTTTTAAAAATTAGCTTTGTTTTGACCATGGAGTCCTAAAAACAAAACGATTATGAACAATTTCAAAAAATATACCGCATGCTCCTTTGAAATTTTTGATAGCGGCACCAGCAGCAGTTTCTAGCTGTATAACATCAACATCACGATCCAAATGCTTTGGATTAACGATCACTTCCATTTCCAATTCTTTTCGTTCAACCACTCTCTTGATTGCACTTAATTTGGCCCACAAATTGTTTGTATTAAATATTCTGCAATATTGCAACCATCTTTATTATCAGCATCAACAATAATTTTTATTCAAACTGAATTAGAATTAATTTGGATGGTCACTAAACAAACCTGAATTTGCTTACACTTTTAAACTCATCAACATAATCTTTTGGCACTTGAGCGATTTCCAATAACATCAATCGATCCTCATACTGGATCAGTGTACCACCCTGAAGATTACGGAGATTGACTTCATAAATTAATTGGGCTCATTAAAAAAATTTGTCAAATTTTTTCGAGGTTTCATAAAAAAAATTAACTCTGTTGTGAAGTTATTATAAATGGACCTTAATATCGGCCCTAGTCTTATCAGTGACCTCCATTACAAATTCTGGTTGCTGACCATTTACTTCCTGCACAATGAAATTTAATACATTCATATCAACCGTCGCACCCATATTGTCAATATTTGAAAGGAAGCAGAACTAAAATGAAGTTAGATTCAGATGAAATATTGGATATTTGAATATCTTATAGACAGTTGTAAGCATACGTTAAAATTTATTGAACTGCTTACTGAATTCATTTTGACCATATAATCCAATCTACTTAATCTAAATATTGAATACTGGTTTGAACTTTATGCAAATAAAAGTAATTTCAGTACTTGTGTGAAAGCAAGATGATTATGATACACATAAGAATTGCTTGAAGTTATGAGGAAAATTATAATTGTCTTGAGTAATTAAAATCGAACTGAATTATCATTTAATCCAAAAGAAATCGATGTACATATTTAAGGCTTTGTCAGACATCTAACCTGTTTTCCATCCTGAAGAAACTTGTCCAGAAGTCCTGAATTATAAAATGCTTCATAGAAATTACCATGACCAGGTGGGTACCATCTAAAAAATTTACAAAATTCGTTACGCTGATAGGAAATGAAATAATTTCATAGAGGAGAAATGAAAAGAGTAAAAAGATAAATAGTATGAGCAATAAAGCCAGCTTACTCATCATGATCACTATAGGAAACATTTTTGACAATTGGCATGAGTGATTCCTTTAATATTCGCGGATATTTGGATTGACAAAAGGAGTGCACATCAACTTGCACATTTTTGTATTTTCTCAGCAGTTTCTTCGTATCTTCATCCGTATTAAATGAATTCATCAAAACCAACGGCACGTTGACGTCATAGGTACGATTCATATTCTGGAATCTGTTACATTATCCAACACATACACACCTACACAGCACAATCATACGTATATGCGAATAGTAAATACACTTAGACAAAAATTTCACTTTTATCATTACTATCAAGAGCAATCATTGCCTTTATTCAACTATACTGCTGTTTAAAACAATGTTGTCACTATTTACAATAAAACTGAATTGCGCAGCAAGCGCAGTGAAACTAAAACATCCTTGTCGATATCATGAACAAGAAGCTATACTAAATAAAACAAACTACTCTGATAGAGCGACATCATTTCGACAATCCATCCAATTCACGAAGAAATTTGTAAATCAGTTTTATATGTTATTTATTGCTATTGTATTTTAGCGAACAATGATATATATAATTTTATAAACAGAAATTTCCAGAAGAAAATGGATCGCCACTCCAAAACTATTTCACTATTTGATTCATTTATACCAGAAACTTTACCAACCTGAATTTGCTGCAATGTTAAATCGAGAAATGTCAGGTCATTTCGAACTGAAATCATAGATTTCGGACCTTTACAACCCATTGATGTGCCCAAGCCGCCGTTTAACTTTACAACCACCAGTTTGCTCAAGTGACTTGATACTAGATCTTTGCTTGGATCATGCAGCTTCAACTGGAAAAATTTTCAAATGAAAACTAAAAAAACGCAAGAAACAAAGGAAAAACGATATCTGTATATTAGCTCGATCGCATTTTCCACTTTTTTTTAACACAGAAACCTTTTAACTTTCCATATGGAGCCAAAACTATATGCTAACAGCGTATTGTAAAACTGGATAAGATGGAATTAATCAATTGTGAAACGAATACCTCTTTATAGGATATAATTGCATTATTGGGGAGCGGTTGAATTTTTTTCCATTCGATAGTGGTTTTAGCACGCAGAAAACGTGAAAACAAATCCCGAAAACAATTTAATTCTTTTTGTACAACCTAAAAATTATCTAGTATTGAAAATGGCCAAAACGATTTCAAGAAAGTCTATCGCAAAGTAGAAGACGCTAGAAAATTATTTGTACTATTAATCTGACATATTTCTTTTTGATAATCAAGATATTTAAAAAACAGATTTTCGAAAAATATGATAGGATTATATCTAAACACCTTTTACTGTTAATGTTGATTATAAATGAGTCTAGAAATGATGAAATCCAGGCAATTTATGTCAGAAATTTTGCTTTTTGTTTTCTAATGGATTATAGAGGGTCTCGATAATCCATTTATGTCTCGATAATCCATTAGAAAACAAAAAGCAAAATTTTTTTCTGAATAGTTCAAACAGACCTCTTTCTGATCGAGTGGTGCTGTTTCCACGAGGTTCCTTAGTTCCTGCTCCATTCCTAGAAGAGTTTCGCGTTTCGTTGATGATTTCCATTCTTCAGAACTCTAAAAAATTTCAAGCATCGAAGGAAGATCGTATAGGTAGGAAAAAAGGATTTCTAAACTATAACAATTAAATAATGTACTATCTAATTATTTCATCTCTACCACAGGGAATGTAAACAAAAAAGGATGGGGAGAAAAAGCTGACAGATATGGTTGAACCGAAAAGCTAAAAATGACAATTTCCAGAATTTTAACCAATTTCTCGGTTAAATTCTTGGATGAAATGATTTGAAAAAGCAATACTTGAAAAAAGAACTGACATTTACTTCATCCATGGAAGGCATGCAAATGTAAAATTAGAAGAATAATAATGAAGCAGTAAATATAAACTCAGACCAGAAGTGAAACGATAACAGGTATTTAACCTATCGGTCGTTAATGACAATCTTAGTGACTGATGATGCAAGATTCTCTCATAGAAAAGATCAAACAAAGCCAGTGGGATAGCATGCGAAAGTTACAACGGTCATAGGGAACAAGTAAGCAGCACAGATTGCCCTCTAGACTCGTCAGTCGATCGATTGAAGTTTTTAGAGAGAAAGCATCAGAGGAAGCTGAAGGAGTATTACATGTGATTCCATGCAAAACAACAACCCTCTCCAACGCAATGACCCCATTTTCGAACTAACCTATCATTACCCTTATCTGTCTGCTAAACCTAATTTTCAATGCAACATTAGCTTAATTCAACTGCATGAGACGATTAATGCAAATAAATATTATTGAAGACCAGCAATTCCTCTTACTCGTCCAATTGTTTCATTTATTAAATTTACTTTATTTGCCATTTTTTGACCAGTTATATTCATTTATTCTTTTTTACTTCTTACTATTATTTAGTATTACAGAGGATCAAATCGAAAAAATTGATACTGCAACGATGAACCAATTCAAAAGATGGATGATTCTTGCAGTTACAATTTATCAGATTGCTCTCATTATGAGAGTTATAATTTGGGCCACAGTGAGAAGTTGAAAAAACAATCAATTTGAGGATAACATTGTGAGCGGGAGATTGTTATCAGTCATACTTACAAAATGCAACATTGAATAAGATGATATGTGTGATAGGACTAAAACTTAGAAATATTCAAAGAATTAGACAAATCATAGATTAGAGCAGTTAAATTTCAGTTGAAACATCAAAAACACACAAACTTTGATGAATCCAAAAAACAATTTTAAACCATGAAAAATATCCAATAATGGTCAACTGTTATATCTACTATGCTTATCACAGCATATCATAAAACCTACTAGCATCGCCACCTCCGACGTAAATGTTTGTAAAACAATGTAATAATTATTTTTAAGCACTTCTACTTGCTCACTATTTACAATTCAAATTTTCACTAAAAAAATTTTCTTTTAGTAAAAATACCATTGAATTTGAAATTTTAAACGCTGAATTTGAATACCAGTGAATTTGAAATTTTAAACGCTATTTACGACCTTCCAAGAAACACTTTTGGTATTAATGTACCAACCGCTCCAGTAATATCCAGTTTCCATAGAATAGTTCGCTATTATACGCAGATATTTTAAAACAGAACAAGGAAGAAAACTATTCCAATAGTTTACCTATACTTAAGATCATATGCGCTTAAAGTTCATTTATTCCTTAAACCACAATATTTTAACTGAATAACTTTTAATGTTACTATTACATTACTATGCGTTCGGTACACCTGACCACTATCTTCTCTGTCGTTTTAGTATTATATTTTAGGCGAAAGCGAAATTCGACTTCCAAAAACTACCACGCTCTAAAGATATCTAGCTCTCTCATCTCATTCAAAGATGAAATTCACATTTTTTAACGAGAGATATTTTACCTTATCAATCCCTTTCCGCATCATATTTTCGACCAAACCGGCTTCAGCCTATAATTGGAAGCGATCTCTTCAACTCCGAAAATTACTATCCTCCAATTGCTAAAAACCAAAGTTCATAATTTCTTACGCCACGAAACTTTGCTCCATCAATGATAAAATATTACAGCGATTGATGTTTGTTTCCTTTCCCAAATGATGTTGAAAATAAAAAAAAGGTTTTACACCCCACCTTGTCCGGAAAAATTCGTACACATCATATAATCTAAATCAATATAAACGATATATAGCACGATAGAAATATAAAGGCATCGAATTTATTGCAATTGTTGCATAAAAGTAGAGCGCTGATCTTAAAATAGCATAAAATGGCTTAAATAGTAAGGTGGACAATGACAATAATCAAGTGCATCAAGGCAATGGAAGATATAAACCGTTACAGTTGTAGACAACCGTACATATAAAAAGCAATTTCAATGACCGGTTCAGGAAAAGCCATTAGTTTGGTCCATAAGTTGGAATTTTTAAGATTAAGATAAAAATGAAATACGATTGATCGAATATTTTACTCACCAACAGTAAAAAATGATTCATTTCTCATTTAAATCTGCCGTATGAGGGAAAATTTTGTTCAGCATTTCAATTAACAATGCGCTTATCAGGTGCACTAATCATATGACAATGGTAACAGCTGATAAGGGTGTGTGCATGAAATATGGACGAAAATATAATCAAGAAAAAGGACACGAACAGGTCACGTTAGAAATTATAATATAGATTTTAGTAGATCAAGTTCACGAAAAAATTAATCAAAGAAAATTTATCAATGACTGGAAATTTTTAACAAAGAACTTGTGTACTTCAAGAATACTTCTAACCCCTATTTTTTTGAAATGCATCGACGATGATTAACTTTTTATCATATGATCCGCAACTTGCAGTGATCTTTGAACAACTAATGATCAACACTAAAGGCTAACCTTACGAGTGTAAATTAAAAACTACGAAATATAAATTAAAAGACCCGATGCTGTAAACATGTGTTGAAAGTAAAGATCCCCATATATTACTTCCTATCTTAGTGAGTTCAAAACATTTGAATAGATAAAATTTGTTAGCTAATACTCAGAGACCAGAGATACATCCATAAAAAGTGGATTTTATACATACTATCACAGTTATCTAAGATTAACTGCATAAAACTACGTGTGTGGAGCCGTGTGAATAGCAAAGAATTGTATTCAATTATACTTCTGGCGAATTTTCTTAAATACAAAAAGCCAGTGCAGTTGACCAGTGAGTGCTGTTAGTTTTAAAAATTCTGTTATACTTATTTTGAAGACTACAGAATGGACTATATTCGATTTACTTAGTAAACGAATAGATTACCTAAATCTTTTATAAAATTTGCTAAGAAAACAACATAATTTAACTTACTGCAAACTCTAAAAAATTGAGATTCATTTTATGAAGACAAAAAGATTTAATGATATCCATTCTAAGAATTCTGAACATTAATGAACATAATAGGAGATAGGAAACAAATGTACCGGTGTAAAAAAATGCTAACAAATGTACTCATACCAAGCATTGAGAACCAAAATTAAAGACGAGTAGCTCTCTTCTTTCCACAGAATGTAGAAATTTTTGACAACACCAGAAAAAATAAACTAATGTCGATGGGCAGGAGAAGAAAGGTAAGCAGTGAAAGATGGATCACATTTTCACTCTGCATTGAATGTTAACTAATGAAAAATGCCTTAAGTCATTTGTCATGATCGGCTTACTGCAAAATGTAGACTTCGTCAGTAGTTCAATTCATCTCAAAACATTTTCTGTTAATTATAGACTAGATCTTTTTTTGCACTGATTCTATGTAAATTTCTCACAATATTTTTTCACAATATTCTTCTCACAATATCAAATTAAATTGTTAACAACTTATTGAAGATATCAAACTTTGTGTATTAAACAACATTATATTTTTCTCTGGAACCTAACATACGATATCATGTTCAAAACCATATCTTGTAAATATCATAATGTGAGCACTCTAAAATAAGCCCGAAGAGTTTCTCGGCCTTTAAGAAATCTTTCGCCGTGTTTAACAACTATTTTGATTATTGATAGATGACTTTGACGGTGCATGCTTGGAGTCAACAAAAGGTCAGAGAACTTGATTTCTTATCATAACCCACTAAATGCTATTATTTGGAAAAAGAAAAAAAGTACATGTGCATGTTGAGGTCATATATAACCTTACCAACAGTGTCATATAAAATAACAAAATAACTACTATGAGTATAACACAAGGCACCTATCTATTAAACTGAATATTTCTTAAATGTTTCTTAAAAACTGAATGCTTTGCAAGCTGGGATGATAAAGACTGTTTTAGCGTGAAGTTGTTTAATTGGCACTTGACAAATGAGAAATTTGAGCTGCTTAAAAAGATGTCTCATTCATTGAGATATTGAAACTCAACATTTGTCAATAAGAATTGTAGACAGTCGAATAAAGATATGTTCTTTCTGAAATATCCAAACTCCTAACAAAGTAATTGATTGTTATCATATAGTGAAACTTTGGAATTCGAAATAAAGCCATAATATTTGAAGTTTTAGTCTTACATAGTTTTCTCTACTTTTAAGTAAAGACAGTAACAATTAAGATTTCTGAGAAATGATAATGAAGCAACCTTCAACGCGCGCTCCCGAATGCCAAGTAGTTCTGAATTAATTCGGTAACGATCGCCTTTCTCAGCCATTGTTTTGATCGATGACAATTTGAAGTCTAGAAATAATAAAATAAAAGTACAGTCAGACAGCACGAGCAGCTTTATAATTAGACAGTTAATTAATTTCAATTGTTATCGATATTCTACTAATAATAAAATCAAAATCACCAGAGTTTTCGCTTTTAATTTTTATTGTTAGCTTATCTGCAGACGAATAGAGAAATATATGCAAAAATTATACAATGTTTGCTAGATGCTTCCAAATTTGTTTCCTGCGAAACAGTTAAGTGAAATAATTCTAAAACTTACCGTATCTGATAACTTAATGAAGATGAAAATTCTGGCTATTTAATCATTTTAATTTGATATGTAACACTCAGAATTTGATTTTGTCGCAGTTCAAAGTAAAATGACTAAGAGAGAAAAAAGCAGAAATAGATGAAAATGAAAATGACTGCAACATTCTTAACCTCCCTCTTAAAATAAAAGGTTGTCAAAAATTGTTACTTAAGAAAACTCCATTTAAAAAAAATAATAAATGAAATTCAGACTATTTCAAGTATTTTTAACGTTGGACTAACACTCTGATTAAATATTATTTAAAATTCCATAGAACATAACGACAAAAGTCAGCAAAACTTTAGAATTCCTTCAAGCTAATGGAATGAAAGGATCACAGGATGGCTTAATGAATCAACGGGTACATGATGGATGAATGCCATAGATGAATATGATGCAGTAGTTTGAAGAAAATTGTTGATCTTATTTGCTCCCAGAGAAAAATTTTGCGAGGCACTACTTGATGAAATTTGTTTCATAAATTTGAGGACTTTGTTGCGCACTGATCTATATACTTCGTGAAGTGATGAGCATTTCGTTTCAATTCTGATCAGTAGTAGCTCTTAAAGTATATTTCTAAGCGCCGTATTCTCTTAATACTGACTGCTTTACAAAGAAACAATTTATATTTTCTGTTTGCTCGTATATCACTATGACATGATGAAAAGTGATGTCAGAACTCTCTTCACACTACGTTCCCTTCAGTTTTTGTGCTTGTGCTGTGATGCAAGTTTTCTACAATGAAGATTGTGATAGCAAAGCATCTGCCATTCAAAAATTGGAATCAACATTTTAGCGGAGCTAAAAAATTTCATGCAATTGCTACAGAGATAAAAGAAAGTGTTCATTGAACAAAACATAATTAATGATAGGAAATGGCCTTGCACTCAGTCGTCATGTTTCAAAAAGAAAAAAATGAGGGAATTATCGCAGAATATTAAGCAAGGAATTGTCATTTGACAAATTCTCTTTAAATATCGCTTCTGCCTTTCCACTGTTACGTGCATCTTGCAATATATCAAGAAATTTAAAATAAAGACAGCACACGAAACTACGATGAACTTCGTATTCAGTGACATTCATAAAATGGTATTCCATATCTTTGGTGCAACTAATGGCATTATAATGTAGCACAGGGTCCAGAATTAGTCTCATATATTCTCCATAGCTTTTCAATTATTCATATTATTCTACTGGTTGCTTCCAACAGCTATTAAAATCCCGACAATACCATAATAAAAATAATCATGTTAACCAAATTGTTCCATTATCTCTCATAAGAACGAAAAAGAGTTTCAATATACGATAAAACTTAGCCATTTACTGGTAAAATGCGTATTTTTTAGAACTCATCGAACATGGTGAATAAAAAGACGGGTAAGACGGATACAAAATAAAAGACGTCAACAGATCGAGGGGGGAATGTTAGTAAAACTGTCACTATCCTCAAACTTCAACTAAAATGCCATTAAAAACTCTGTCAGCCAGATATATCACGACTTACCACTTTGAATTTCTCATAAAACTCGAATTAACTTTCGAGATTTTACTATTTTACAACCACAGCTTAAGAAATGATGAATGCTACGCAGAATAAAGAGTGGAGAGTAGATGGAAAACTGCGTTTTATACAACGGTATGGAGAGGAACGAGGAGATTCAAATTCTTGAAAAAATATCAATTAATACCTTAGAAATAAAACTCATGCAAGGCTAACAAAACCTCAAATCTAAAGCAATAATCAAACTTTTAATTAAGAAAAAAAACTTTCTTCCAAACTCCTTAATTCAAAATTTCAAGCTTCTAAGCTCCATATAGTAGAAGAAATTACATAAAACCCAGAGAAACGAATAACCTTGTCTTAACCTTGTGAAAATGCTACCTTCATTCGCATGATTTTAGAAATACTATTCTTTCCTCTTAACGTTTACTTATCTACGTGTTCATGTTTGCTCATCCACCATGTGTCTGCACCGAATTTATCAGCAAAATAGTATTAAAAGGCGGTTTAACTTCATTCAAAATAAATTCACAGCAATGAATTGACCAATTTAAGCGAATTGAAAACACTTATAAGTCAATGGCTGCATAAAAAAGAAATAAGATCACGAACTAAGAAACAATTTATGAAGACCACTTATTGTATTCAAACGATTAATTTAATTACAAAATTGTTAAATAAATTCAGTTTTTCTTTTTTTTAAATGAAACGTGTCCATGTCCAATGGATCAAGAACACTAAATAAATAGCCGCCATATTACGTCGTAAAATTGGAAAACTGAGCTTATTCAACTATTTTCTTAAAAATATGACAGAAAACATTACACTTATTATCATTGATCACTTCTACCACGAGATTTAAATAAACGGCTATTATTAAGGCCCAATTTAACCCAGTTTTTAGAATTTATTTTCATATATCGCACATCCTTTGCTCGCTGCATTGTCAGTGTTCCTGAAAATTCAGCATCTCTGATTTAAAAAATTAAAGACTAATTCATGACGATTTCCTTTTGTTTTCCAGGCAATCATGATTTGAAATTCAGTCTAGAAACACACCAGATGTTCCTGTCCAACCCAACTTTTTATATTGCCCAAGTACAGCTTTTTTGAGAGCCTCTTTTTTTTGACGATCACTTTTAGATTCACATTCCACCGACTTCAAACGCTGTTTATAATAACGTAATAACGAACGATGTCCAATTTTCGCACCTAAAAAATTTGAAATAAAGAAAACAAGAAAAGGAAATTCCATAATTTTCCAAAAACTCTTTTGTTCTAAAAAAAAGTTCCACAAACCTGATGGCAAAGTAAGTGTGTAACCGTCATCCGTTAAAATAATAGGATAAGATTTATCACTAATATCTTCTCCTTCTGGATACATGGAACTGAAATACTTAACAAAACTTTCACACATTTGCAAAAGAAATAAGCAATATGCTATATATTTATATTTAAGAACCTTACCTATAATCATAAAACTCTTCAAACTCGATCATTTCCTCTACACCGCAGGCAACACGGCAATGTCCCTTATCGCGCATGTGCTTCTGACATGCGTCCAATGAGTAAAATCTTTTCCGCTCATTACATACCAAGCACCTATTATCACCACCAACTTTTAAACCTTAAACATTTCTCTGTAAAAAGTATAAACGAGGAGTGCAAATGAATGCAATGTAATAAGTCTGCAATATATAGAAATGTGTGTGTCATATGTTTGCTAGAATGACAAAAAAGATGTGATTACCTAAATAATACAGCATGCCACAAACGTCTGTGCAGAACTCTGCATCTGGAAGGAAAAACCCATGCGATATGCTCATATGTATCAAATTTGCTTCCGCATCCTCCGAATCATAATTGCAAAACAAGCAAATTGTTTCCGGAATAATCTGCAAAAAACAATCAGTTCTTTTTCCTGAGTACAAATCCATATGATGAATTAATTCACATTACACAAAATCAGATCAGCCACCTCAGATTCATCGAAATTTTCGTCCTCTGTACCACCATCAGTAATCCAACCGTCACTGTCATCATCATTACCATCATTCTCTTGAATGTTTACTCTACTGAAATGATTGTAATGGAGGTCATTCATCTGCTTTTCTGTGACTGCCACTTTTTTGGTTCTCTTCTAGAAATTACAATTAATTTAACTTCTCAGATTTGAAGTTAATAATAAAGCTGATGCTATAAACAATCACGTATAAAATGCAGTGCTTTTAAACATATTTCTTAAAATTTCTCCAATCAATATATACCATGGCGTCTCCTTTAAATGAACGTGTTTCACTTTCTTTATGCTTTCTAGAATTCAGGTGGTTATCATATGTATTTGTCGATTGAAACTGTTTGTTACAACATTCACAAATAATCATTTTCGTCTCTGCATTTCTCTCTGCTGCTGTCTGAAACGTGGTATTATAAATGAAGTGAAATTAAGCAAAAAAAAAAAAAGAGAACTAGGACTAAATAATGAAGGTTTCCATCCAGAGATGATGGAAACATTTGTAATAGCAAATATAAGGAGTTATAACACAAATGTATATTTTTTATCCATAACAGAATAATAAAAGCGTTTAAAAAATGAAGTGATGCATATTCTTCTCATTAATAAAATGACATTTAATTGTTATTTCTTATTACTTATTCTTGATGCAATGAAATCTTTGAAATCAATTCCAAAAAAACAATCGAAACTGTTTAAATCTATTTTCACTGGAAGCCTTTTTCCATTTGACAAATAACTTTAACTAACAGGAAAGAACATCGATATATCACGCCAGTAGAATTTAATTTATGCAACCTCCCACATTGATAAAAACCAACCTGAACTATGGACATTGTTATAAAATATTGCTAAGTGACTACTAAACAGCTCCTGACAGCAGCAATGAATGTTAACGCTTAGGTTCAATTAAGTTTACAGCTATATAAAATCACTGACCTCTTTTCTATAAGCAATGACTTTTTGCTTAAACTGTTCTTCAGTGACAGTAGGAAAACCAGTGATCTGAAAAAAGCTCCATTAACTATCAATCGGTAAAACTATGTATATATGAAGAGTCCTCATTTATCTATCTATCTATCTATCTATCTATCTATATATATATATATATATATAATTTACATGTGACTAAGTTTAGAATAAAAGCTACAGTATACGGCAAATAGACGTTATAGTGAGCAAAGATAGAATTCCAGCTTCCACAACTTTATTCTACTAATGATGTCAGCAGCAGAACAAAAAAAAAGTTTAAACTAACTTTTCGTTTCAGATTGTATCGATGCCAGTCAGTTTTATAATGTTCTCGTTGCAGATTACCATTTTCAAACATAGCTTGACAACACAAGCAAGTAAGACCATTCGATGCATCCATAATGAGGGGCTGCAAATACTGGAATTAGCAATTAACAATGGGTACCTGAAAGAGCTCTACCATGAGGCGAGGATCAAACAATGACTTTGAAAAGGAATCCTTGAATCAAACAAAATTCGCATGAAATTTTTATTCAACTATATAAAGCAAGTCCACCACTAACAAACTATTTCGTTATCCATTTGTTTTTTCAATCAAAGATAATCAAATTTTTAAATGGACACCGTAACAGTTAATTGCTTCCATAAAAGATTGCAGCTTGAAGTGAAACTGATATTACCAAATGATTTAAAATTCTCGTCACTGGATATGCAGATAAAGGGTCACGTTTAGAGTTCACCGCAATAAGAAGGATGGAATACCTCTGCGATCCGATTACATGGAGCATACCATGTGCCTATGAGACGTCCTTCTGTTACCTGCCCTTCAGTCTACCTCTCAGTTCACCACAAAAAGTAATATTCAAAAGTAATTATGCATGGAATTAACTTGTCATGTTAAGTTCGTGAATGTTAGTGCAAAATGAGTGTATTATATATATTGTAGTAATATATACTGCAAGATAGCAAGGTACTGTAGCAATGATAAAACATTGTAGGTATGTCGGTAGTGATAATTCTACTGCACAGGAACTACTTCAAAACTAAGAGAGCACGACTATCCAACTTACTGCAAATCTATTCCCCATGAATACTTCCCATCGACTGCGAATCGTAACACCTGCATACGATACAGTACATAACTCGTCATGAAATATTAGCGAATCATACTCAAGCCATTAAAATTTTTATACTATTTGCACAATATCTTGCTGAATAGCAAACAATCTGTTACAACTTTGTTTCCACAGCGCGAATTTTTCATGTTTGAAATTAATTCAAATCTATTTTGTACAAACAGTCGTGAGTAGGAAGGCGAACGTTTCTTAAAATTATTTGCACGCTGTTCATTTAACGCAGTCCAAATATAAAGTTTTAGGACTGGCTATTGCTGGCGATGGGAATACACAACTTGTTGCCCTTCGTGAAGAATGCATGCCGTCAGGTGGAGTTTTTAGTAAATTTTGATTTTACTTTTCAAGATCAACATAGTAAAATCAATACTTTCTTCTTGCTCTTGAAAATGAGCAATGTTCATATCGGGAAAACGAGAGTAGAGGATTACATTATATTAGTAGTGAGCATGGGTTGTTTCTGATAGCTCCACTTATATTTTTTTCATTTTAATGAGAAAATGAAGCTTTAACACTTTCATTTTCTGTATGAGGAAAGACATTGCACTCATGGTATCAGTGATAAGCAAGTATTGTAGAACAGTTTAATTTTTAGGGAAATATCAGTGAGTTTGCGCATCAGTCAATTGCTGTAGATGTTAGCTGTCTGTTACATCGAGGATTGATAGGCTGCGCTGACAAAGTTGCTCAAGGATGTGATACCGATTTGTTAGTTTCTTTTTTTGAGAAATTCTTATACTATCTCAATTTTTTATATAGTCAAACTGGAAGAGCCAGGGAATTTTACATTTCCCTGGTTCTTCCAGTTTTCTGTTCAAGAAAGCAACATTCACTCGTATGTACTGAATGTTTTGTTTTTTGTCCTCACTTACTTCTTTTAAGATAGATGTTGTTAAACTATCCGTGAAGAGAAAATTTTTGATCGCATTTCTTTACAACACATTAGAGTTGCTCTTTTTTTTCGAGTTTAAATGTCATGCCTTTTAGTTATATACACTATGTGTTGAAATACGTGAAAGCATTACTCTCAATCGGTTGTCACATTATTCTTGTTTTTGATGGACAAATGCTGCCTGCTAAAAAAGTTGGTCTTATTTGCAGTTATGATATAATTAAGTCATTGCAGAAACAGATTTTGTTGCTTTTCCAGATTGATAATTTCAGGGAACTAATAGTTCACGACGTGAGAAGCGTGATTTTCATAAGCAAAGAGGTGATTTGTTGATGAGTGAAGGTAGAACCAGTGAAGCTTACGACTGTTTCAAACGTAGTGCTTCATTAACACTCAAAGTCATTGAAAGTACTATTCGGGTAAGAATTATTCTCTGAATTTAGAAAAGTTACGCACATTACACATTAGAGTAAAATATGTAAATAAGATGAACAAATAGTAGCCCGTAGACGAATTTTAGTTATGTTTTAAATGAATTAGAAACTTTAGTTTCAAATTAAAATTCAGTTGCTTTACCATTAAAAAATTCAGCTGAATTTTTTAATGCTTTTTTTCTCCTAATAAAAGGATCCGTAAATCTCATTTGCATGATTCATAAAAGCAGCATGCCAAAGGTGCGATTAAACTGCTTTTTTTATTTAACTAGCCGTATAAGCTCAGTGATCAATTTTCATTAAAGGCATTTCGACGTTTGAATATGGTTGATGTTATCGTAGCTCCTTATGAGTCAGATGCGCAACTGACTTTTCTGACTAAAACAAAAATGGCTCAAGCAGTAGTTACGGAAGATTCTGATCTTATTGCTTTTGGTTGCGAAAAAGTTGGCTATCTTTTTCACTCGTTATTTGCTAGAAGTGGTGGTACGGTACAAAATTTGGCCTTAAATAAATCAGATCCTAAATGAAAATAAATTTCTATGCTTACATTTGCAGATAATTTTCAAGATGGACCCTACTGGACCTTGTGTTATTTTTGACCAAAACTTATTACCAAAATGCCTGTGTAAAGCGCTTGCAGAAAATTTTGATTTTGATAAGTTTCGAAGAATTTGCATTCTTTCTGGATGTGATTACTTGCAGGTAAGGTCTTTTTACAAGACTCGAGACAATCTAAGAAAAAAATCTAGAAAGAAATTCGACATTAAAACTTTTGCTTGATTTTTCTGCAAACTCGCTATAGTGTCAGAGAGATGCTGGTGATTTTGACGAGATTTTCAATTAATTTGCAAATATTTTAAGAAATCAGTTGTAGCTAACAAACATATTGTTCAGTTTTAGGCAGGTCTTCCTGGAGTGGGCTTAAATAAAGCAGCAGCTTTTTTCGCAAAAACCAGTGGTAGAGATTTATATCAGGTAAGTAAAAACATATTGGCAAATATTTATTTCTGAAAAAATTTTCTTTTTACATCTCTTTTAGGTATTACCTCGACTTCCACGGTACCTCAATAAGAATTCATTGAAAGTGACCAAACAGTTTATCAATGACTTCATTCGTGCTGAAAATACATTTCTTTATCAAATTGTTTTCGATCCGCTCGAGAAACGACAGCGCCCGTTAAACGAATATCCGCTGAGTCAGCAAAGCAGTGAAGATGATAGTGAAGTAAGTATCAGTATAACGTCTTTAACTAGATTTTATTTTAAAATGCTAAAGCAATTTGATATTTGCAGTTTCGCTCGAATAGCCAAGGAAGTAATGATCACTTTTCTTATGCGGGAAGTATTCAACCACCAGAAATTGCTACGAGGTTTGCTTTATTGTGAACCTGTATTTTACTATATTGCATGCATTGCATGCAATTTATTCATCTAAGAAATACTAATTTCAGTTTTGCCTTAGGAAATATTCCGGGTAGTTCTCAAACTGAGCAAATAACTTTACCTGAAAATGTACCTGATTGGTCAATTTGGAGCTCCAACTACAAAAGTGCAGAAATGCGACAGAGGGAAAAACGTGACGAGGAAATCAGAAAAAAATCTTGTGGTGTATTTACGGTAAGTTGCTGCAAGTTGTCCAGTTTGAAAGTTTTCAAGTATTGATAGTAATAATAAAGTAATGTGATAATGCGCGAATCAAGAATTCTAGGAAAGCCATTTTAGTTCCAGAAGACGAAAAGTAGTAATTTTTAGAATATTTTAAGTCTCTTGAACTGCGATCTTCATGCTCACAGTATTTCTTCTAGCTTGAATGTTCCCGACCGCCACCGCTGCGTATTTCTAACTGCTTGTCGGCAATGGATTCCAAAATATTTTCAAGTATTTTAACCGATGATAACGACGACTTTGTTTTGTCTAAAAAAACGAAGGATTTACATAAAGTTCGGCGTAATTCACTAATTTCTAATTCTCTGGAGTATTCGTGCGAACTTCTTTTTTATTGATACAAAAAGGTTTTTGTTATGTAATAGTGTTTCCTTATAGAAATTGCTAGTAGAAACTTCAAAAACCAATCAAATTTTAACAAAAATGGATCATAAATTGCCTGTTCATTCTATCGGTGTTGCAAGAAATGGGAACGGTGCCCGTCGAAATTGGAATTGTGATCATTTACTAAAAGAATTTACTACTACAGCAAATATGCCGCATAAAAATATTGCAAACTCTTATCACGGTATAAATTTTAATTTATCGCTGTTAACGAAATTTATGCGATATTATTACTGTGTTTCATTTGCAAGATTACATATACATCTAATTTCAACTTTAGAGCTAAAAAAATTAGATTTTTTTCACAGTAGTGTATTTAATTTCAAATATGATTAAACGTCAAGTATAATTTAATGTGTTTTATTGAAGCCATTGAAAGCACTGCTATTTACAATAGTTAATTCATAGCTTTGGTAGAAGTACCTGTTAAAAAATCACGGAAGACCGATAAAGATGACCATATCAATCAAAATAATCATGTTGATAAGGATATCATACCCGTCTCGTCATCAATGGAAATCTCAGCCAAAACGTCGAAGAACAACATACTTTATAGCAAATATTTTTTCAACAAAGGCTCAAAAACGAGGTTTGTGGCACAGCACTGTTTCATGTTGGCTGAAAACGAAATTCTTTATGCATATCAGGTTAACCAGAGCATCTGAGATGTTCAGTGAGATAATTTATGAAATATTTAAAAACATGAATTTTAATTCCTATTTTTGAAATAACTTCTTTCAATCATAATTTTAGCGGTCTTTTACGAAGCTCAATTTATTCGCGTGCTGTCCCCAGTGTTTTTCAAACAGAATTATCTCAGGTAAGGGTCGTCTATTAATTAGTTTCCAAGGAGAGTTCGTCAAAGGTTTGATTTTCTGCTTCAAACTATTTTTACTTTATCTTAACAAAGCAAAAGCAAATCATATTGCCATAAAAAGCAAACTTATATTGTCATAAATCATATTGTCATGAGAACAATTACTTCATCCTTACAGACAGATAGCGATGGATCTCAAAATATTCTGAGAAAAGCAAATTCAGATATGCCAAACGAAAAATAGTATTTTAGTGGAATCTCAACCATCTCAGCGCCATTTGTTGACATGTGGATGAAATTGTTTTCGAAAGAGAATGTTGCAATATCTTATGGTTGAACTCGAAGCTAGTTCAACTTTTTTGGATCTTCATATCAGACTTTCTGTGAATTTTCTTTTGACGTACTATAGATGAGTTTAATAAATCTTTTTACAGCACTTTCTCATTCAGCTAATTAGTTTTTGCATCGTTAATTACTATGTTTCTTTTAATCCAAAACTTTCTTTTTGATATTTTTTAGTGATATTTTGCTATTTGTAAGATCTAAATTTGTTATAATTTACCTGAGTGTTTATATCTTGAATATTATTGTTGGTACGCAATCTCCTGGTGTATTTTTTTCCTCGCATTTTTATTATTTCAGCCGTTATTCATATAATTTTGTTCACGATTAGCTTTTGCAACATCATCGTTTTTTATCGAATTTTTTGTTTTTATTCGAAGAAGATATATTTTTAAAGCATAGCGTATTATAAAAACTCTGTAGATTATGATGCATTTGTGTTTGCACTTTTATTGTTTTAATCTCATGACATCTGTCAAAAAGTATTCGCCTGCCTTATTACAGGAGGATTTATCGATAAATTGTCGTATTGATCTTCATTCCTTTTCTCAGTATGAACGATAAATAGTTATTTGCTTCTCGTACTTTTATCACACAATGCTTGTATAACAACATTAAGGAATGTGGTTCGATGCCTTTTGAGATTCAACTGTTATCGATGCTTTCATCTCTTTTATCGTGTTAATGCGCAGTACATTCTGAAGAAGTGATATCGAGTTGTACTGTTACTACGCCGTTTAACACAAACGGTGTTTGTGCAATATTCCCA